CTTATACCTTTTTGACAGCCTCAAATATTTTTACTGTATTCAAGCAACCAGAGATCTTTTCATTGTAGTTGTATAATAAATTTTTCCGAAAAAGGTTTGTGTTGTATGACTTAATAAACTAAGGTACAATTAATTTATAATAATCCGATATAGTGTAACGGCTAGCACGGTTCGCTTTCACCGAGCAGACCCGGGTTCGACTCCCGGTATCGGAATTTTCTTTTTTTTTGGATTTTTTTGTCCATATACTTTCCTGATGTGAATAAACCACTTACATTAAATTAAACAACTCAAATAAATCGAAATATATTGTGCCTATAAAACTATAACTTATGATTATTTCTTAGTACCGTATCTTGATACAGTTTTACCATCAGGAATGTTGTATAAAACAGGACGCTTACCTTCGCTGTAAGCTTGGTCAACTCTGTAGTAACCCTTTCTTTCAAATTGAATGATGTCACCCACTTTCATATCACGGACACTTAAGTCAGCAATAGCTTCGACCTTGAATTCAGTTTGTGGAGTAAGGAAATCTTCAAAGTTATCACCTTCTTCTAATTTGTCCTTGGTAATTAAATGATCAAAGTCCATCAAGACAACCTCAACTTTATCCTTGGTATCCGCCAACCAAGTGATTTTCTTGGAAGTTTTACGGAAATCACCTTCTAAATGTAAGTTGGCTTCAATTGATTTCACAATGTCACCTTCCTTAACAACTTTAGAAATAATAACATTACCCCAGTCCATAAAGGTGATTTCTTCACCATCTGTCATACCTTCAGCATCAGCTTGGTCAATCAAAACTTGATTAGAGTATACAACTGGCTTCTTACCGACCTCTGGGTTCTTCTTATGTTTTGGCTTTTCTTCAGTGAATGGTTCAGATGGTCCATTTAATAACTTAACAGTAACAACGTCTTTCGCATCGACAGCAGTGTGTCTTGGAGCTGTTGGGTCAATCACTTTCTTATTCAAAGCCCAAATAACGGACCAGTCTAAGTTAATAATGTTTCTCGAAGGACCTTGAGCGATAATAAAATTTCTGATACCTTCAACAGTCATACCTCTTCTTCTAACACCCCTAACAGTTGGGAATCTTGGATCATCCCAGTTGGAAACGTAGTTCTTATCAACGAACCATTGCAACTTTCTCTTAGACAATAAAGTTCTGACGAAATTGACCCTAGCGAAATCCCAGATATCAACCTTACGTAAACCTAAAGCATCAATAATCCAATTATATTGGGCGTTACGATCTCTGTACTCATTTGTTCTTAAGGCATGGGTGACACCTTCAATAGAATCAACGACTGGTGCACAGAAATCATAAGTTGGGTAAATCTTCCATTCACTTCCGGTTCTGTGATGTGGTGTAACGTTACATCTGTAGATAACTGGATCTCTCAAGGTCTTGTTTAAAGCAGTGTAATCGATCTTGGCTCTAAGACAGTTCTTCAAACCTTCTTCAGTACCATTCTTCATTTCTTCTGTAAAGATCTTCAAGTTTTCTTCGATAGATCTTTCTCTTCTGGCAGAAGCATCACCAACCATTCTTTCTTCTCTCATCTTTTCTAATGGAGTATCGTCACAGTACGCCTTACCTTCTTTGATTAATTTAATAGCCAAATCATACATATCTTGGAAATAGTCAGATGAGTAGGTGACTTTATCACCCTTAATACCTAATAAAGCCAAATCTTCAATAATCGAGTCTTGGAATTCAACCTTTTCCTTAGTTGGATTAGTATCGTCGAATCTAATGATTAACTTACCTTTATAAGCATGAGCAAAGTATTCATTTAATACTGCAGCCTTAGCGTGTCCAATATGTAAGTATCCAGATGGTTCAGGTGGGAAACGAGTGACAACCTTACCAACTTCGGCATTTGGTAAATCAATTTCAAAGTTAGCCTTGTGGGTTTCTTTCTTACCTCCGTTCTTGGAGGACTTAGCTGACTTTCTTAATTCGTTGACTAACTTGGTCATGTTTTCAACGCTACCGTCAAACTTTTTGTCAGCAGCTAATAAGTTGTACCATCTCGAGACATTTGTGTAAACACCATTCTTGATAACAGAACCCATTAAAGCATTGGCTCTTAAAACACCCCAGACAGCAATATCAGCTAATGAATATGAATATCCAATAACAAAAGATCTGAAGTTTAAGTGGGCATCTAATTTTTCTAAGTCACCTGCTAATTCCTTGAAGTTCTTGTTAGACAATTTGTCCAATGCAAATTTGATCCATTCTTGAGATTTGGCCTCTTCAGTAAGAATAGATGGGAACTTTTCTGCTAAATAGTTCAAAATTTCTAACTCGTTGGAATAGGTTTTGCCTTCTGGAGTAACCAATTTGACAGCAGCATTGGTTGAGTCAACTGTTTTCTCATCGACAAATTCAATTGGGATTGATACATCAGAATCACTGGCATCGACAAACCCGACACCAACTAAAGATGGGTACGCAATTAACGGAGCCTTGGCAGCTATAGTCAAACTAAAGCTCATGATTAATTTTGTTTAATGATAGTTTAATTAACTTAGATCTTGCTAAAGAGTCAGAAATTTCGGCCATTAATGAAAAAAATTGGAATCGTGAGAAAAATCACGTTTTTCTTGGGATCCTTAGGATTCTAAATCTTCCTCTAATCTGCTAGTCTTCCATCCTTTTAAACAACATTCAAACCAATCCTTTTAGGATAATTAACAGAGGCTCTATATACAATGAGTTCCAGGACGGATTCATCGAGTTTGAATGGAAATCAGAGACCTACAGCGAAAAGATCGCCATCGATTTTAGTCACAGATGCGAGAAGTACAACGTTAAAGGGAGCCCGAGCACCCTTTGCAGGCCACAACTATAAAAAGCAGCAACAACAGCAACAAAAGCAACAGGGGTATCCTCCAAAACAAAGTTTACAACAGAGATTATTACCGTCAAGATCAAATAAATATACCGATATTTCTGTGGATAAATTATTAAGTAATTCGAGTGATATTCCATCAGGACAGAGGAGACTTCCACCGGTACTATCCAATAATGGCAGAAACGTCAATTCACTCGGATCTTCTAATAGAAGCATGTCACCACCTCCAGGACAAGTGCAGATGCCGAATATGTACATGGAACTGGGACTGCTGCGGAAAAACATGAGAAGCATTCCTAAATTGTCGCAATCATTACCATCAAGAACATCGAAGACTTCACAGAAGTTAGTGTTAATTCCAGACCAACAACGTTACAATTCGTCACCACCACCGCAACCACAAGCACAACAGCCATTATTATCATCATCATCAAGCGTAACTCCTGATTTACAAGCTCAAATACAAAGGTCCAGAGCTGAGCTTATGCCTAAGGAAGCAAGGGCACATGAATTTAGCCGTATGACGGCTTATTTCATCTGCGATCAGTTTAATTTAATACCTGTATCAAACTTTTTGAAAGAGAACCATGAAGTGAAGCCTCGTCTATACGACGAAGCACTTTACATACCGTATTCGTTACCATTATTACCGGGTGGCGATGGATTCAGAGTGAAATCTAACAATTCGGCAAAGCTACTTCCCAAGAAAAGATATATGGAAAAATTGATAAATAGAAGTGAACAAACAGACCATTTATATGAATACTATTCAGGGGTCGAAACTCCTGAAGACGCTAATAATTATTCGATGGATCCTGAGCTAGAGACATTTGACAGTAACGCTCCATTTGACCCTTCCGAACCGCAATTTTTTGCACCACCCTTGGAGTCAGAAGAGAATGAAAGTGATGGCAGTGGCAATAGTGATAAAGAATCAAAACCAAATAGTTCAAGACCTGAATCTCCGGTACGTAAAATCAATAATAACAGAGATACTCAAGCATCTAATGATGATTCTGATAAATCGCTGCATTATAGCAGTGCAGCACAAGTAGAATTATCTAAACATCATGCTGAAATGTTCATTTTCAGATACGGGATAGTGGTATTTTGGAATTTTTCTGAAATACACGAAAAGAACATCTTAGCAGACCTTGCATTTGCATCTGATAAGCCCCAACCACTATTGGTAAATCCGATTCACGAGCAGGATATAGAAACTGAAGAATTTCATTTCGAATATGATGACCAAATCCACAGACCAAGAATATATAATGACATGATTACGTTAAGATCTGGTGACCATCTTATCAAACTTACCATGTCCCACGCAATTGCACAACTGACAAAGTTGTGTCTATTTGAGAGTAGAATGGTGAATAGTTTACAACTGATTTCAAAGTTGCCCAAGAAATTAGCTTTGACGGGTAGACTAGGGTTAAAGAGACAGCAATTATTGAAAAAGTCAGGAAAACTTTTTAAACTACGTGTCGACGTAAATCTTTCCAGTTCAATTCTAGATACCCCGGACTTCTTTTGGTCTTTTGAACCTGCATTACATCCTTTGTATACCGGTGTTCGTGAATATTTAGAGATCGACCAAAGAGTTCAAGTCTTAAATGATAGATGTAAGGTTTTCTTGGAATTCCTGGACATCGTTAGTGATAGTATGAACGAAAAGAACACTAATAGAATAACATGGATGATTATAGTTATCATATTTATGAGCTTATCAGTTAGTGTCTTCGAATTTATATTGCAAATTATATAGCATTGATGTATCGCTTGTATACACGCATATTTTTATTTAGATAGAGAAGCTGTAGTAACTAGTAAATCAACAACGAACTCAACATACAAATTGAATGGACCATGTCACTACCTTCCAAATATGCACCAGAAGGATTAAGTTCATCTGATCAAAAAAGAACTATTACTGTTGGCCACAATCGGCCTCGAATGCCAATAAACTATGCCATCAAAACAATTGAAGATCGAATTGATGAAGCAGTAAAACATTCACCATTTCATAATATTGAAGACAAAGACAAACCATACGAAGATGATATAGAAATGATACCTATGGATGATTATAATGAGGTGGAAATCATTTCAGATTTCGTGAAAGCCAGTAGAAATAATAGTAAAATATTGTACGATGATTCAATGGATATAGTATCGGAAACAGAAACTAACGCATTATTAAACGAACTGGGAAATGTTTCTTATTTGGTTGTTGATACTAACTTTATATTATCTCATTTAAACATAGTAAACGGTTTACAGGATGTGGCTAATAATTATGGATTGCAGATTATAATACCCATTACTGTGATGAAAGAATTGGATGGTTTGAAAAATTCAAGTAGAATAGCCAATGAAGCTTCTTCGGAGAGAATATCGAACCAATCAGTAGGTCATTTAGCCAGGTGGGCCAATGACTGGATATATTCGGCTTTAGCTAAAAATAGTTCCGTCGTACGAGGTCAGAAATTACGACAAAGATTAGATAAATCTACTACTAAAGATGATGCCATTTTAGATTGTTGTTTATATTTTAAAGAAAATTATCAGAAGTCTTTGGTAGTTTTACTTTCGAACGATAAGAACTTTTGCTTGAAGGCTCTTTCAAACGACATTTTGACTGTTAGTTATCGTAAGGATATGAATGTTGATATTATTGCTAACACAATATACACTGAAAACCTAAGAAGGTTTGGAAAACTAGAAAGCGACCCGATAGCATTAGCACAGCCAAGCATACAACATGAAACGCTTAGACCAAAAATAGTTCAACACGAGAGTGATGCTTCTTTTAATCAGACATCGCGAATAATATTCCAAGAGGTACAGACTCTTACTCTTTCTGTCACACATCATTGCATGGAGAATAATTATGGAGAGGATTTAGACCTCATTAGGAACTATGATAGAAATGCTGTAACTTCTCTCAAGCATTGTTCTGAAGTTATAATAAGGTTTTGGCTCCCAGTCTTTTCTAATTACTTTAAAGGGAGTAGTTTAAAACCATTTACAGAAACAGAAGACGGGAAGAAAATCATAAAGCAACCAGTATTAGTAGATATCCCCATAGAACCACTGCAGCTAAACGAATTCATAGAATTTTGGTCTCGTATTTTGTCTACATTATACCTGGCAGAAATGAATGATCAACAAAATGATGCTTTGGAACTTCTCATCAAGAGGTGGAAGCACAATGCATCACTAATATCATAATTTTCACGTTATTCTTCCTTGATTGTACTCAGTTTGCTATTGGCATCGTCCTTTAGAGGTAAAGTTTTGGCTTTTTTTATTGATCTCTCTTGTTTTCGCTTCCGAGGACCAATAATTCCAATTTTTCTCACCACTGGTCGCTTCCTAGGAAAGCCTTCACTATCTTCTCTTTTGATAATCTGAGAGGGCGTGACGTCTGACAGCTCTATTAGCTCGTCATTTTCCTGTTTTATATGTATTGGTTCATTTGAAGGACCTGCTTCGACGGTCTTCGAAAAAATCCAAGAGCTTTTATCATTAATAGACTTTTCTATACTTGTCCATACTCTGTCATCGATATTATCATTAGCATTTTGCTTTTCCCTCACTATATCCTTATAGGAATTCTCAGTGCTCCGACTCCACAATGTTTTATCGTATTTATGTAGATATTTGGCATCTGTCTTATTATTTTTTCTGTATTTCTTAATTAATTGATCACCATTTATGGCTTTGTAGTTCTCAGATAAAAAAGTTATATATTGATCTTTTATGCCAATGAGTCTTTCTAATTGTTCAATTTTATAATTAAGATAATTATGATTTTCACACTGTTGGAAGTTGATTTGGGATATAACGTCAATTGCAACTGAAGGTGGTTGTTTCACCATAGAAAAATCCCATTCTATCTCTCCATTGAACTTACCATATATAATACCTTCCTTATGGAACTCAGTTCTGTTTACCTCATCAATTGAGAATACTAAAGTTTTATCAGCATCCCTACTTTCAACCCCATTTTTCAATACTTCAAGTAGATAATGGAGCTTTTCATCTTCTGTATCTTCGATTCCATAACTGTTTACTTTTTCAATTATACCTTTCTTGGATAATGTTTCTATCCATACATTCTTAAAGTCTGTGATATAGATACTATATCCTTTATTATTAAAATCACACTGATATCCGTAAATGACTTTGCGAGGGTTAGCGAACGGGATTATTATTGAATTCCAAGATAAAGGGAGATCAAACATTTTAATAATTGTATATTATCAGCTCTCTCCAATAATGGCTATTAAACATAAAATATATTCTGATCAAGTTCCCGAATTAGTGGAAAGAGTTTTGAAATTACAGAAAGATAAAACAGAAAGTAACAAAGATCGAAGAATAATTATCTCAATAGCTGGTATTCCTGGCTCAGGCAAATCAACATTATCTACAGAGATTGTAAGACAACTAAATAAAAGTGTTAAAGCAATTGCTGTTCAACAGGATGGGTTTCACTTATACAGATCAGAGTTGGAGAAATTACCGAATCCAGTAGAAGCATTCCTTAGAAGAGGAGCACCTTTCACATTTGATGCTAAAAAGTTCTTGAATTTAGTTTCACATCTATACGATGAAAATTATGCTGGTAGTCCTATTAAAGTGCCAACTTTTGATCATAAATTAAAAGATCCCGTTGAGGATGATAAAGTAATAGATCCAGATACTAAGGTAATCATTATAGAAGGAAACTATGTTTTATTGAAAGATTTATATTGGAACGAGATTAGCAATTACGTTGATGAATCATGGTTTGTTGATGTCCCATTAGACTTAGTAAAGGAAAGGATTATAAAAAGACACTTGGAAGCAGGAATTGCTGAAAATGAACAAGAGGCAATCAAGAGGGCAGATAATAATGACTTACTTAACGCTGAGTACATTTTAAAAAATTCTAAACCGGCCGATTTAACTATTTTGACAAGATAGGAAGGTGATACGAAGTAATCCTTATATGATTTAAACGTAAATTTAATTAAATATAGAAATTGTATAGACTTAGATATATGAAGGGCTTTTAATGTACAAAAAAGTAAACAATTATGATGCAACAGAACAATTTAAACAAAGATGATAGCTAATAAAAATGAAATAAATGCAATCAGATAAACTAACGAGGTTCAACGTTATAACGCATTTTTATACCCATAGCAGCCAATTCCGAGTCCAAGTACTTCAAAACAAAAGGAATTGCAACAGTAGTAGTGTTATCACCACCAACGAACTTCTTTCCTTGACCATCTTGCCAAATTTCTGACTCATTAACATATTCACCTTGTTGACTGTACGATTCAATTTTAACAGAACATCTTCTACATCTAATAGAGGCAGCAGTTCCAATTCTTGGGACCGATGTTTGAGTATTCAATAACGAACCACAAGAACGACATACAGACGTTTGGGTATAATCAGAACAGTTCAATAATCTGTCTTGTAATAAGAATGCAGTACCATGTCCAATTAAAGCATCTCTTTCCATTTCACCGACACGGATACCACCACTTCTTTTACGACCTTTAACAGGCTGCATGGTCAAAGAGTTCACTGGACCAGTGGATCTGACTTGAAACTTATCGTTAACCATATGTCTTAATCTTTGGTAATAAACACAACCAATATAGATATCGGCTCTTAATTCTTCACCAGTAGCTCCTGAGTACATTGGTTCGTTACCGTGATAATTATAACCAGCTTTACTTAATTGTTCACCAAAGAAATCTGCAGGAGTATCATCTTCACTGAATTTCCATGGGGTAGCATCTTGTGCAATACCATGTAAAGCACCAGCTTTACCGGCCAAAGACTCGACGAACATACCAATTGTCATACGAGATGGGAAGGCATGTGGATTGATAATGACATCTGGTTGAATACCAGTTTCAGAAAATGGCATATCAACTTGAGGCCATTTACGAGAACAAACACCCTTCTGACCATGTCTAGAAGAAAACTTGTCACCGATCAATGGTTGTCTGGTTATTCTATACTTGATTGTTATTTGTTGACCTTCTTGGTCTCCGCTATCATCTCCTAATAACTTAACTTCTTCAATATAGGCAGGTTCACTTGAATGATACGTCTTAACTTTAGTTCTACCTAATGTATCGTCATAATAAGCAACAATTGGATCACCCTCTTCAACTTTAACACCGATCAATGGTAATCCATCAGCATCCAATTTCTCTCTCCATGACTCTGGCCATTCATCAGTACCGAAACCAAAGTGTTGGGTGATTGGGTCTCCCCTACGCCTAGATTGAGATAAATCGACCTTTTCGACTTTATAGACTGTACCGTAGCCAAAACCTCTTTCATCTGCAGATTTGTTGATGATCATCGCGTCATCCATATCATAACCAGTGTAAGAAATAACTGCAACAACTGCATTCATCCCGTTAGGGAAATTGTCCATACCATAATCATCATATAAACTAGCTTTAACAATTGGGGTTTGACCTGTTTGCAATCTATATAATTTGTTATCAGATCTATGATTCAAAGCTACACCAGGAGTACCCATGGTTTGCTTACCCATTTGACATTGATACATATTTCTTGGTGATTGATTGAAATCTGAAAATGGAGTCAAATTAGCAAGAATAGACAAAATATTGGTAGGAGAAAATTCAACATGTGTGTGAATGTTGTTTTCAATTTCAGCAGGCGTGACTGCAACATCCATGTAAACTTGTTCGAAAGGACCTAAAATATCAGTCTTATTCAATGGTAAATATTTGGTTGGTCTCATCATTCTGGAATGACCACCAAACAAATATAAACCCGGATATTGACCATTTGCAGATGGTGGAACGTAACCAATCTCTAAGTCCAATGGTAATCCGTGAGTTCCTTCAACTTTCCAAAATCTTAAAGTATCCGCAACAATCTTACCATGTTCATGAGTAGTCCAACCAATGACCTTACCATCTAATTGAACACAACACAAATTTGGCCCAGCGGCAAAACTATGGGCTGGTGAAACACCCAATTGCGACAAGGCAGCTGGAACTTGTGAAACATCAGAAGCTTCTGTAGCAATTTTACATTTATGTGATAAATGGTTTAACAAACCACATGGCGAACCATCTGGTGTATGTACGGGACATAAAAACCCCCAAGATTCGGGTAATAATTTTCTAACAGTTGTTGTTTTTAATTCAGCGAAGAAAGAACCTCTGTGAACCATTCTGAAATGAGAAATGAATCTGTAGAAGTTAATCTTTTCAGCAACAACAGTATAACCAGAAACTTGTTGCAAATCTAAACCAGATTGAGAAACTAAGTTACCCGTTGATAAGAAATATTGCAACTTTTGACCGATGTTTTCATTGATTCTCATAAAAACTCTCGACATATATTTCCTGTCATTGAAGTTAATTGCTATACCACGATTAATATCAGATTGAATTTGCAATTTGATGTTTTGTAAATATTCGTCAATTTTTTCTTTGATAATCATACCATATAAGAAACCACCTAATAAAACTTCTTGATGTTGGGTGGCATCAGGATTATCTGGACAACAATCACCGGCTACCAAAGAATATAACTTTCTAATCATGAATAACAACATTCTAAATTTGTCTAAATTGTTAGGCAAATGAACTAAAACAATTCTTTGTAAAACTTCTTTACCAACTTCGATATCGGATACATCAGGTGCTGCACCAAATACAATTCTGAATTTATCACCTAAGTAGGCTAAAGTCTCTTGCTTAGAGTAGAGATTATACTGCTTATAGGTTCTTAATAATAATTCTAAACGATCAGTCAAGAATGAATTAGATGTATCTGCACCAATAATACCATCGAAGATTTCACGATCATTAGTCTCAATCAATGCCTTCAAGATCATCATTACTGGGACCAAGTATTCATTCTTCTTCCAGGAAAATCTGAAAGTAACATTACCATCATTCAAATAATGTAAAACGTTAGTTTGCGAAGTCTGGTCTGGTCTAACACATCTTATTTGGATACCAAATTTAGTGTATGAAGCACCTCTGTTACCGAACGATGGACGGATGATGGCCATAGGGTGATTACGACGTTGAACAATCAACATACGAATCAACTTTTCAATACCGTTAACAATGAAATAACCACCCATTTCATCGGATTCTTCCTTTTGTTCGACTAATTCACTTGGAGATAATTTTTCCAAATGACATCTGTTAGTCTTTAACATGACAGGAACTTGCCCGGCTTCTCTAATTTCAGAAACCTCTTCACCATCGTTAACACTCCATGTAACCTTCAACATCAATCTGGATCTATAAGTCGACATTCTTTCTCTACATTCCGAAGGGTATGTTCTTCTATTGATTGAAAGTTTATCATTAACTGGCACAGATGGCTTTGCAAGTTGAACAGATTCAACTCTGATATTTAACTTGTTACCTAATCTGTCAACATCATTGGAGTCAAATATACTTTTGCTACCAATATCATTTACCGCCAAGTTCAACAAGCCGCCTCCTGGTCCTTCGGTCAATGCATTGAATGATCCAATATGTGGTGAAACCGCTTCGGCTAATAATGGATATGCAGATTTGTCTTTTGGAGGATTTTGGAAACGCTTTTCACGTTCAAGAGTTCTAAATTGAGCCCCCATGCTACTAAATAATATACCTTTTACCGGTTGATCTTAGAAAATGATTTTGATGGTAAAATCCAACTTTTTCAAATGAGATTGTGAAGAGGTCAAAGGAAAAAAAAATTTAAGAAGATGAGATCACATGACCATAATATTAAAGTACTAGATAGTATCACCTATACAGAGACTAGATTATACTAAAGTCAAAGATGGCCAAGTCGAGGTTTGAATATGTCAAACAGTTTGAAAGAGAAAACTTTCTATTACCAGATACTTATTTAATAGTCCGAGTTGATGGGAAGGGGTTTCACAAATTTAGTGAAGAATATGAGTTTTCCAAGCCCAATGATATCAGAGCCTTGAAGGTGATGAATAAGGCAGCTCAAAATTTAATGGGTCAATTCCCGGATATAATGATGGCATATGGGGATTCAGATGAGTATTCATTTCTTCTACGTAAAAAATGCAGCTTGTTTGAAAGGAGGGAAATGAAGTTGGTCTCGACATTTGCATCATTTATTTCGGTAAACTACCTACATGAATGGAATCTTGAATTTCCTGAGAAGCCAATAAAGTTGGAACGATTACCCACTTTTGATGCTAGAGTCGTGGTATATCCTACAACCCAACATATACGAGACTATTTCAGTTGGAGACAAGTGGATTGTCATATAAATAATTTATATAATACAACGTTTTGGACATTGGTGATTAAAGGTGGGATGACGGGGAAAGAGGCAGAAAACAGATTATTGGGGACTGTTTCGAGTGACAAGAATGAAATATTGTTCAAGGAGTTTGGCATTAATTACAATAATGAATCGGAGATTTTCAAAAAAGGAACGATACTTGTTCGGGAATACGACTACACAAGAGAGGGAGATGATTTGAGCAAGCGTCAGCAACAGAGAGTTGAGAAACAACGTAAGAAGGCACTGATAGAAGAATATCACCTTGATATAATTGGTGATACCTTCTGGAACGAAAGGCCGTGGCTCTTGGAATAAGACAAAAGCACAATGCTACAAATAAATACAATTAAGATATTAAAATGTATATATTTAAAACGATATATAATACAATAAATATTTAAGCACTTTTGTACTCAAGAGATAAGAAGTTAAATAAAAATGCTGAATTGAAATAGAATTAAACCTAGTGGTAGAATGTAACAGGATACCGAAAAACTTTTACCTTTCTGAATGCAAAATCCTCCAATAAATAGATTTGTCAAACGAAAATATGAATTCCAAGACACGAAAACCCACAATTTAAAATTAATGTTAGTTGAAAGTCATGAAATATTGGTTCAAATTGGTGGGATTTCAAATATATATGGAATCACTATATGATTGAAGTGTAGACGCCGTAGAGGCGTTTGAAATTGTATTAGTTGAATTGAAATGGGGAGTACTCGATGAATTCGAGGAAGGAGTAGAAGCAGATTTATCACCATTGTAAAAACAGTAGCTTTGTAATAAATTAGTATAAAATTGGGAATTGAAGTTGGTATTGTCATTTTCTTGGGACGCAGACTGTTTTGACTTGTAGGACTTGGAATATTTAGGTTTAATGTTAGATATATCCGAAGCCGAGTAAGACAACTTGAGAGGGGGTCTCGAAGTAGTTGCACCAGCTGAAGAAGATTGCGATGAATTTGAAGGAGGCTCAATGTTAATTGTGGGGGTGCTTGAAATAAATGGATTTGATCTTGGTTCATGAGGATTTGATCTAGGCTCGCTCAAATTGTCGTTGATGTTATATCTGTTATGAAAGTCTGACTTGGCTTTCGTCGAGAACGGCTTTCTCGAATAGACATATTCGTCATTATGTGAATCCATTAAATCGCCTTCCAAAGCGTAGTCCGCTTTTCTGAAGTTGATTAATTTTGTAACCAACTCGTCAAATTGTGGAACGGTATTCTTGAACAATGAATTATGTGGCTTGGTACCAGAGACGGTTTCAAATGGTTGTAATGAAATATGGTAGTTCTTCATGTTATTGTTATCCCAGTAGCTATTTCCACCCACTTCATATTTAATGACAAACTGCAAGTTAAGCTGCTTGGGCATGTGTTCCAATGGAATGATAAACTTGAACTGATCAAAGTTTATGGACGAGAACGACTTGCTGTAGGAGATGTTGTTGATGATGAGAATAGAACGCCAGTCGTTGAATGTCAACTTGATCGACAACCGTTTCTCAAACGCCAAATTCTTAACCATGATCAACCCGACCAAGGCCGTCTTCTCTGGTGAAAGTTTGATAGATTGCAAGTAACAAGGCATGTCCTGCTTGTCATAAATGTTTCTTGGGGGACGGAAGTCCAGCTGGGCGATTCTATAAGTGACCGGACTCTGAAAATGAAGATCATCATCTGAAGAGGTATCGCTGGTGATATCGCTCACTTCATCATCCTCCCATTTGAGATCAAAGTATCCCCTCGAGCTAAAGTCGTCCAACGCCTGCGGCGACGACATAGGCGTGTTTTCTGCTGTTGATACAGTGCTAGGAGACTGTTGACCATCAAACATTTTCACATTAGCCAAGCGGGTGGCAAATCTAACTGATTTACTGCCTATCTGCGATGCTGACATACTTCTCGATAACCCACTCAACTTAAGCGACGATTTAATTAACTCTCCGGACTTCTTGCGGAGCAACCCAGGACGTTCATCTATCGTCTTTTGATCTTCCTTGTCACTCTCCTTGTCTCCGTTCTTGCTGTTTACTTTGCCGCCCATTTTTATGGTACTTAAACTCGACTCCGTGTCTCCATCGGAACAAATATCTTCGATCTCGTCTGCTTGCTTCGAGATTAGATTAGTCACCGTCAAGGGACTAATACTAGGTATTTTACTCATCGCAAACCAGCCTAGTGATTATATAGCCTATACGTCCTGTTTATTTCAAATATGCTTTTTTGTAACCAGAGTAAAATTTTACTATTAGAATTGCTAAATCCAGATATATATATAAATTACAAAGGGGGGATCAATTTTTTTTGTTGAGTCTGCAGTCACCTGAGGGTTAAAATCTTTTTCAATAATGGTCCCTGAAAAAGAAATATCGCACTGTTTAGTACGAAATATTACACATTATTTTACGCCGACGTACACTGTGGGTGTTACAGATGCATGTCTGCCCGCATCTACGATATAGTAGCTGGCAACAAACTCCACAAGAAGTGGTATGTGGTATCTGGAGTAATACACTGGGGTATGGGGGCGATATGGTTGGGCTACGCCATCTTCTATTTGTGTAGGCATAGATTATCTATATGGCGTAGAAGGGATAGGTAGGCGTAGAAAAAATTTTCAGTGTTCAGTTGTTTGTAGGATGTGTCTTATGTACCGCACCAATCGCCCGATTGCTATTGTGTAGATGTATTGTAGGAATTGTTTTGGGTATGAGAGAAGAAATCGCGAATGGCCGCCTGTAATATTTCCCAATCGGCACATATTGGCCCATGGGGAGTGGTGCAGGTAATGTTCCATAAGTGGTGCAGCGGGGGGAACAATAGAAAAACAAGCACAGATACAGAGCTGGGACGCGATGGAATGGAGTATAAAACTACATGGCCTCAATGCGAGAATGGAAACCGGCGTTGAAGTAGCGTAGCGGCAATAGCAGAATAGCAGCATTGGAAGCAGCAATAGTTGTGTAACAGATGGGTAAGGGAATACCCGGATGGCCTAGACGATGAGACTAGAGGGGTCTAGAGGGCGTAGGATGCGCCAACATCGGACGATGCACGGAAGCGGAAGTGTGGACGAAATGTCGCAGATGTCGCAAATGTCGTTGCAGAAGTGGTAAAGTGGTTGTTCAACAGCTGCTGGTGGGGGAAGTGGATTTAGAACTGTTAGTGGGGTTGCCGGTGTGTTTTAGGGTACCATGAAGCAACGTATGCCTAATGATGTTTCAACAGCGTGTATCTGATGTGGACTCGGAGATGAGGCGTGGCTTTCAGTTTTCGCTGCAACGAATTAATTATGTGCCGGATATGTGGATACGGTGAATTGTTTTATTTGAAGAAAACCTCCCTACATCTTAGTTACTATACAATGTAAAAATCATTTATTAATTATTTATAAACCCGCTACTCAGTTCTTCGACGAGTCTTCCTTCAAAGTCACAATACGGTTCAAGATCAATTTCTCCGCAGTTGAGTCCTTGTCCATACAGAAGTATCCTACTCTCAATGCTTGGAACCTTACCGTTTCGACACTTGGCTTTTCTTTGATGTTGAACTCGCTGCCTTCAATAGGAATGTTCAATGGGGACTTCTCCTTGATTTCGGTGAAAGCCGACTCAACGATCGCATCGTGATAGATCTCTTCCAGGTGCTCGTTAAGATCGTTTAAGAATCCGTCAGGATGGGCCGATGGGTTTTCGCTGTTGAACAATTGGTTTTGGATTCTAACTTCGCTAATCTTGATTGGTGAAGCGTTTGTTTTTGGAATCCATTGAATGTAAGTCTTAGGTTTCTTGAACGTAACGTCATTGTCGTAATGTGCGATGATCTTTGTCACCTTACCGGCATCATCTTTGACCACGTCTTTGACAGAAACGTTGAAAGGCACCTTAATTAACCCAACTGGTTGACCAGGAGCTAATCTGAAGTAGTCATCAGAAATAGTATCTCTGTAGTCAGATCTATCAATATAGAAACGTTTGGTGAATGGAACCTTTCTTGTTCCGAACTTGACAATGTCACCCGGTTTGTATGGAACTTCGACCAATTCTTCGTATCCTTCTGGTACGTTCTCAACCTCGACTTCGACAGGGTCAAGAATCATCATCAATCTTGGGGTAGTTTGGTCCAAAAATGCTCTGATAGCACTGTCAAGTCTCACCGCTTGAATATTAGTAGTTGATGTGGTGACTCCTAACGTGTTAATGAAACTTAAAATCGCTCCAGGTGGAACACCACGACGACGGATAGCTTCTAATGTGTATAATCTAGGATCGTCCCATCCTCTAACAATACCCTCATTGACTAATTTGGCAATCTTTCTCTTACTCAAAATTGTACCGGTGATATTTAATCTACCGTACTCTCTTTGTGCTGGTCTGTAAACATGCAACTCGTCACACAACCATTCGTAAGACTCTCTAGAAAGTCTAAATTCAGTAGTACATAATGAATGACTAATATTTTCAAACGAATCAACAAGACAGTGCGTGAAGTCATAGGTCGGGTAGATCTTCCATTTGTCCCCGGTTCTATGATGCGGTTTGTTCAAAACTCTGTACGCCACAAGATCCCACATTTGTGGAGATGGTGACTCCAAGTCTTGCTTCATTCTCAAGGTGGCCTCTCCACTCTTGTATTCACCATTCTTCATCTTACGGAATTCGGTCATATTATCATCAACGCTTCTAGAGCGATGCTTACATGCAAACCTTTCTCCTCCTAAGGTACCATCTTCCTTCAACCCTCTTTGGGCCTTAACTTCTTCAGCAGTACAGTGACAAACATATCCTTTACCTAAGCTGATTAATTTCTCTGCTAATTCGTATAGCTCATCAAAATAGTCAGACGAATGAGTAACTTTCCACGGCTCGTATCCTAACCAGTCAATCATTTTTTCAATTGATTTGAAATAAACTTCCTCCTCTGCTTCAGGGTTGGTGTCATCAAATCTTAAGTAACAGTTACCATTATTGTACTTAGCATATCCAAAATTAACCATGATTGCCTTCGAATGTCCAATGTGCAAATATCCATTTGGCTCAGGTGGAAATCTGGTGAATACCTTGCCCTTGGTATATGCTAAATGTTCCTTCATCAATTCAGGATATTTTTGTGGATTTTCACCCGGCTTGTGCAAATCACCCAAAAACCCTTCCGAGAACATCGATCTCTCAACCTGTGGTTCCTTCTTGGTTTCAACTTGCTTTTTAGCCAGCTTCTTCTTTTCCTTCTTAACGACATCTCTTTCGTCCTTTGGTCCAATCATTTCCAAGACCAATTTATCGATAATTGGCTTGAATAAGTTTGGCTTGGCCCATTTCAATTCTGGTACCTTTTTGATGTCACCTAATAAACTTGGAACAATCGAGTATCTTTTAGTCTCAATATCCGATTTATGAGCATCCATATACTTCTTGATTTCCTTCTCAACGTCAGAATCACTGAGTTCAATACCGACTCCTGATTTCTCTTCCATGGTTTCGTTGTTGGCAGTTTCTGGGTTTTCCTTGACATATTTAAATGCTTCGGTTACTTGTAAGTTAGTCTTTAATCTGCCATCAATAATAGCCTTCGTAATTAATTCACGTCTAGGAACATCTCCTCCTTTACTTTCAACAGCTAAAGCATGCAATAATGAGAGTTTCTTTTCATCTGCTTCTTCAACCTTTGCCTCATTGATGATTTCTGCTAACGATTGGGAAACCTTCTTATTTTTACAAACTTCTTTAGATTTCTTATCATTGAACCCAACCTTGCTAAACAAGTTGATCAATTCTTCTTCTGACGCCATGCTTAGAATAGTTGATTTTGTCTTTATATCATAAATATTTCTTCGAAATGATTCTTCAACAAAAAATTTTTGATAAGGCATGATGGTATACGCGCGACCTTCAATTTTTTTGGTGATACCTTTGGTTGTAAAATATCAGTAACTTTATCTTCTTGATTCACAAGTTCTTTTAGTAACTATCATTTCAATTGCTTGTATAACCAATATAACTGTACTAGTGTGTCTTAGATTTTGTGTTGTTGGGTTAATTTACAAAGTTTAGCTCTTTTATTTTGTGATTTATATTTAGTTTTGCAGCACATGAATACTCCAAAGGCGATGGCAATCAAGGTACCTGAAATCGAACATTTGGTGTCTTCTATTGAAAGGATAAGAAAACAAGTCCAGAAAATTAATGGGTTAGTGCCCAAGGTACTCTTGGAAAATTTTACCAAATGTTTGCAAGCTCTGGAATTAAAATATGTCACACATCTGGTTCCAGTATTAGAATGTGCTGTAAATGATCTATTCGAAGAGATTCATAAGAATAGTCAACAAAGAAATTTTCCAGTGAAAGATCAAAATTTGATTTATGTCTTAATATTGCTAATTGTCAACGAAACTGCCAAAGTGTTCGCTCCTAAAACCATGAGGTATTGGCAAATTGTCCATGTATGTATGATTGATTTAAAAGTCACCAGAAGTATACTAACAGTAAAGGATGTCATGTACCTAGATGTGTCTAATGATGTTACAACAGACTTATTAAAAGATTCGGTAAGCAAAACGAATTCTAACTGGTTATCAGCCATGCTCTTGGTACGAATGTATGCTGCGAAAGGCACTATCGAAAGTCATTTAATCCCAAGGGGCTTTTATAACAAACTTGAAACAATATTGCATTCTAATAATGATTTCACAACTACAAACTACTTATTAAAGATTACGAAATATCTTCCTAAAGTCTCAATATATAAAGAAAGTCAAAAAGGTTCTCTTACCGTAAATATAACTCAGAGGCCAACATTCTTACAGGAGATACCTTCATCTGTCACTAATGGAAGCTTAGATGTAATTTATTATTTGAGTAGTCTTAACAAAACATTTAGAAATTTGTATCAGTTAAAGTGTGTTAGTTCTAGAAGTATTGATTTGAATAAATCTTTTGAGAAAGGTGACTTGATGTTTCTTCAAGTAATTGATAAAGTAATGATCTTATGGAATTCGAATGAAGAATCTTTGGCGCCCATTTATATTAATCTAAACAATTTAAAAAAGTTCAAAATTAACCAAGAGCTGAAAATTGAATTAGAAATATCAAAACGGAATGAGTTCTGGAATATATATTCATTAGTAACTCTTGATTCAAAATCAGAAAGTTTGAAGCTTAGTATTGAATTGAAGAAAATACAATTAGTTCCTTCATTCCTTAAAATACTCCGTTTCATCGTAACCCATAATATCAGCAAGATTTCCATAGCTACCACTACGGTATCTGCTGTATCACAAACTGCAGATCAAGAATCGCCTAAACAAATATCAGCATCATTATCATCAGAGAGTCAGTTAAGTAATATCGACTTTTCCAGAGTCGGACTTAATAACTTCCCAAATGGCCAGAAGCTGATCTCTAACTCAAAGATCCTTTCTAAAAAATCAAATTCAAGTTGCATGACAAGTCAATCAAATTTAGATTTGGTACCTTCCATTAAAGAAAAACTTAGAAATCATAAGACAAAAGAGAATAGTTCCCTTGTTAAGGTACCTCCCGAATTTTTTGGTGAAGATCCTTTATCAATTGAGCCATTGCAGTCTGAAAATGATAGTATTAAATTTCAAGAGTTCTTAGAAAATAATAAACAGAGCATTTCAAGGGCATCATCGATATATTGTGCCCAACAAGTAAACACATTGCCTACCCCAACTAAAATTATCAATGATCTTCACAAAGTGTCTAAAAGATATGGAAAAAAGACTAAAAAACAAAGCCATAAAAGAGATATATGGGACTTCTCATCATCTGTTCCTTCATCTCCTCTGAAAAAACCAAAATTGGTGACAAATTCGATAAGATCATCGAAGTCAACCGAACCAGAACATCTTGCTCAATCAATAATCCCAGATTCTCTAGCATCGCCTACATTATTAGTAGCTTCAAGAAAAAGAACCAATAATGAAGAACCCAAGGAGAATTCCGATGCTCAGAAGGGTCACAATCTTTTTGCAACCAAACCACAATTAAAATCAAAATCAGAAAATAATAATTCAAGTAATAATATTGAACCTACAACACCTACAAAAACCAGAAACCAACCTAGAAAGCTATACGATGACTTGCTTGATAACTCTTCCGCAAAGAAAAACAACACAATTCAGGTCGGAGAGTCTTTGACTAACGATACGTACAACAGGGAAAAGTCCATTCGCAATTTTCTCGATAGCATTACTAAACTGAGTGAGTGTATTAAGCCAAGTATTGGGAATGCAGTTGATAATCTTGAGACACAAGATAGATCATTAGATATGAACACGCCCGCTGTAGGTAATTCAACAACATTTCTAGAAAACGATAAACGAAATGTTGATGCAACCACTGTAACTGATGATTCGAAAACAAATAATGAAAAGTCGCTTGCATCAATACAAAAGAACATCAGTGAAAACTCTCTTCTAGAAGATACTACTATAAAAACATCATTTCATGAGTATGGTTCCATGTTCAAAGAACATGATATTAACAAGCAATATAGTTTAATCTACGAAGGGATGAACTTGTTATCTTCTAATCTTATAAATAGAATCAAGAAATTCGAAAATGATATATTCCAAAAGCAAAAAGAGTTACATGAAGACCTAGAAATGAATTTCAAACATATTGCTATACAACATTGTGAAAATTTAAAAAATTTTAATAATTATGTTAAGATGAAGAGCGACGAAATTTTTAAGGATTTTCAATGAATTATGTCTATGATACTATATACTATAAATATATTCTAATCCTACGAGCTTTTAAAGCCTAAAAATTTGAAAATTTCATTATTAAAACCTTTTGGATTATCCAAATAAAGATGATGGCCTGAATTTGGTAATATACTGAATTGCGCCAAGCTTTTCCTTGTAGCTGAGTTTGATAATTTATTAATTTCGTTTGTCATCTCTAAACCGGCCTCTTCATTCATCCAATCTTTATCACCATATATCCAAAATGTTGGAGTATTCATTTTGACAAATTTTTCTGGGCATCTGTCTAATAATGGCAACTTGGGCAAAGCACCAGTTGCTAAAACCCTAGTAATTGCATATTCACCAGAACCTTTAGCATTGAACACTCTATATATATAATCATGCATGGCTTGAAATTGCTTAGGGTTCGAGAAATACATATGGGCAAATCTATGGGTAGTCCATCTCGAAATCATTTTAGATTTAAAAGGACCCATAGTACGAATGATCGAAAACGGAGAAAAGTTACGTTTCCATAGCGCATCAAGTAACTTTCTACCTCTTGTTACTTTTTCTTCGTCGGGCTCTTGGTAGTCATTATGAATAATTGATTCCTGATCCGCATTTACCTCGTCTTCCAAAGATATACTAGGAGCACCTTCATTTTCCAGTTTTCTGCGTTCGTCTGAAATACCAGCAGACTTCTCGTCTTTCAACAACGAAAACTTATTTCTCTCGAGTCCCACAGGACTGATCAATACCAATTTGTCAACCATTGCTGGCTTCATTTTTCCTGCCGCATCAGTTAATCTCTTGTTATATTTCATCACGTATGCACAACTTAAGTATCCACCAAACGAATGGCCCATCAAAATAAATCTGTTAATGTTTCGCTTCTGTCTCCATTCTTCAACCGCATCAATAAACCAATCTTCTATCTTGTATATATCTTCTTTAGTCTCAGAAGGAAAGTTTGGAAACTTAGGTCTTGACGAAAACCCGAACCCCAAAAGATCTATAGCATGTATCTTTATTCCCGGTGCCGACGATAACAAATCAAAGTTATCAATAAACAAGCCCAATGACGCAGCATACCCGTGTATCAATACAACATCGGTGACTGGTTCCTTATCTTCTACTGTCAGACTTGTCGGCGTTTCTGTATTCTCAATATAGAATTCATGTATATAGTTCCCGCCACCGATATCTGTGTTGATGATTTCTGCCTTTCTTTTCCCATCTGATTCAGGAAAATGGCAATCTCAGAAGTAAATTGTGCTCTACTTGTTCATCAGAATAATTTTTTTGTAATCCCTGCTTGTACCAATCTCTAGCTGACTCCTTCCAAGTATAGGGTGGTGTAATCCTGCCGTCTTGGAATTCGTTTTGTTTGGCCTTTCTGTTAGCCCATGCGTTCAGTTTTTCTGGAGCTCCCTCCATCTTAGTTTCAACTTGTGTCGAGGACATTTTCCTGATATTACCACCTTTTACAGCTTTTAACCTGTGAAGGAATCATTTACTAACGTTCCATGCCATATCGCCTGGTTTATAAATGCTCATCTGATATAAACCCGTTAAATCCGTCGGTCGTTTCCGGATTCGGTCGAAATCAAATTCTCTACATTAGGCTTACATTATCCGTAAAAGAAATTAGATCTAAGGCTTCTTGCGCCCGAATACTAGGTCACCGCTATTCGTACAGCCCGTTATACAACCTGCTTATCTCAATAACACATATACCACAAAAACATTTTTCCTTCCGCCTCTTTTTTTTTGCCACCGCCAACTCATAGATAACAGAGCCTAATCACATATCAATCTATTTTAAGCAGTGATGGCTCAATGATTTTACGAACTCCAACTTGTAATATCGACACAACATGTAATTATCGATAAAATGCGTTTTGCAATCAAGTTTTACATGTTACATAAATGTCTTTTGTGATACTTCCGTCAACTTTTGGTCTTCCCCTCCTTTGGGTCGAACCCAGCGCACTTGATGCGGCGCACGACTCTGTCGGTGGGTCCGATGAAGAAAACCAGACCACAAAAGCGAAAATCGTGGATGCACCGAAAAGCTCCAAAGCACCTTCAATCACTCAGAGCTCAATTTTTTCTGAAAAATCTCTGGTGAAAAGTGAACGTAGAAGAGATTTGTAAAATTGTAATTAACTACATATATCTTATTAGTATACAAAATGGTATGTACGAACCCAGAGGAACAGAGCATCAAGAAGCCACTTCTAATAGGTGCTATGGCAACATAAGGGCCTTTCAAATGGATGGTGGTGCTGCTGCAATAATCGTTGGACACAATATTAACAAAGTTTTTTAGGACACTAAAACTCCAGTTACTTTAGCTAAAGTTATCAAGGTCTTGGGTAGAACCGGTTCCAGAGGTGGTGTCACCCAAGTCAGAGTTGAATTCTTAGAAGATGCCTCCAGAACTATTGTCAGAAACGTCAAGGGTCCAGTCAGAGAAAACGACATCTTATGCTTAATGGAATCCGAACGTGAAGCCAGAAGATTACGTTAAGAAGCTTTATTATCCCACACCTTTATATTGAATTATAATCATTTACTAAGAACTAATCGGTTGATATTTATTTACATATATATTGGGGTTCAAAAATTTTATTTGTCATATTTTGCTTGCTTACGTTTACCACTTCATCCTCCATGTTTTAATACATACAAATTATAAGGTTTGATCGTTACCAGAATACTAGCTAGTTAGTATCTGGGGTGTAGTTCGCCAGTAAGGAAATGTAGAACATAGTAGCAGTCACATAGTCACGACTCAATAATCCGCTTTTTCGCGACTAGAGCCCTAAATTGTGCTTTTGTGTAACATCGCCACTTTTTTTCATTTCTCCTCCGGTTTGGTGCGCTAATAGTGAAATTTTTCAGTATTGTTGTTACAATTTATTAGGTTATTTCATTATAGATATTAATATACAAGATGGCTCAACGTGTTACTTACAGAAGAAGAAACCCATACAACACCAAATCTAACAAAATCAAGGTCGTCAAGACCCCAGGTGGAAAATTAGTTGCTCAACATGTCAAGAAGCTTGCTTCCAGACCAAAGTGTGGTGACTGTGGTGATGCTTTACAAGGTATCTCTACTTTAAGACCAAGGGAATACGCCCAAGTTTCCAAGACCCACAAGACCGTCCAAAGAGCTTACGGTGGTTCTAGATGTGCCAACTGTGTCAAGGAAAGAATTGTCAGAGCTTTCTTGATTGAAGAACAAAAGATCGTCAAGAGAGTCTTAAAGGAACAACAAGAAAAGGAACAAAAGGCCGCTAAGAAGTCTGGTAAGAAATAAATCAATTAAGATTTAATGATTACGCCGGGATTTTTACTTCACTTAGAAATTCAACTTGTATTTTTAATTTTATGAGAGAACCTACATATTTTTATTTTATTTGATGAAGATTTACTATTATGAATTGGGCTTATCTTTTTACATCACATCTTTTACCAACGGTTTCTGTCCGGAGATCAACAAAATGAGAAAAAAATATATGGTAGTTTGTCATAGACGAATTTATCATGTCATTAATCATGTATTTATATATATGCTACTTGCATTAGATATTAATTTCTAAATATTAATAAACTATTACCTTTAGTCGAATATCATAGGAGCGTGGATATTGTACTAGTTTTGAAAGAAGTGTTTAAAGGCTTCTTTTGTTGTTTTTTCTTTGTTCTTGGTCCGTTCCTTTGACCAATAGCTTTGAACTTTCCCAAAGAAAATAAGATGCTTGACATCATTGAATCTCGGCTCTTTTAAAATTTCATGATATAAGTCTAAAGCTTTCATATCTAATCTTTCTCTGATAAATGGTTTTAGCTTCTCTGGTAGTCTCTTATAAGGAGGATGCTTTAAATGCTTGTAGTTGACTTCTACATTTTGCGTAGACCATATGTACTTGATTGAATACAAAGATTCACAGTCATATTGTTTAAGAGGATGACTTAGATGTCTGGACCTGTTCTTCTCTGAAACCTTGTTATTCTTGCAACCTTTCCTTGACTGTTGAGAACAAGAATACTTGATCGAAAAAACTTTTAATCCTCTACCCTTGGACGGCACTTCCTTTCGTACCCATCTATATCCTGTAAGATCGAGTAACGGTTCAACGTATTTCTCGTGTATTTTAGCAATAACGTCCTGTCGTATCGCCTTTTCCCCTTTCTCTGTTAATTCACTCAGTGAGGGTATCTTTGGTAAATCTCTATCAACAAATGAAATTTTAATTACTTGGGTCGAGTACTTGTAATTTTGTGACAAAACATCAATAAGGTCTTTACAACTATTAATATCTGAATTCTCTGAGTTGATCACCACGAGTTTATCATCCGCTTCATTGTATTCAGTATATGCACTGCGTGCTGGATCGTGACATATGTCTGGTAATGGTGTACTATCATTAGAACTCACCGATGAAATCGACGTTGCAGTTGACCTTCTTGAAGAAAATTGGCTTTTCCCTGAATCACTGTCTTCATCTGACACATTATATTCTTCTATTTTAGCCCTCTTGTGTGGACTTTCAGGCAAATTTTCCAATTCCCTTTTACCTTCTGGCTTAATGCCAGGAACAACGGTTTGAGGCTCCGTCTGGTTAAGTAAGAAATTAATATCCATGGCCTCAAATTAGCATGGTATCTAGAAAATTTTCGAGTAGCTGGCGTTGTAGCGATCCGTTTCATATTCTAAAAGGGTAGGCATAATTGTTTCAGCTACCTTCATTGGTCATAAGATAGTACCAAAATTACACCACTTACTCGCACTCTGGAGAATGAAGGAATTTTGCAATCATTAATATTATTAGCAATTCATATACTAGCACATCGTAAAAAGAAGATCCTGAGTTAAAGTAGTACTTGCTTTTGCACATGCATAGTTAATTAGCTGTTTGAATTAGTTTTAAGTTGTAATTTATCAAAGTTCTTTTGAAATGAGTTATCGCTTGAGGATTACATTTTTTATCGTGGAACAATACTGGCATTCAATTTCTTAAAAGTTCTTTATATTTATACATTCATTCAAGTTCACCAATTGACTAGAAAGAATAGGAATTGGGTGCTTTATATTTGAAATGCATCAAGTTTCGTCTGGGTTCCTCCAATTATAATTGACTAGGATTCTTTTCTTCAAGAAAGTTATATTCACAATGTACTCAGGTCACACATATCATACCTTAAGATATCTTAGTGTAGATTCCAACAAATGTTCTAGCCCATAGGTCTAGCAAAAGCAGTTGTTAGGATTACTTGTAGATATTATCGCGACATTTCACGACATAATTCACAGAAATGTCGTAGTACGAATTACGTTCAACTAATTATTATTTTTGGTACTAGGATTTCAAGGCTAACTAATCATCAAGCAGTTAAAAGAAAGATGTCTGATTTAGATGATGATTTATTGGCATTAGCAGGTGCAGGGGACTCGGAATCCGAAGTGGAATCTGAAGTTCCTTTGAAGCGTCAAAGTAAGTCTAGTGATAGCACTGGGTCATCAAAGAAAAGGCGAGTTGACACTAGTGATTTAGAATTTGATGATCAAGGTGAAGAAGAAGATGATGATGAAGGTGATGAAGAGATCGAGGAAGAGGAAGATGATTTGGTGAATCCTTATCCCCTTGAAGGTAAATATAAGGATGAAGAAGATCGTGAGAACTTATTAGCTATGGATGAAATTCAAAGAGAACAAACATTGTTCGAAAGAACTCAGGAAATGGAAAGCTATAATGAAAAGAAGTACTTGCAGCAAAGAATGAAGCAACAACAGCAAGCTACTGGTGGTGCTAAGGCCACAAGATCTAGTAATAGGACTAAGCCAACAGGTAAAAGTTCAAAACTTGACAAATTAAGTGAATTGAGGAAGCAAAGGGAACAAAAATCACGTAAAGAAAGTAGAAGAGATTATGATGATTATTCCGACGAAGGAGAAGAAGATGACGATGATGAACGGGGCTTTATTGAGGATGATGAAGATGAATACGGATATGGTGAAGATGAGGTCGTTTGGGGATCTGGAACTAGCTCCAAATTCAAGAAGAGAAGCAATGAGCGTGCTAAATTGGAAGATGTAAATAGAACTAGAGTGGGGCGTTCTATTTTACTTAAACATTGTTTTTACAGTGACTTTACCGAGACTATAATCGATTGCTTTGCTAGAATTAATATTGGTATGGACAAGAGAACAAAGCAGCCAATGTATAGAATGGTACAAATAAGTGACGTCAAAAACATACCTGAAAAGGCATATAATACTCCAAATTTTAAATGTGACATATATTTAACAGTGAATCAAAATAAAGAACAAAAGAAAGATTTCCCCATGAGCATTTTTTCTGATTCCCCTATATTACCTGAAGAATTTGACAGATATTTGCATGAATTGAGCAAGACTGGAGAAGAGATATCCTATCTAGATGATGTAAATGAAAAATACGAAAGCTTACAATACTTATTGAATAGAGGAGTTTCAGATAAAGATGTTAATGAAATGATTGCTAAAAAGCAAAAGTTACAGTCCAACATTCAAGGCTACGATGCGGTTTTCCAGAAAACCAGGGTAATGGACCAATTAAAGATTGCCAAACAAGAAAACAACTTAGCTAAAGTTAAAGAGTTGAGTGATAAATTACACAAGTTGGATCAAATATTAATTTCTCAAACCCTGTCGAACAATAATTCAGAGTCGTCTAACTCCATGTCTAAAGTGAACGAAAGAAATAGAAAATTGAACTTGTTAAACATCGATAGGGTTGAAACCAAGTCATCTCAACAAAGGAAGTTGGCAGAATATGATGGAGGTGATCCATTCTCTAGATTGAAGACGAAAACCAAGGTGTTCTACCAAGATTTAATCAACCAAGAAAATGAAAAAGCAATCGATGATGCCAAAATGAACTACGAAACATTAGTGGCTGAAAAGACAGAGAAGGAAGCAAAAATTGCTCGCTCAAGCTATAGATGTCTAGGAGTCATGGACAAGTTGATCAAAGAAATTGATCTTGATTTGGAAATCAATATTTGATAAGCGCAATTATGTCAGCGTTATGATCTAGTGCGTAAACAATTGTATTAGTATATAAAATAAATATAACATTGTAATCTAAGAAGGCTTTACGATATCGTAATTTTCCGGATGTAAATGTCATCAAGGTTACGTTACATCAAGTGTCACCCTTTTGGCTTAAAGTAATCAAACTAGTCGCAATACCATAATCTCAGTGACCATACTGCACCTACATGTACAATTTAACCAAATAATTTATATTTACACAAGAATAAAAATATATACAATAAAATGCAAAATACATCAAAACTACATCATGATTCATCAAAAGTACCCTCTAATCGGCACTTTATTCTAATATGCCATTCCTAGATTTCCAATTCTTCCCTGAATTGTAATCTCAATTCATATCTTTCCCTTTCCTTATCGTAATCAAGCTCAGATCCGTCAATTTCTTCGTACTCATATGGCAAATTAGAGTAATACGAATGGATTGAATTACTTGAACTGCTCGAGCTAAACGACTCGTAGTATGCTTCGTTGTTCACCGATGTTCCTGCAAAATTCTTCAAATTGGTGGAATTATCCAAGAGATATGCGTCATCGAGCCCGCTGATCATACTGTCAACGTCACCAAATGACTCGGTAGAAACTCCTATCGTGCGGTCGTAGTTGTAATTATTGACGTCGCTCATCTCGTCGTCGCTCTCTTCTGTATTATCCGTCTTTCTGTCTGTGTCTTTTGCGGCAATTACATCGGCATCCGCGACCTCCGGCCGATGCTTATATCTTAATACCGATCCCAATTTTCCCAATAACGACTTCTTTTTCGATGTTTCCAGCAACGAACTGTCCGATGACCCCCAACTCATCTGTTTGCACATTTCCAGTTCCAGCATCCGGGATGAACTGGATCTTTTCTTCATGTGAAATATCGATTTCGGCCTTATTAACTCGGGTGTGTAGTTAACCTCGCACGGTAAATCGAAAGTAATTGTGTTATCAATTACATTGATATAATGATATTGTTCCAACACTTCATCATACTGAAGTTTCCATGGATTGTTTAAAGGTTCACTCTTCATTGTGTTTTCGTGTTCTTAGTATATTCTTGCGCACTGTAAAAAATATCGCTCTCGCTGCCACAATGCCTAGGCAAATTATCAATTTATATCCAAATTGTGTCTAACAATGTTCACTACTTTAAAACCACTATTCCCAATGTTAAGATAATGGAGAACGGCTATTTATATATACTTTGATAAATTATCGTATTCATGCACGCTTAGAAATGGTCAATTTCTTTGCAAGTAAAATTATACTCTATTTATAATCCATCCCTAATTTACCTTTAATTTGCAGCTGGATTAGAAATAACAAGGTTTAAACCCGTCGGAAACAAATTATCTCCGTTATCCGCTCAGTAAATAGCATGGCCTTAGGAGCCGAGCGATTATTAAGCGCCCTAAATACTCCATTCGGGACGGCTAGGTTTAGGCCTAAAAGGGATATCTCCGATCAGAGCCGTTCGCAAAAGTTTACAAAAGTCATCGATGATGGTTATACGACATTGAAAAAAAATGTGAAATGCGTAATGCTGAATGCGACATTATTTCTAGAAATAGTTTGATGTATGGGTTTGTTTTCATATTTGTGGTGTATTGATGTTTTGGGTAATTTTAGCGTGTATTAGCCGAGGAGATTTGAGTTACACACGCTGGTATATATTTAAGTGTCCTGATATCAGATCAGAACCTACCACTTTTAAAACAGCAAGAGATTATAATTACCATGGTTTCTCAAGAATTTACTGAAAAAGTATGTGTTTTATGTACGCGAAGGGTTCTTTAACTGGTTAGTGCCAAAATTAAGACGAAAGGGCACGGTTTAGACCGGGAGGAAAAGTCAACTTGATATATGTTCTTTCTGGGGCAACGTAGCACTAACTAGAGGGGAAGTAGAGATATGAGAGTTTGGGAGATATAATTTGTTTAGTGGTCACAATTGAGTTTAGGGAGACCGCATATGGGTATTTGGGATAATTACTAACGATATTAGGCTGATGCGGTCCAAAAGTTGACCAAACGTCCCTCCGACGACGAATTGTTGGATTTGTACGGATTGTACAAGCAAGCCACTGTTGGTGATAATGACACGGCTGAACCAAGTGCCTTCAACTTCAAGGCTAAGTACAAGTGGAAATCATGGGACAAGTTAAAGGGTACTTCTCAAGAAGAAGCCGAACAGCAATACATCAAGTTTGCTGACGAGTTATTGGCAAAATACCAATAGATTTAAAGTTACAGGTCTTGATAAAATTTTATAGTTGCATGTATAATCTATATATTCTTTTTAGTTGGAGGGATATGAGTCATTATAGACTTGTTTATTCTTATTGAATAGTCCACCAACATCACAAGGGGAATCACTAAGTATGGAATATATAATGCAGCTAGTTTATAAGAATCGACGGCAGTCAAGTCGAACCTCTCGTAGTCACATAATATGTGTACCAAGCATACTAATGTTGTAAATGATGCGTTGAATCCATAAATCAACATACATGGATACACTTGTTTCATTTGCTTTACGAGCATAAAAGCCCCAATGGCAAAAAATGGTAATTGTACAAATAATTCAAATAGACCGAATACCTTTAACCAAAGTGGTAAGCTAACAAGTAAAAAGTCTTTGTTGTTAGAAATGTGGAACTCCAAGAATTGTTTTTGGAATTGAAATCTCTGTTCATCTGGAATTATGATACACGAATCAATAATCAAGGTAATGGGTATATGGATTAAGAAATATGCTATGTAGAATTTATCAATTCCACATACTGCATTTGAAGATTTGTTTGCACCAAACATTCTGTGATAGATGCTTTTCTTGTGAAAGATACTAAATGATATTTTTCATTATAAATCTCACCAGTCGGTTCATCGCGTTCAAATTTAAACGATAATATATGATATGATTAGCTATATCACAAGACATAGATATCCAAAGTTATTGTCACGTATTATGTCTACTCTGAATCTCTCGCAGAATGCTCCAAACAAGAAAATAAAATTATCTGTTGAAAATGAAGATGTAAGTGGAATTTCGTCATCAAAAGTTACCACTACCGCAACAGTTGAAACCGCTACTAGACAACTCAAGAATGATATGAAGCCTGAAACAGACTTACAGTCTATGATGCAAAATATAATCAATTCGAAGAAACCTATTTGGAAACCTCTAGTTTGGATAGATTGTGAGATGACCGGTTTAGATGTTTTTCAGGACCATATTATTGAAATTTGTTGCGTTATAACTGACGGGAACTTGGAAATAATAGACGAAAAAGGATTTGAATCTACGGTATACTACCCGAAAGAAGTATTGGATGGAATGAACGAATGGTGTGTCAATCAACATGGAAAGTCAGGTTTGACTGCTAAAGTTCTAGAGAATCCTCAATGCAAATTATCTAAAATTGAAGATGAATTGTTGGAATACATAAAGCAATACGTGCAACCAAATAAAGGTATTATGGCAGGTAATTCTATACATATGGATAAATTCTTTATGATGAGAGAATTTCCAAAGATTATTGACTATTTGCATTACAGACTAATTGATGTTTCCTCTATAATGGAAGTTGGTTACAGACATAATCCAGGATTAATGAAATTATTTCCAAAGAAAGAAGGTAATCATACTGCTAGATCTGATATTTTGGAAAGTATTAATCAATTGAAATGGTACAAGCAAAACTACCTTAAAAGTGAACTAGACACTAAAGAATTGATAGAAAAAAATAAAAACTTGGAAAACGAAACCAACACCAACGAACAATAGCTATTTCTTAGATGAATTACATACTGGGATATAATTGGTTATTTGAAGTTCGTCGCATAAAAAATTGAAATTAATAATTATTATAGTATAGCATAAATAACTACTTACATTATTTCTTCAGATCACCCTCTGTGTCTGATTCAATAGCTTCATCATCAAGTACAGTTGAATTATAACAAAACTTCCTTAAACAATTCTTAAGGCTATCTATGTCAATTGGTTTTTCGAGAACATCGTCGAATGCTTCCGATTGAATGGCCTCCTTAGAGAATCCAGTGATTGCGATTATTGGAGTATTAGAGTTTATACCACTGGTATATTTAATTAACTTAACTGCATCTGGAGCTTCTACCTTAGATGATTTCAAAGCAGTAAATATTAAGTCAAATTTAACCTGACTTGTAGCACGACGAATTAATTCGTCACCGTCAGATACAGATACGACTATGCATCCCAATGTATCCATCAACTTGGATATGGTGTGACGTACAATTGGGATTGGTTCACAGTATAGCACGTCAAGCTCATGCAATTTGGGACGAATTAGTTCTTCACTATGTTTACTTCCGAGTCTTGAAAAAGAGCCTTCACTGCTGCCTTGTCTGCGAACACTCTCCCGTCTTTTCCTCACTCTTAATAGTGCCAGTGATTTTGAATCTTCATTATCAGAACTGGATGGTGAAAAGTCATTTGTAGGAGGTTTGAATACTTGTCTTGATAATGAGTGCACTGATGATCTGTGATTGTGACCTTTAATACTCTCTGAACCTGGAGATACTTTACCCACATCAAATGGGTATTCATCGCCAGATGAATAGGTACTTACCGCAGACCCCACTCTTTCTTGTTTGTAAATAGCAGACTGTGGAGACGATTGACTTTCTTTCTCAAATCTATTAGGAGAGGAAGATCTATGGTTTAGATAATTTATAGGCGAAACCGGCCTCTTAAAGGGATTTCCCGGGCTGTTATTATTACTCGTTCCACTGAATGAAAATCCTCTTGACCTAGAGTTTGTAGTGGACTCTGATGATGAAGATGAAAAACTATTTCTATGCTCTAGATGTTCATTTTTCAATCTATTAATTACATCCTTATTGGCTTTTTCCAACACATGTAGGTTTCTAAAATGAAATGATCCAAACTCACTAGGGTCAGCCAATCTACTACCTCGTCTTTCCCGTTTTCCATTCCCCGTGACACTATTACTGGATCCATTACCATAGCTATTGCTGTTGTTACTATTAGTATTGCTACCAGTTCCACTAGCACTAGCATTTTCAAAATCCCCAATATTTGAATCCAAAACATCATCAGTATTCGTCTTGCAATTTAATGAAGGGGAACCGAATTCAGTAGTGTTGATGGACGCCGCATTAGTCATTAATTTGCTTTCCTCGTCCGAATCTTCTTTGGGAAAATGTGATATATCAGCACCTCTATTATCAAAGTAGTCCGTAGATTCTGGATCATCCAGAGTAGGAATGAATGAAGGAACCTCCTCAAATAATGTAAACCAGTTAATTTCTCTAAAGTATGGATGTCTTTTTATTTCATCTGCTCCATTGTATCCTAATCTTTCTTCGGGTTTCAAGGTTAATAGTTTTTTAATCAAATCTTTTGCTGTTGCTGGGCATATTTCTAGTTCTTCTTCTTCTGATAATGGTGGCCAGTCTATTTCACAATTCAAAATATTTTTGAAGACTTTATCTGGAGTATCAGCATGAAATGGTGGATACCCAAATAAAAATTCAAATAATATACATCCTAGAGACCACCAATCGGAAGATTCACTTTGCGTTTCACCGGAAATAGTTTCTGGTGCTAAGTAATCTGGAGTTCCCACAAAATTTTTCATTTCAGAAGAGTCTTCATTCTCAGGGTCAAACAACGCATAAGAATTCACAACATCTTGATTGTGAGATGAAAGCGTTGGATAATCATCCTCAGTAATTGAAAAGGAGGACTCTGATGCTGTTCTCGCTAGCACTGGCTTTAATAACGGTGATTCTAACGAGCCTGATCCTGTTCTTCCGGAACCACCTTTAAAACTACCAGCAAAACTTTGCCTATTATTCCCTTGCTTTTGCTGTGGCATCTGAAGAGGACTTGGTTGAGATTGTTGACTTAAAGGTTGTCCGAACGTGTCACTAAATGGTACAAGAGGAGAAATCAACAGTGAACCAGCTGCTGAAGCAGGGGTCAATTTTGCATGGTCAAAACTTGGTGATAATGAGAACAAAGTATCAGATGTATTCCTTTTATGTACGCTAGCCTCGGACGATGGCGAGTCATTAGCACTTGTTAATCCTAACCCTGATACATTGGCAAATGCAGTTTGATTTGCTTGATTAAGGCTTTTTCGGAATAAATCGATTGCTTGTTCCGATGTACTACTCTTTCTTTGAGCTCTAGTTTGTCTCCCCACAACTCCCATTCTGGACAAACCGAAATCCGTCAATTTTAAATGCCCCTTACTATCTATGACTAAATTATCCGGCTTTAAATCTCTATGAATTATACCTCTTTTGTGCAAATCATCAACACCCACCACTACCTCAGCCACGTATCTTTTAGCCCACTCATTTCCCAAAGTACCTAATACCTTTAGTAGTGTTGCACAGTCACCACCATTCAAATATTCCATAACCAAATAAAGATAATCTCTGGTCTGGAAGCTGCTATATAATTGAGCAACATAAGGTGAATCGGTCTGTCTCATCATAACAGCCCTTTCGGATTTCACATTTAAGATTTGATTTTTGGCTACCATATCTCTTTTTTTCAAACACTTAATCGCTACATAATCTCCTGTCAATTTTCTTTTAGCTAAAAAGACCGATCCAAAAGCACCCTTACTAATAGCTTTTAGCACCTCATAATCTCTAATATCACCGGTTGATGGTTTGCTTGTTGGAGTCAGAGAAACCAACAAAGGAGATAATGGTGGTTTGTTCGTTGAATTCTTGTTCGAATTAAAATTTAAGTTCAACGAAATATTATGATTATGCCAACCTCCTGTACCTGCCCTCTTTTCATATATATGACCGCCTTTGTCGCTATGTTGAAACTCAGTATGAGCAAATGATGGAGATGATAATGGAGTGTTAGTTTCGAATCTAGAGTTGGTATTTCTTTGAAATGAGGATAAGTTTTGCTTTTCAATATATGGAACAGGTGATAAATGCCGCCTTGGTGAAGAATATGACGAGTTGTTTGACAATCCTTCCGACGACTTTTTACTTAAATCTAAGTCATGCAATGATTCAGCTAAGTTATTATCTTTAGAACGATTTCTGGAATGACTTCTTGAATTAGCAGATAGTGATGATGTGGATAATGAATTTGTCAGTAACCCACTCGAAGTTCTACCTCTGAGTAATATATCCCTGGGTGTTATAGATTGGTTGGACTTAACTTCATCTTTTACGTATGGTTCCGCGAATAACTTAGACTGAGGACTTCTTGTTCGCGACGGTTGAGGAGATTGAATTGAAAGATTGGTAGAATTGTTTGTAGAAAGTTTGGGAACCTCTAATTCATCTCCTGAAGGTTTTTGATCATTCTCATTCGAAAATATTGCAGTAGAGTCATTGTCATCGTAGGAATAAACAGAATCGTGGTTTTGTTCATTCATCATTGTTTGTTCTTTTATTTTTGCGACTGTTTCTCTCACAGTTTGCAAAACTAATTCATCAACTTCATTCTTAATCTTCTCAGAATATTGTAAAATTGATAATAACCTTGATAGCGTATCAATTTTATCATTCACGAGGATTTGCGTATCTTCTATAAGTGTTCGAATAGATAAATCTGACGTCTCATATGCCTTCCAATTGAGAACAAAATTAATAGCTCTTTCAGAGTTAGGACTAAATTGAAAACTCCCAACTTCATTGGTATCGGCTGGATTTATTTGGAGAGCTTCATCGCAGAATTCGACTAATCTTTGAAAAACTCCGAATGGAAATTTCTTGGTCTGGAGTGATTGGAGAGCAGAGGCATTTTTAACCAATACTTGATTCGACAATCTTGGGGATTCCATTGGACTTATCTTCGGTAATGGGAGACCCTTGTAGTCTAATATCATACTAGTTGAAGAGTTCATCAGATTTATTGAACTTGATGACGAAGACGGAGGTGATGAAGAAGGTGATACAGAAGCTGAGTTATTCACATTTTGGGATATCTGAGACTGTTGTATCCAAATATTTTCAGAAAGCTTGAGGATTAAGTCTTTTTGGTTTGAAATAGCATCATGACACACTTGTAAATCTTCACTTACCCTGTGTTCAACAATACAAAGATCGCTGTGTTTTTCAATAAACCAAGCTGGTACATTCTGTTCGCAAATTCGACAAAGAATGGTTTTTGGCTGAGGGACAGAGTCCTCGTCAATAATTCCTAGCTCTTTTAGGCTTACAAGATATCCTTCAAATATCTCTGATCCAAACCCCAACAAACTAATCAATTGGTCAGGTAATGTTAAATCAAGATCAATATGAATAAATGGTTTGATTGTCCATATTGAATGCGTAGGTAATTTAGTCTTCGAATCGTGAATTAATATACCTTGAGCTTCTAACTCAATTACGTTACCATTGTTAGATAATTTTGAACTGGTACTGCTGGATGAATCGCTCTCCGAGTTGGTATTATAATTAGGCGTAGGATCATATTGTAAATCCTGTATGGGTATGTCTTTAGTTACATCTTCTAACGAATTATGTGGTGTTATCTTTCCGCTTGAATGTGATTCAGCAAAAGTTGAGGAATATTTATCATCTGTTGCTGTAACAAATTTCACTTTATAGCTACCATCATCTCTTATCATCAGTTCTATCGAGCTATTGAATACTTTTGAGTCATCGTCATTACCAATAATAATATTTGAAATTGGTTTATTTACAATCTTTTTAATCTTTGTCCCCACAATGGTTTCCCAGTTCTGACTTAAATACCGTATATTCCCGTCGAGATCCAATTCCATTACTGCTGTAGGATTATCAGAAGATGCCAATCTTAAGTCTATTTGTTCTTGGATAATCTCTACAAAATTAGGGAAATCCATATTAGGTTTCCGATTTTCTTCACCCCTAGCTTCTGAGCTGCCTTCATAGTCATTATTCGTATGAACTAGAGAGATTTCACATGGAGAAACTGACCTTTCTAATTCCTTAATATTAGATTCGGAGAGTTCAAAACGTGGAGCATTGAATATTGACTTGTCTATATCCGTCTCGTTATACGTCTCATGTAATGCTTCATGTGAATTATGATTTATGGGATTATTATTTTGGTTTTGTCTGTTTATCGAATCTTCAGAATTAATTATAGTTATAACGACCCTAATGAAACGATACAACTTCTCTATGAAGTACTATTAACTTGGATATGTTCAATAGTTATTAGAGGAGATTTTAAATTAGCGGTTATTCTTATCACTTTCTTTTCGCGCACTTAAGCCTTAATACAATAATAAAATATTAATTTATAGAGAATCAAGGAACATAGATAAAGAGGTAGATATGAAGCAAGCGATATGCTAAATACGTGTTGTAGATCCTGGCTTGTTTAATTACAATGCAATATGATAAAAGTAAGCGAATAGTAACAAAAAAAATAGACACTCTACTCTAAGGCGCATTTAGTTTATCAGTAGATTACTCTTCCAGAAAAGGCGAGGTTTGATTGCCGGCAAATTGGCCCGTTGTACATAGCGAACACTTCATTAGTATTCTCTGGAAGGAAAAGGCTCTCGTTAGCCAAAGTATTCTAGACATCAGCCTCTGTCAAGATAGAGTTCACCGCAGATACGCTCAAAACTCCTACTGATTGGGAATTATTAAATAGGTACTATTCTTTTTAATGTAAGTTTCTAACTACAAGTAAATACAAAATATAAAAATATTTAATTATTTGTTGGAAATAATTAAAAAACCTTCGTGTTGAAGAATTAAAAGTCGTTAATCATTAGAGTTGGATCTAGGTGTTAAAGTTGGATTTAACAATATTAATCATAGCACTTCAATAAGGGCATACGACTAATTATAAGTTTTAAAATAAGCATTTCACCGGGATGGATTATATCAATATGCAATTCAATTCCATGCTTATTTAGTGTATTCGAATGTGGAAAAAGTATCAACTACGGATCTTTTTTTGATATTTTCTAACAAATCGCTATTTTTTTGTTCGTTTTGTTTCACTATCAAGTTCTTTAAGCATTTGTTTTCCATTTCTAAGGTTTTCAATTTCTTTTCTAACCCTATCACTCTGTCTTGTAATTCCTTGGATTTTTGTTGCATTTGCTGTTCCTTCATCTTCTTCTTGATACGAAATCTAGCGCTAGCTGCTGTGTTTCTTTTCCTCTTGTCTTCCATGGATGGATCTGAAGGGGTTTGTTGTTCTATGCTTTGTTCTTGTTCAAATTGCTGGTTCACAGGACTCACTTCTGATTCTTCCAAATTCAATAATAATCCAAAATCTTGGTCTTGTTCCTGTTTTATGGCATATTGTTGTTGCTTCGTTGGCGCCGTAGTATCCTTAGCAAACACATCCAAATCAAAAAATTCAGATTGACTAAACAAATCCAAATCATTGGTAGAGTGCTCTGTGTTTGGAGACACGTTTTCGAAATCTATATTGAGATCGTTCAAATAATCAGTTGCTTGAAAATTCATATTGTATGATATATATCGTGTCTTTCGTAGCTATATGATGAAGTATATCATAAAAAGATTTAGATTGCTACGATATAAGTATAAATATTGATGAAAAAAATCGATTAAGCGCACAAAAAAAATGAAAAAATTTTTATCCGACTTAATTACTAATTCAATTACAAATACAGCGCATGTTTCCTATTATTTTAATCAAGCCTACTATATATAATACATATTTGGTATAGATGAGAACTCCTGGTATGGGGCATTGTCCTACCACGTATATGAGACACGTAGCTACTCTATCTATCGATCTATCTATATTACTAGTAAATCTTCAATGAACTCTTGACTTCGCTCCACGCCGAAACCGGTATGACTCAGACTCGGAAAGTGAGATGAATCATCTGCGACTATAATTCCATGTAGTTAGACTAGACACTAATTAATTAGGCATCACTATTACTACTAAGCGTTTTTTGTATATGAGAGCTGGGTATTTTCCATCACTTTCAGGAGGAATGGTTAAATGGATTAATCTAACTTAAGAGATATTCTATAAATTCAGTAATGATAAAACAAAAATTCAGTAATGATAAAACGATAATTTCGAAAGAGTCAAAAAGATAGTCACCATGAGTACGACTGCAATATTATATATTTACTCCTTTAAATTTCAGCTAGCTAGTCGTTCTGTAAACAAAGTAAAGTAGTTCATATATTAATCTAGCCATTTATATTTCCGCAACCAATTATTTTATCTATATCCTATTTTCCTACCCATATAAATTAATTATCTAGTTTAAGCGTTTTGTTTAATAATTTAATATTGTATCATAGATCTCAGTTCTTTCATAGTCATTGATTTTTGAAGTTCCATTGGTATGGTAATATAAATGACATGCATTTGTCGGTTGCAGTCAAAATCAGCGCTGCTACCGCTTATACGCATACTATCAATGGTCAATAGAATCAACTAATGATTTTAAAACAAATGATTCGTTGTTTGAGTCCTGCTCTTTTTCACTTCCATCTCCCTTTCCATTAAGGAACTTCCGAGGAATTTCTCCTTGCCCTTGCATAGACAATCTTCTATTATAATCACCATAATACCCTTGATATGATAATCTTCCGTCAGAGTAAGGTGGGAAGGGATGCTGCCCCATTGATTGTCTAAACGGATCGTTAATTAATGGCATATGTCCAGATGCTGACATTGGACCGGCACCTTGTCCCCCTGAGGTTGCAGGTGCCGATCTATTATATTGTTCCTGAACCTGGAAATGTCCATTTGGTCCTGGCGCGCTAGGTCCTGCCATAGACATGGGTCCTGACCCTGGCCCGTGTCCTGGCCCTGCCGCAAAATTTTGAAATGGAACATTTGTATGTGGATCGGGTCCCATGTTGAATTGATTGAATGGTTGATTACCCTCTGTTGCTGGTTTATATTGTTCGTTAGAAGTATTAGAGTTATTTAAAATAGGACTGACATAATTTTGCAAACCAGCATTTGGGATATAAGGAATTCCAATAACAGCACACATCCAGATTCTTGTCTTATAAATTCTAAATAATTCTCTTACCAAATCCCTAAAATCGATTCGCTTATGTGTTGAGTAATAGAATATTAATTTTTTCCTATCAAACTGATATTCTGCATCAATCAATTTCATCTGTAACAAATCCATGGAGTTAGTGGAAGTAGGTCCATTAGGAGGAATTAATTCGTTACCATTGCTAGTAGCATTAGTAATATTTGCAATCTTCGCCAAGCAAAGTCTGCAAGCCTTCTCTTCATCCTGCTTTTTGTTTAAAATCTGTAGTATATCATTTGGTTGAGCCAACGAAATTATAGGCTTAGGGTAGTGTAACGTAGGTGGTGATATAGGAGAAGTTTGGAAATTCAAATTTTTAACAGATAAATCCGTAACAACATCATTTTCAGATAATGCGGCCTGTTGCTCTTGAAACTGCAATAATTTCATCAACCTTGCCTCATCAATAGAAATGTTCATCTTGAAGATTTTTCCTAAATCCCTTCCTCTGTCTGCCTCGACGATAACTAAATCCCCAACCTTCAAATTCGCAACTTCATTAGATGCTGGCAAATAAAATACATCGATTCTTCCTGCCTTAAATCCAACAAGAACCAATTGATAATTCCTAAGAGAATTTTCAATAGGGAATTTGGGTAACTGGTAAGATTCTCCTAAGTACTTCTCCTCGTCAAAATATCTTTCGTTCAACAACAGGACCGTCACCTTAACTCTCTCGTGTGGGTCCTTCTCAAAATATTCATTAACCATTTCCAAAGTGCTGTCATCCAGCAAGAAGTTAGGGTTAGGAGGCAATGTTGAAAGCGAAGGTTGTTTACCAACCCCAGCATTTTTATGGTTGTACACATCTCCATACGAGTGTCTCCTCAAATTAATCCCGTATTGCCCCAAATTCTCGTACTCGGATTGCGGAGGTGACTTTGGGCTGAATGAATGTACCTGGCCTGCAAATGAGTTCCTGTTAAACATTTGCGGCATCTGTGATACGAAATCATTCGGTGCTCCAACACTACCACGATTCATGGACCAAATATTAGCATTGGCTCCATTTGGAACTGTGGGTCCACTTGGTACACCCGGCCCATTCGGACTGCCAGCTCCTGGTGGTCCCTGACTATTAGCTCCTCCAGCTCCCGAGCCACTAGACACGCTGTTTCCACCACTGTTTCCACCGCTTCTCGGAACTCCTGTTCCCATACCTGTGTTGTTATTACTGTTGGCCCATATCGAGTCAAACGCAGACGACCTTCTTTGCGAAGGCGATCCTTGACTGTTGGTCAACCATATCTGATCTTCTCCGAATGATGAAGAACGCATTATAACTTTATAACTCTCTTTTGCTAATACTTTATTTTATATCTAATTAGCTTGTAGAAGAATGATCAAAATATAATTTAGGGATACTTATTCTCCTTATCAAGTATATTTAAGAGCAATTACTAGGGTCACCTGATTTCCAGAATCAGGTTTTAGGTCGTCCTACACTTACCTTACTTAAGTGATTCTAGTTACTATTAGCGGTAGCTCATTGGCGGGGATCATAATATATTAAATTAGTTAATCTATTTGTAAGGTCATTCAATTGAAAATCTGTGTATACACATATACGACATCAATACGGGTTAATCGCACTATACTTCCCGTATTGACTTTTATATGTGCAACAATGCGACTCACTAGAAATCAAACTTAGTCATTAATATAGTTACCCCAGTGGCTAGAAGGTTACACATTTCGCCAGATTTTATATTGTGTGGGGCTACATTTCACGAAAGTAATTATAGTCATCTCGAGAAATAGCCTCGCACTTTAATTTAATGGGGGAGTTGCGCTCCTTCCCTGAAAGAGGAACCGTGAGGCTCAACGAGATTATCGATGATTATGACATATAGGCTTAGGAAGGGTAGCTCAGTCTACTTCTGTATGGTTCTAGTTGGATTTGGGCGAGAAGGGCTGGTGCTGATCAGTGCAGCTAGGTTTACTCGTGTTTGTATTGGTTGGTCTGATTTTTGGAGATGATAGAGGAGGTGGTGTGTGTGGCTCATGTGGCTAGTGAGGTTGGTACTACGAAGGGGTTAATGGAGAAAGCGAGTCCCTTCAAAGAGGTTAGCAGAGAGACTTTCTAGGTCGCTGCGACGCAGGGGGTGCGGAAAATGGTTCCATTATATATCGGTATCTTTCAATGCTAGTATACATTCAATTTATTTACAATCCTCATAGCGTAAGCGCACCATTCTGGCTATCAATTGATGGCTGTGGACTACAACGCAATCTTAATGTACACTAAACTTGGATTCTTAGAAAAAGTATTAAATCTAACAGAAACCATAAACGTTGCTAACATATATTACACACAGAAATGAACTAACCAATTTATTGGTATTGTTGTTGGTTTGGCATATTACTATTTTGCATGTTAGCAAAATATTGCTGGTATACATTTGGGTCGTTGTAACCCTGAGGAGGCATGGGCATACCAGCCTGAGGATGACCAGCTCCCGGATAAGGCATGCCATGAGGTATGTGGGCACCTGGAGGCATTTGCTGAGCGGTGGCTGCCTGGACTTGTTGTGCATGGTGCACCTGAGCCGCCTGTTGTTGTGCCTGTTGTTGACCTTGTTGGGGTACAGGGCTTTGGTCTGGCAGTTCTTGCGAGTTACCGTCGGATTGTTCTCCTTGGTCATCGCCCAATCCTTCTTCTGGTGCATTCAAGCACGCTTGGATCAAATTCTTACCTTCAGACTTGGTGACTAAAGGCTGTAATTTAGGAGTGGTGAAGGTGTACACCAAACCGGTCTCACTAACAACCAACAACAAAACTTGTGTTCCGGTCAATACCGACAATTCATACGCCTTCTTCATAATACCAGCCTTTCTCTTGGAGAATGTAATGTGACGTCTGGACTTGTCTTGAATAAATTTGATTTCAATCTTTCTTCTTTCTTTTTGTTGTTTTCCTCCGCTTGTTGGTTCGTCGTCGTCATCATCGTCACCTCCGGTAGGTGCGGTTGACGAATTGGAAGCAAACTGGGTGTTTCCAGACCCACTAGATCCTAGCTGTTCGTCGTTATCCAATTTCTTAATGGTAGCTTCAGACATCTGCTAATATTTGTTAGTATTTATATCCGCGTCATTACTCTAAACTCAAAACAACTTGCCGTCATCGCCCATTCTCAAATAGCTTCCACTTCCTATCGATATATCTTCCCTAACCCAAACGTATTAATGTCCAAATCAATCACTTCAAGGTATGTGCAACCCTAGCCATAATAGGAAATTGACTTGTACCCAATTAGGTAACCAGCCTCAACTTAAATTCTTGTAATTAATTACGTCTTTCCATAAAATTTGAAAGCTAAAAGCGACTATATCCGCTCGAGGTGATCCTAAGTTGTTGAGTATAATCTGTTTGTATACATACTTCAAAATATTCCTAATGAGTATTTGCTAATACTAAGCAGCTATTTTTTGACTAAAAGAGCAATCAAAACAAAAGGGGATGAACCAATTTGGTGTTTCTAAAATGAGAAATTTGGTGGTTTTTGGTTTTCGTACTAAATTAATAATGTGCTCATTTTTACTACCAGTGGTACTGTTACTACGCAGATAAAATACCAATGCAGCATAGAAACTAGAGGTAAATGGATCAAAATAGAGCCATTGGGTCTGTATAAGTAGCATAATATATTGAATAGTGTGTAGGGTGCTTAGTAAGACTTTTCTACAATGCATTTAATTTATAGTACATCTATTTTACAGAAATATGGGAAGCACAGAGATGAGTAGATAAATTAGGCCGTAACAAAGCTGTCTGTGTTGAAAGAATCAGACTTGACCCCGTTAGGTTCACTCGAAGCACCCTGCGTATTTTCTGGAGTTTCTTGGGTGGCCGTGGCCAATTCAGGCTGTTCTGTTGCAGAGGCTCCCGACGTTTGATGCTCTCCTTGTAACGCATCGGGGGCTGTCTGAGCATTCGGTTGTTCTGGTTCCTGTTTTGACTCCTCGTCAGGCAACTGTTCTGGTTCCTGAGTGGTTTCGCCGTTTTCTTCGATCATCTCCAAGTCCTCGATCGTATTTTCTTCGATATCCAAATCAACCCATTTCCGCACAAGCTTCTTAACTTCCTTCTTGATTTTCGGGTAGGGAAATCTCTCGCTGGGTCTTCTCAATGTAAGAATCAACGCCTTTAAGACTTTGCTTTTCGTGTACACTGATTTGGGTATAGTTAACCCGTCTAGTTTTTTAAGGTTTTGCAATATTTCTGTCTCATTTATTGGATCAGAGAGTAACTGGTCGGTCAACAGTATGTCTAACTTGTCAAACTGGTTGTGGTACTTTGCTAAAGAGTTGCTTAAGGATGCCGCCGACGGAAATTCTGTTTCAAATTTGATCTGATCCTTTTCTTTATCAAAAATATAATTTCCTTCATCATAATTATAGTGCTTCACTTCATCTAAGCCCCAGTCACTATCGTACCCTTGTTCTCTTGGATCGACCTGTTTTGCCTTTGGAATTGCGGTAGGTTTGGTTTCCTTTTTAGCTGGTTGCTTCTTAGTTGTTTTCTTTTTGCTTTTCAGTTGTTTGGTATTTTTCTTTTGTTTCTTACGAGAAGGCTCCTCGTAATCTTCTTCTTCTTCTTCTTCTTCTTCGACATCCTCTTCTTCTATATCATCGACGTCTTCTTCCTCTTCTTCGACGACTTCTTCTTCAGGGACATACGGAACTTCGACCGGTTCGCCCTTTGATCCCCATTTTATGAATAATTCCATGTCTGGTGGATCATTGGCCAATTCGTATGCCGTCTGTAATAAGTTATCCTTACGTTTCTTGTCATTTTGCAAAAACAGATTTATCATCTCGTGATTTAGTGTTTTCAATTCATTGCTTTTAATCCAGATGTATGTATCGTCGCTAAAGAATCGAACCGGTAATATTGTTATCGGCTTAGACAGTTTTCTTTTAGGAGGTTGTTTGACACTTTTAGGCTTCTTACTACGAATATTTTCAGGTAACAATGCCTCGTCGAGAATCATGGCAGGCCACGGCGGATACCCTTTAACCTTTGCTAGGACTATTGATTTTGGTGGATATGGGTTATCATTCTCTGGCTCCTTCTGGTGAGCCTCTTTTTCATGAGGAGACGTCACTTCTGGTGTTTCTATATTTTTCAGTAATTCACTAGGTGTAGGTGTATCTGAAGACATTGAAATTGATAATTGATTGCAAGAGAAATTGATTTATCTAGGGTAAATCTATATGAATAGTATTTTGGTTGCGTAAGTGAAAAATTCCTATACACCAATTCGATCACACACGACTCGTACTAAATAGATGGTAATCCTTATTATGGGTATATCTATATATTAGGTTTAAAAGAAACTATGCTGGTACTTGATAAACTATTTTCTAAGCAATGCTAACAGGTGTTATTTAAGTTAGTGAAATTTAAGGCTTGAGTTTAATAAATTGAGTATTTTCTTAATATTCTCATTGATTTACTTATTTCGCAGCATTTTATAAAATTAGATGTAAAGAACATCATGAAATTAATCTTTGATTTGGATATCTAAAGCATAATTGCCTTTGAAATAGGCTATAAATGAAAAAGTAGTATTATTCGTAACTTTAAGATTACAATACGCGATGAGGGTATAATTATTTAAGGTGTGAAGAGGTATAGATCTCATTAATACAATTTTATATTCAAGATAATACAGACAGTATAATTGGGAGATTAAGTGAATATTTTGTTTCACCGTTGTGCAAGACTGATACCATAAGGAATAGAGTCTGCTTAATATCTATATGTCTATAATAAATGCTATTTCTTTTCAACTTATAACACATTTTCCCAGATATGCAAAAGCCCATTTTCGCTGGAACAAATAAGCCTATTTGAAGACGCAATAAATTTAACCACACTCAAAATACGAGACTTATCTGTATATTGCAGCAGAGGTGGCTCCAAGATCTTGAATTCTGAGACCGTCTGGTCTGTTGGGTTATGCTTCCATAAGTAGACTATGCCGGTTTCTGACCCACTCATAATATATTCAGTATCCGAATAATAATCTTTAATTACGTCGGACGCTATTCTGTAAGTTAATTTGTCGTTGGATAATGTAACCTCTGAGTTTATCAGCAAATCATTGGAATCGCATAGTTTCAATTTGCCATTTTCAAAAGTTATTAATGTCATATCTCTCGGGCACAATCTCACATTCAACAAACCACCACACTCAAATGTATCTCGAATAACCTCCTGGTTTCTTAAGTCAATTCTAGTCAACCTGCCGTCAAGGCTCCCTACTGAGAGAACTTTTGATATTGGGTTGTAATCTAGCGAATTCAAATTATCATTTCCAGCCTTGACACTGTAAATAGGTTTAGTCCTTTTGGGTTGTCTCAAGTCATGAAAGTTAACAAAGCAATTAGTTCCACATGACACAACCAAACTATCGTTCAATATTTTGCAATCGTAGACCTCATCTCTTATTTGATCGTTTATTGATTGATATCTCATCAACTTACATTGCTTGACCAGGTCCCATACGTTGATTGTGTCTCCTCCACCAGAAACAAATGTTTCTCCCGAACTACTTACGTCAATGCTATTTACTGCAGTTATATGCTCTTTCGGAAATGTGGTGGACTGGACACTATCATTATTAAGATTATGTAATCGTATTAAGCAATCGTTTCCACCACCAGACAATACAAAATTTGTCGACTTAATAAGACATAGGGAATTTATGGATGAGTTATTATGTGCTTGAAATGATCTGTAGTACATAAAATTATTGTAGCATCAATGAATGATTAATTTTTTAGGAAAACTTCTAAATAAATAAACATCTTTATGGCTGAGCGAGTCTATGAAGGATTTCGCGACAATGAATGTGAGCCCATTCTGTCATAATACTGTCTCTACCTCTTGCTATTAATGACTCCGGACTGTTCTGAAGCAAATAGGGTATACGCATGCTACACACAAGTATAAGGAAGGTAATGGTAAGTCATATCCTTATATAGGACTGTTTTAATTGTTAGAATTAGTTCTGTAGTTGGTATTAAGGTACCAGAAGTATTACCGACGTTCGTCTATGCCGTACATGATGTTTCTATTAAAAATAGAATTGGCACATACAAAAGCGTATGATACCCCTTAATTTGTATAACAACCTCGCATTGTATGTATGTTGAGAACAATGCAAGAATAGTTCTGATTATTTAATATTGCGTTAGTACATATACAACATACCAACGAATGTGCTTCTTATTGGGTCGAGCAACTTCAGACGCTCATACTATGTTTTGCATTCCATAGATGAAAAGGTATATAAAGAACCCATGTATTCCGTGGGTGGTAGCTAATATTTTCTCATTAATCTTAAATAAAATCTAATCATGTTAAGTTCCGCTTTATATCCAGTTTTACTCTTGATTGCAGCTTCAAATGCATTCATTTCAAACATTCCTGAAATTAACAAGTTAAGCACCTCAGGCAACGCTAAGATTGTTGGTGCTGGTATCAAGACACCACAAGACTTGTTGTATTCCGGTGATTATGTTTGTGATAAGTTTTCATCAACTATTCAAGGTTCTAACGACACTACTGAATTCCCAATTGACTTCAATTTATATGTTGCTAACAACGCCAAGGCACCGGAAGAAAACTACACTGTTGATTTGTATTTCAAAAACCCAAATCATCAATCTTTAAATGACTTTGCTATTTTAAATGCTTCTGACTCAGAAACAGTCTTAGAACGTTACAACCCGCAATTGATTTCGAAACAACCAGGTTTCGGCGTTGAATTCAAATTCAACTTTGCTAAGGGTTTATTATGCCAGTTCTTATATCAATTTACCGTCATGTACCAATTAGAAAGACAACAAGATCACTCAAAGACTTCAGACAAGATCTTCCTTGTCGGCTCATGTCAAGAAAATAAGCTTTACCACCCAGATGCTTACAACGATTTAGTTTCTCAAGGATTTAGATGCGTTGAATACAACTCTGGATTCAAGTATGACGGAGGTAAGGACTGGTGTACCGAATTTTACCCATCCGACCAATGCTGCAAATCATACCAGAATGATGAATTAACAGATAGAGATACATGTCCTACTAATGGCTCATCATCTTCTGTTGGCTCTGCTTCAAGCACAGGATTTGCTCCAACCACCTTCAGCACCATAAGCACCCAATCATCTGGCCAAGCTTCATCGGAATCCTCTGTTGTTGGGGGTTCTCCAGGCCAAGCTGCCCCAGGCCAAGCGGGTCCAGGTCAAAACGGTCCAGGTCAATCAGGACAGTTTCAATCATGAATATTCAATTTTTCGCATTTAGCAACGTATAGTTCATTTTCTCGTACCATTTTACATTTTTCTGTTTATACCTTAAATAAAACTTAATGAAAACTTTCATAGTCTTAATTCCTTATCTACTTTGCTCTGTTTAGGTTTACTAGGTATTGAACCAATATTTAATCAAGAATAGTCAAGGAGGATTAGCAAATGGTTGATTTACAAATATTATCACCAAAATCGTAAATTTCTGCAAAAATGAACATGAATATCAACTTACAATATCGTTGAAGACATCCATACAAATTATTACGAAGTCAATTTCACAAGGTCTACGATTTTAAATAGGAGCTTAGAATCAAATCTTTTTAAACACAGTTCTTTTCATCAATTGAAGTGAACTAAATACAAGCAAGTAAATGCTCACATGCGGAAATATGCGAACGACGTCAATCTCAAAAAATTTTTTTTGACACTATCGAAGCTATTACTCCAGATGAATAGAGTAATTTTATTGAGTTGATACTGTATTGAACCTGTCATCAAATTATAAATCTCACATATTATCCTTATGCCGATTTAATGACACGCAATAGTTTGTTTCACTCAAATTCCTTGCATATGTCAAATATTTACAGGTGAGTTATACTTGAAAATCAGCTGTAGAATAATAAGCATTTGAAGACTAAAAGCAAGCTACTATCATTACTATGCTTATGCTATTATAAATTCTAGGTCTGAGCTTCTGACTGTACACGATTGGCAATTTTATTATAGAACTTAATCCAGGTATATTCATTCTCTTGTGAGAAGTTGTCTCGGCCAAGCATTTCCAAGATAGTAGCTACTATGCCTTCACCAATCAAGTTATAATGCCACGATTCGAACCTCCATATATACGTGCTTTCATTCCTTGCCTCTCGCATAGTGGTCTCGCCATCTTCCATTTGCCAAATAAGTATGGTCAACATCTTTAGAACTGCTGGCAAATGCAAATCAAACAGAAAGTCTTCAGGGTTCCCATAGTGCGTCAACGTCGAATATGGCGAACCCTTTGACCGGTAATGCGATTTAAAGTAAAGATATATATTTTTCTGTAATCTGACTTCGAATTCTCGATGCGCTGTTGATTTGAGGTTTTTTGACTTCTTCCCTACTTGAACCTCCAGCACCGTCAACTTTGGCACCACTTGGTGGATAATACAGTCGCTTTCAGCCTGTTTGTCAGCATCTTCCTCCAAGTACATATCCAACGACCCCCATATACGCTGGACAACTTCTATCTCTTTATCCGATAAATGGGAATTGCTACGGCGAACTGATTGAGTACGGCTCGGTTTCTTGGACACAGTTTGCGACTGTTGTCTGGCCGGAGGTCTTATCGGCAGAAGCAACATCATAGGCATAGCCATATTAGGAAGCATTTTTCTTCAAAATATCTGAAAAAATGTTTGTTTTAAAAGCGTTCTGTGCTTAATTATATCAAATCAAATTTCAATTAATCGAATTTTATTTTACGGCTCATCATCTTCGTCAACAATGAGTTGCAAAATAAAAATTCTCAATCCTGCACCTTTTTTCATTACCTTTATCACCATCAAGGTGCGCATGTAGTATGTATTCGGCCATTTGAAAAGTGAAGAACTTCCAAAAACTCTCAGGCTACAAATAATAGAGTGATGTCTAAGTATATAGAATGCCACCAGCGTATTATCCAAATTGTTACGGAATTATCCAAATGTGGCTCAATTTGGGTTTTGAATTTGTTCGCAAGTCGCTCTAAATATTTTTTTTTTCAATACAGAAATACGGGCATAATGCTAGATAAGGCATGTGACTGAAGGAATGAAATTCCGATACTTATTCATATCAGAGAGTGATATAGGAATTCTGTATCGTCATATCTATATGAAGACCAATTTCAAACTTGCGTTTGATAGAGTGCATACTTTCGTAAAAGGGTACAAAAAAGTTAAAGGGTGCAGGATACTTCGGGGGGATTATTATAGGGACTTTTGCACCACGGTGGATAATTCACCAAATGGGCATGAATTACCCGAAAGGTGGTTCCACATTTGGATCGCACCCGATTGAGCCATATTTCCCTGAATAGAGCAAGCCTTCCAAATATATATATATATGTTCACTACTTCAAGGTGGATTTACTTTACTTGAAGAATACAATAAGAACAACTACAGAATGAGTGACTACTTGACTCCTTCTGATCTACCACAGCCAAAATTAAGCAGAACAAATACCGGGTTCACTCCCAATCAGATTATCGCTCTTGATACATCGATCCCTGAGTCTTCGAAGCAGATTTGGAAAAAGCACACCCACTTAAAGCCATTTGACTTCAAGGAGAAGAGGATTAAGGATGAGGACTCGAAGAAGAGTACACCATTGAATGATAAGGAAAAGTTTGAGCTGGAATTTATTAGACATGTTGAAATCACGTTAGCCAGAAATATGTACAACTGTGATAATTTAGGTGCGTACCAGGCAGCTTCAAACACAATCAGGGATGCGTTGCTTATTGATTGGGCTAACACACAACAAAAGCAAACTATTCACGATGATAAGAGGGTATATTACTTATCGTTAGAGTTTTTAATGGGTAGGGCCATGGACAATGCTTTGATCAACTTGAAAAGTAGAGAACACACGAAGGGTGCATTGCACGAATTAGGATTCAATTTGGAAGATGTATTGGACCAAGAACCTGATGCTGCATTGGGTAATGGTGGTTTAGGTAGATTAGCTGCATGCTTTGTTGATTCCTTGTCGTCCAAAAATTACTCTGGATGGGGTTACGGGTTGAATTACCAGTACGGTATATTTCAACAAAAAATCATTGATGGCTATCAAGTTGAACAACCAGACTATTGGTTAGAATATACAAATCCTTGGGAAATCAACAGAAGCGAAATTCAGATCCCTGTTGATTTCTTTGGTTATGTATACGAATCTTACGATACCAATACGGGGAAGCCAAAGAAAATTTGGACTGGTGGAGAACGTGTGTTAGCTGTCCCTGCTGATTATCCAATCCCTGGTTTCAATACTGAAAACACAAATAATTTGAGATTATGGAATGCAAAGCCTACCAACGAATTTGATTTCAACAAGTTCAATTCCGGTGATTATCAACAGTCTGTAGCTGCTCAACAAAAGGCCGAATCAATTACTTCCGTATTATATCCAAATGATAATTTCATGCATGGTAAAGAGTTAAGATTGAAACAACAATATTTTTGGGTGGCAGCTTCATTACATGACATAGTCCGTCGTTTCAAGAAGAATCACAAGGACAACTGGAAGAAGTTCCCTAATCAGGTTGCAATTCAATTGAACGACACGCATCCAACGTTAGCTATAGTTGAATTACAAAGAATATTGGTTGATTTAGAAGAATTACCATGGGATGACGCTTGGTCGATTGTGACAAAGGTCTTTGCTTACACGAATCACACTGTTATGACTGAAGCGTTAGAGAAATGGCCGGTAGAATTGGTAAGCAGATTATTACCACGTCATTTAGAGATCATTTACGATATCAATTTCTTTTTCTTAAAAGCTGTCGAAAGTAAATTCCCAAGTGATCGTGATTTACTTAGAAGAGTATCAATTATTGAAGAAGATAACGGTAAGGCTATTAGAATGGCATACTTAGCTATAATTGGTTCACATAAAGTGAACGGTGTTGCAGAATTGCATTCAGAATTAATCAAAACCACCATTTTTAAAGACTTTGTAAAAATATTTGGTGAAGATAAGTTTACCAATGTTACAAATGGTATCACACCAAGAAGATGGTTAAAGCAGGCTAATCCAAAATTAGCAGAGTTAATTAGTGAAACGTTGAATGATCCAACCTATAGCTATTTAACTAATTTAGGCAAATTAAAAGAATTGGAGCAATTTGTCGATGATGACAAATTTTTGACCAAATGGGATAACATTAAGTTAAGCAATAAGGTTAAATTAGCGGATTTGGTCAAAGACTTGACAGGAATAACCATAGATCCAACCGTTTTGTTTGATATTCAAGTTAAGAGAATCCATGAATACAAAAGACAACAGTTAAACATATTTGCAGTGATTCACAGATATTTGCATATCAAAGAACTTCTTGCAAATGGTGTCAGTGTTGAGGAAATCAAGTTGAAATACTATATTTCTAAGTGCTCAATTTTTGGCGGCAAAGCTGCACCAGGATATTATATGGCCAAAACGATTATTCATTTAATTAACCAGGTCGCTGATGTTGTGAATAACGATGAAGAGATCGGTAATTTATTGAAAGTCGTTTTTATTCCTGACTATAATGTTTCGAAAGCAGAAATCATTATTCCCGCATCAGATTTATCAAATCATATTTCCACCGCAGGTACCGAGGCTTCAGGTACCTCCAATATGAAATTCGCTTTGAATGGAGGTTTGATCATTGGTACCGTTGACGGGGCTAATGTTGAAATCACCAGAGAAATTGGCCAAGAGAATATCTTTTTATTCGGAAATTTGGCCGAATCAGTTGACGAATTAAGACATAAGAATGTCTACAATGGGGTCAATATCTCTAAATCTTTAAAGAAAGTATTTGATGCCATTTTGTCGGGTAAATTTGGTAACCCTGATGAATTTCATACATTGATAGAAAGTATTAGAGATCACGGTGACTACTATCTCGTTTCCGACGATTTTGATCTTTTCTTAGATACTCACATTAAATTAGAAAAGGTTTACGGCCACCATGGTGGTGACGCTAAAGACATCGATCATTTACACGGATGGGTAAAGAAATCTGTCTTAAGTGTAGCAAACATGGGTTTCTTCAGTTCTGATAGATGTATCGATGAATATGCTGAAAACATTTGGGAAGTAGAACCATTAAATTCTTAGACTTTTCATGCGAAACAGAGATAGACCACATGTCGCCTTTTATTTCTTCCTTATTACTTGTTTGTTACCTGTTTTTTAGATATATAGTTCATATATGTTTTATTCTTGTTATCGGAACCTGGAATTCACGTGTAAAATTGTGCAGGAATTTATTTCTCTTGGAGGAGCTACATACCACTGGCAATATTTATATAGATGGATAAGCCTGTTTTGGAAGATAAACTGGTTGACCACTTTGAGAGGTATTAGAAAGCGTACCTTGGATATATAATAGTTGGCTTGGTCTGCTGTCTGATAGAATAAGTGGTTTAGGTTGTTCTGTAACATGGTAATCAAATATTTATTGTTGATTCTTATCCAAAGTTTGGTGACATTTGCACTTCCGTTCACATCTAGGAATGATCCTAAGGCGGAATACTTGGTAACCTACTTGCCGGGATTGTACCTGAATGTTCGTAAGGAACAGAGGCCTTTGATGTTTTCGGGTCAACTTGAGTTGTATCCCGAGAATAAAACACATTACTTTTTTTGGAAGTATCAGGATACAAAAAAAATACCTGAAGCGGAAAAGAGGACTATATTCTGGCTTAATGGGGGACCAGGGTGCTCTTCTATGGATGGAGCTTTAATGGAAGCGGGTCCGTTTAGAATCAATAAAGAAAAGGAGGTTATATACAACGAAGGTTCGTGGCACAAATCTGGAGATATAGTGTTTGTCGATCAACCTGCTGGAACCGGGTTCAGTTATTCAGACGAATACGATCATGATTTAGACCAGATAACTGTAGAGTTTTTGAAGTTTATGGAAAAGTATTATGAATTATTCCCAGAAGATGCATCGAATGAAATTTATTTTGCAGGTGAGAGTTATGCTGGTCAATACATCCCATATATCGCCGATGGAATATTGCGTCGTAATAAGAATTTACCCGAAGGTCAAAAACCATATAATCTCAAGGGATTATTGATCGGGAATGGATGGATTGCGCCAAATGAGCAGAGTTTGTCTTATTTACCTTACTCAGTTCAGGCTGGTATTATTAAAACAGACAATGCAAGATGGAGCCTGATTTTGAGTCAGCATCAGAAATGTCAAGAAATAGTCAGTAATAGTGACGGCCCTGATGGCTCAAACGAGTCAGAAGTTGTTTCTAATACTTGTGAAAGGGTGTTGAACTTAATTTTGGACGCTACAAGAGATCGACTGGCCGCATATGACCAACAGTGCATCAACATGTATGATTATACCTTAAAGGATTCCTATCCTTCTTGTGGTATGAACTGGCCCCCTGATTTAGCAAACATTACACCATTTTTACGCGAACAGAGCGTTATGAATGATTTGAATTTGATTAATCATAAAGAATGGAGCGAATGCTCAGGTAAGGTTGGCCGAAATTTCAAAGCAAAAAATTCAAAGCCTTCTATCCATTTATTTCCTTCGATTTTAGAAGAAATACCAGTTGTGTTGTTCAACGGAAACAGAGATATAATTTGTAATTATATTGGTACGGAAGGGTTTATTAAAAAGTTAACGTGGAATGGTCAAACTGGATTTTCGGAAGACCTTGATGCAATGGACTGGATTTATGACGAGAAGAAAGCTGGCTATATTAAAACCGAAAGAAATTTAACATTTGTTAATATATTCGATGCGTCACACATGGTGCCATTTGACAAGCCAGAAATTTCACGGAGTTTGATCGATTTGATTACTGGCAATTTTGATGAAAAAGAAGTCGACAACAAGAGTGATAAGCAGAAGAAGTCAATAGTTACATATCCATTAGGTGTCCGTATGGCTAATCAGAAAGAGGATTCCAAACCAAAGACAACTCTGACTTCCTCTAAACAAACAAAAACATCTAGTACATTAGCAGTATCTGGAAAATTTACCGCCACAAGTACCACTTCAGCGACCAGTACCACTCCAGATCAACACTCGGCATCACCCAGCGCTGAAGCAGAAGTAGCAGACACTCAAAAAACATCCAGTCGCATTACTCGAATTATCCAGCTTTTAGTTATAGTTGTTCTTATCTGGGGTGTTTATATACTTTATTCATCTTATAGATCGCGCCCTTCGTCGATAATTAAGACAGGTCCGTCGGGTAAAAAGAAGAACGTCCAATGGGCCGATCAGTTAAGGCAATTCGAAGAAGAGGAAATTGAACAGAATGAGCGAGGAATTTTATCTCGAGCTTTTAATAAGTTGAAAGGTGGTGATAACCGTGGTGCATATGCTCCAACATCCGGCAAAGTTTATGAAGATATTGAGATGAGTGGAGGAGTTAATGAGCATACGGATAACGGAGTTGAAAATTTTATAATTGAAAGCGACGAAGAAGAAACAAATGAAGAGAATCAGAACAGTAAGCAACTGGCTTCTACATAGACACATATTTAAATAGTTATTTTACACAATATTTTGTATTATACGAGGTGTTTTGCACCCATGTATGAAAACCAACCGAGCGTGCGTGAACCGCAAAATAATTTTTCACTTCTCACATAAACCTGTAATTAGCTAATGAAGGTTGATCAAAGTGAATTGTTAAGCATAACAGGACGTTTTACTATATACTATTGATTGGATTGCAAGAGGAGTTTGAAGTATCTAGATTCAACCAAGTGACGTATAGAAGAAAATATTTCAGTTCCTGATTTCCCACAAAGTATTTGCATTAATTTATTTTCCATAATAATAGTTCCAAGAACAATATTACATACAACCAGCTGAATAGGGTGATCAAGATATACATAACATGTTCAGACAATCGATCCGTAAGTTAGCCACAGAAGCCAAGGTTTCTAGTGACGTTTCGTTCAAGATAGCAACCCCACCCAAATACACATTAGGATCGTTGCGTAGTTTTCCATCATTAGAACCACACTCATTTGTTCCGTTGCCCACACAGTTTTTCGATGCACCATTGAGAAGAGACTTCTTATGGAGTGCAGTCGTCTTTGAGGCGGATCGTGCCAGAGTCGGTTCTGGATATGTCATCACAAAGGGAGACAAGTTATACTCCAACAGAAAGCTACATGCACAAAAGGGTACCGGTAGAGCCAGAACTGGTGATGCCAACTCTCCTATCAGAGACAACGAGGTCAAGGCGCATGGTATCAAGGCCCCACACGACTGGTCCACCAGATTACCTTCTAAAGTTTACAGCAAGGCTTTCCAAACCGCATTATCAGACCAATACCGTAACGGGAAGGTTTTCATAATCGGAGGCGATAAGTCTAATGTCAACACCTCCGACGATGTCGTTGCTGATTTCAAGTACGACCATCCTGATGCCACCAGGCAGTTTGTGGAAGCCCATGACTTAGACCGTTTGAGCTTGTTGTTCATCACCGATGCCCAAAGAGATAACTTGATAAACTCGACCGAGTATATTGGCAAGAAGGCCGATGTGCTCATTAAGGAAGCCGTCGAAGTCAGGGACATATTGAAGGCTAACCGTATCTACATCGAGGCCCCAGCCTTACAATGGTTCATTGGTAAATACTCCACTGAATCCTACTAGTCTTGTACATAGATAAGAAAGTATATACACTTTAATCGACTAATTATTGTAAAGAAGTATGATTCGCTCTCCGTACAACCATTCTTTCACGGCCATCTAATACATAGAACCTGAAGCACAACATAGGGCACATATACAAACCAAGTCCAGACCTAGTCCAGACCTAGTCCAGACCTAGTTAAGACCTAGTCCAGACCTAGTCCAGACCTAGTTCAGACCAAGTCCAGCAAGCCATACGATCTGCAAGTCTGTTCGCCTAGTTAGTCCAACCCATACACCATCCGAACAATGCTGCACCGTAGGGTAATGCCCTAACTACGTCCTCTTCATCTACACGTGAACTTCATTAGAAAAATTTTCAGTTTTTGAGCGGTGGACGTCCCTCTTACAATGCGCATAATTTTGTATGGCCAAACCTACGCAGTACAACGGAACTAGTGAGTGAGATTGAAAAATTAAAAAAACTAGTAGAAATTTTCAATATATCGAAACGTTTCGGAAACATAGCATAACAAACAGGCAAGATGTCATTAGTTGTCAGCGAAGAAGGTTCATTCCAACACATTTTACGGTATGTTTTAGACTAGATTGAACATTAGAGAATAAGTTTGAAAGTGGTTTTGGTAACAGAAGAAAAATTTTATCAATGAAGAGACAAAAGAGCATATCCAGCGTAAAAAGTCAAATAAGCAGTAGAATAGACATTTGAAGTGACGAGGAAAGAAGTCCCAAGAGATAGTGATGGATTAGAGCCCAATGGAGGTGGAAAAGGACGAATGAAGTCGGAAAAGGAGAAAATAGTGAGAAGAAGAGATTGGCATTAAAGGACATGAAATTGAGACGTAATGAATGATAAAAGGATGGATGTTGAGGGATAGTTACTGGGATTAACTTTCAAACTTGGTTCTGGGAATAATGCAGAATGAAATACTAACATATTATAGTTTATTGAACACCAACATTGATGGTAGAATCAAGATCATGTACGCTTTGACTAAGATCAGAGGTGTCGGTCGTCGTTACTCCAACTTGGTCTGTAAGAAGGCTGATGTTGACTTAAAGAAGCGTGCCGGTGAATTAACCCAAGAAGAATTGGAAAGAATTGTCACCATCATGCAAAACCCAACCAACTATAAGATCCCAGCTTGGTTCTTAAACAGACAAAAGGACCAAGTTGACGGTAAGGACTACCATGTCTTAGCTAACAACTTAGAATCCAAATTAAGAGATGATTTAGAAAGATTAAAGAAGATCAGAGCTCACCGTGGTATCAGACACTTCTGGGGTTTAAAGGTCAGAGGTCAACACACCAAAACCACTTCTCGTGGTCGTTAATTTTAAGTTACCTGGGTATTCATAGTTTACTTTTAAAATAGTTATTTTAGGTTTATTTTTGTTTATATTTTTCCATGTAATTTAATAATACTATATGTTTATTTGACTGTATTTCTTAGAGAAGGCCACCGGTAGATTATGCTAGAGGTTCTATATTTTTATTTATGATTGCTGGGATCTATTTGTATGCTATTAGTGTTACTCAAATATACTACATGGTCTCATACCGTACTAATGCGTAGGGCTACTGATTTTGACTATAGTTAAGCTGTACAACTTCATGAATAATCTAACGTAATTTTTATTAACTATATTAGAGTCCCTTAATATAAGGTTGCCCATCAACCTTGCATTTGGTATAAAGACATGCTTACCTTTCGACACACCAGTTAGCTATTGCCTCATATGGATCGTCTAGCCAAAGGAGTAAATATATTTTGCTAGGCGCGAGAATAAAAATATTTTAACCAAATTGGGCCTATTGCCTGGGTTGCAAAATGCAATGAGCTACGAGCGACTTATAAATAAATGACGTCTATTATGATACAATGATATACTATGCTAGGTTCATTTCCAATTACCGGCTCTTAAAGATAACAAATTCTTGATGCATTCCTTTTCGTTTTGTTTCTTTGTTGGCTTCGATACTTGGGAGGTATTGGTATCCAATTCACCCAATGGAACTCTCTTGGAAACATTCTTCGTAGATGGCGTAGTAGATGCTGAATTCAATAAATCCTTTAAGTCGGCGCTTTTAGATACCAGCCTTTTCTTAGGAGAATTGTTTTCAGAATTTTGAGATTCGTTGGCTAATTTCTGACTAAGTTTGTTTGCAGTAGCGGAAGAAATAGACTTAGCAGGCATCAACTTGAAAGTCATGGTACTTGAATTGTTAGAATTAAGAGACACAGGTTGTTTCTTTGAAGTTTCATTTAAAATCAAGTTTGGGGAAGTCGACTCAATCGAAGTGTTTGATTCATCGTAATTTATGTAAGACGAGTTTGGAGTAACTAATGCGCTAAAGACAGTTCTCTGGCTTAATGGGGTATCCGTATTTGGTTGTGGTACTTGTGCTATTGGGATGGAAGTAGCTGATCTTGGTCTCTGTTTTGTAGTGAAGGCAGATGGGCTAGGAATAAATGGTTGAGACTCGGACTTTTGCAAAGTAGGCTTTATTGGGGTAGAAATTGTGACGGTGGAAGGCAATTCGGTGATTTCCTTTTCTACTGACGTTTGCTTTCTGAGAGATTGTCTCTTATTCTGAAACCATATTTGAACTGCCTTTTCAGTCATTGAAACCTTCTCAGCTATTTCAAGTCTTCTCAATTTATTTGGGGTTTGGCCGATTTCAAACTCATTATTTAATATAGACAATTCATTTGGCGAAGTTCTTCTTCTTTTTCTTCTAGCCAATGGTGCATTGTCAATTGATGGTTCTTGTGATGGGAATGTCACTGGCGAATGACTGATGAATGCATAAGACTTCTCGTTAGCTGGGGAAACCTTAGCCTTTTTGACAATGACTTCATCGCCATTTATGCTAATATCATTATCACTGGTATCAAAACTCGAGTTTGGATTAGTGTTGATTGGGGTAGGAATGCTTCTAGCACGCTTGGATGGTGTTTGTGTTGTGTGTTGTGGTACTGGATGACGAAATGGATATTGTTGTGGAAGATAATGCGTGTTTGTCAAGCTTGGAACCCGTCCAGTTTGGGTGTTTGGAGTCGTTAATGAGTCGACAGATGGTAATTTATGCATGGTGTATTGGGATGACACTTCATCAGAATTAGACAAAATCGATGACAACGGTGGGAGACTAGTCTTATTATTGCTACCATATGGCAATGGAGTTGGTGGTAAGTTAGGTCTCTTAGGAGTCTGCAAGTACATCGAAATCGAAGACATGTCTATATAAAGAATAATTCAAATCAAAAATGGTCGCAAATATAACTACAAATTAATTAAGTGTATTGGATCTCTTATATATATATTTGATTTGTTGGTAAATCACGGTGGCCCAATTTAAATGCACGTTATGTACCTTGAAAAGTAAAAACAACAATCAGACGTTTGATTTAGCCCAAACTCGAATTAATTATTCTTTTTGAGCTAATTGCACTGACCGTGGCTTTTTCATCACTGTATCGTGAATCGAATCATCTATTCAAGTCGCGATTCGAAAGCATATTTTTCTGCAATTAATATAGACAGTGCATGAACAAAACTTCCAAAATAAACAATAATGCTCACAATATATTCTTCATTCCGTTATTATTTACTTAAGAGCACCTCCTAATCACCCATTTCGCGTTTTGGAACTTTCGCGTTTTGACTTTGCCATAATTAGTGCTGCAAAATAGGTAAATAAACTGAATCGCGACGACTATTGCTTTTCTGTTTTCAGTAAATGAAATACCATTACGGACGAAATCATGTATGCGACGTACGTAATAAGTTATGAATTCAGTTCATTATATGCTTCTAGCCATAATTAGGTTATACTTGCTTTGTATACTTTCGGGTATCATATGGGCATTAACATCCAATCAATGCATGCACAGGATATTCTCTGGTGTTTGGATGCGGTAGTCTTTATCACCGAGGCTCTGAAACTAACCCCCCATACACCAGGCGAACTTCTTCTAGCGTATGAGAGATCCGAACTTGGGATATTTTGCGAAAATACTTATTATGGAACTTCAGCACGTGCGTGTCTAATATGAGTCGAATGTTCTCTAGACATATACATGCTTAATTATGTCATGAATCTTCTCTAATTCTTTGTTGTGATCAACGAAATGACAGTTCTAATCGACGAAAAAGGTCATAGAAATAGAGACAGCAGGAAGTCATGGTTACGATTGGTGGTGATTGGAGTTGGTATTGTTCTTACGGTATCGGGGGTGATGGTATTGCTTGGCCAGCAATATGCTCCTGCAAATGAAGCATTGGAGATGGAATTTACGAAGCCGTCGGTCGAGGTAGTGGAATTAGAGGCCGCAGAAGTGGAGCAGCTCAAAAAATTGGGGTTGAGTCCCAAACCAAAGTTGAAGATCGATAATGGCCGGGATGAGCAGGTTTTACACGGAAGGTTCTTGCACATCACCGATATACACCCAGACAAGTACTACAAAGCCGGATCGAAGGTGAGTGCGTTGTGTCATGGTGGTAAGGGTAATGCAGGGAAATACGGAGATGCTGTTCTAGGCTGTGATAGTCCTATTGTGTTGATGGAAGACACACTTAAATGGATCAAAGAGAATTTGAAAGATAAGATCGATTTTGTTGTGTGGACCGGTGATAATGTCAGACATGATAATGATAGAAGGTTTCCAAGAACTGAGTCGAATATATTTGATATGAATGAAAGAGTGAGTGAATTGATGTATGAAACCTTTAAGAAAGAGCATCCTCGCGGCGGACCCCAAAGACAATTAGAGGTCCCACTAGTTCCATCACTTGGAAACAATGATGTTTTCCCTCATAATTTGTTTTCTCCAGGTCCAACTTTGCAGACTAGAGAATTATTCAAGATATGGCAAGATTTTATTCCCTCGGCCCAATTACATGTATTCAATAGAGGGGCATATTTCTTCAAGGAGATTATTCCCAATGAATTGGCTGTATTGTCGATCAATACGCTTTATCTTTTCCAATCAAACCCCTTGGTCGATAATTGCGATAGGAAGAAAGATCCTGGCTATAAGCTATTTGAATGGTTAGGATATACATTGAAAGAAATGAGGGCAAGAAACATGAAGGTATGGCTTTCAGGACATGTTCCACCCAACGAAAAGAACTATGATATTTCATGTTTGCGGAAGTATATTGTGTGGGCATATGAGTATAGAGATGTTATAATTGGAGGGTTGTACGGCCACATGAATATCGATCATTTCATTCCTTTGGATTCCAAAGCAGCATATAAGTCCATTAAAAAGAAGTTTGGAAAACTTGGTTTCGAATATGACTTATCGTTTGAAAATGAATTAAGCACTCTAGAAGATAATTACGACTCAGATAGCGACGATGACGAAAACGAAGATATTTCATTAGAAGAATCTTACTCCAATTTTAAGAGTCCTATATTCAAGGATGGGTTTGATGATCCAGTGAGCTTCAAAAATATGGATGAGATCAGGATCCAAGGAGGAGTTCCAAACGGTAAGGTAGAGTACATGGAAACCGTGAGAAAGGAATCATACGCCAATGTTAAGGGAAAGAAGAAACGTGGTTTTGCATCAGAAAGATATTCTATAGCTCATGTCACGGCAAGTGTTGTTCCGACGTTCAACTCTGGTTTAAGAGTATGGGAATACAACATCACTAACCTCCAAAACCTCCTCACAAATACCCAACCAAGATTCGCTCCATGGGATCAATTCTTCGAGGGACTCGAAAAGTTGATGGAAACGCAAGTGCACTCCGACTACGACGATGAATTTATCACCTTTGAACAACAAGTGGAAATATTCAAAAAGGACAAAACATTCCCTCCTAAGATGCCAAAATCAAAGCCTTTAGGTCCCGCTTACGTACCCCAAACGTTTTCTCCAGAGAGATACGTACAATATTATGCTGATTTGGCCAGCATAAACAAGGGAGACAAAGAGTTTGCCTACGAATTTGAATACGCCACCGATGATAAAGTCTATGACATGAAGACCTTAACCGTCGATGAGTGGGTTTCGCTTGCTAGAAGGCTCGGAAAACCCGTTAAAGAAAAGCGCAACAAAAACACATCTAAAAAGAAGTCAAAGAAGAAGCAGAAGAGCAAAGGCAAAAACTTGCGTGAGACTAACGAACCTATAATCCAACATGCAGCTCAGCATGATTCTAAAGACGGTACTTCGGAACTTAGCCACATTGAACAATCTGGCAAGTTGGAAGTATTGTGGAAGCATTACTTGAAGCATTCATTTGTAGATTCGGACTATGAGTACATGGGCATGGGCTGATCGTTTATATCTAGTTAGAAGAGTAGACCATTATAAATGATAAAGTTAAAGGTATAATTATATTCTACACATGTACATAGAGACATATTCACGTGTACATAGTTAGGTCTAGGGTTCGGTAGGAAAGTTCGCAGAAAAGTGACACAAAACCACAACTGAAAAATTTTGAATACTCACTCTACTGAAATTTTAAAGCGGACGTAATTGTATAGAGTTTTTCCTTTATTAACATATCAGATATTGGGACCATTAAATATTCCTATCGTCAATAAATAAGTAAATAAGTCGAAATGGGTGGTGCTCGTGAAAAGAAAGCTCAATACTTTAGCAAATTAAGAGAATTATTAGAAGAATACAAGTCTATCTTCATCGTTGGTGTCGACAATGTTTCTTCCCAACAAATGCACGAAATCAGAAAGGCTTTACGTGGTGAAGCTACTGTTTTGATGGGTAAGAACACCATGGTTAGAAGAGCCTTAAGAGGATTCTTAGCTGACTTACCAGAATACGAAAAGTTGATGCCTTTCGTTAGAGGTAACGTTGGTTTCATTTTCACCAACGGTGACTTGAAGACCATCAGAGACACCATTACTTCCAATGTTGTTGCTGCTCCAGCTAAGGCCGGTGCTATTGCTCCAAAGGATGTCTGGATTCCAGCTGGTAACACTGGTATGGAACCAGGTAAGACTTCTTTCTTCCAAGCTTTAGGTGTTCCAACCAAGATTGCCAGAGGTACCATTGAAATTGTTTCCGATGTTAAGGTTGTCGAAACCAACTCCAAGGTTGGTCCATCCGAAGCTACCTTATTGAACATGTTGGACATTTCTCCATTCACCTACGGTATGTCTGTTGTCCAAGTTTACGATAACGGCCAAATTTTCCCATCTTCTATCTTAGATATTACTGATGATGAATTAGTCGGTCACTTCGTTTCTGCTATCAACACCATTGCTTCTATCTCCTTAGCTGTTGGTTACCCAACCTTACCATCTGTTGGTCACTCTGTTGTTAACCACTACAAGAACGTCTTAGCTTTATCTATTGCTACTGACTACACCTTCGAAGGTTCTGAAGCCATCAAGGACAGATTAGCTAACCCAGAAGCTTACGCTGCTGCTGCTCCAGCTGCTGCTGCTGCTTCCTCCGGTGCTGCTGAAGAAGCTCCAGTTGAAGAAGAAGAAGAAGAATCTGATGGTGACATGGGTATGGGTTTATTCGATTAAACTAATCCAAAGTTATTCATTTAATTTTATTATATATCCTAATATAATTTCAAATAAATTACATTTCTTCTAGTATATGAGTAAATTGTAGAATCAAAAGTTGCGACCGTTGATCGGAACCACAGACATACTTTGCAGTAATTGTGGACTATTCTGGCAATCGTATATTCAGCAAGTGGTAAATATGAGTTGTGAAAATTCTTATATTAGTACTATATATCCATCATTCCATACGTTTAGAGCTATAGAATTTGTGGAGCCAGAAAAAGAGCTATCTATAAATTTAGCGAAAATCGATTTTGCAATCTATGAACTGCCATACCCGCTCAATGAAATTCCTCTAGATTGTTTAATTGAACTACTAACCAACCTGCAAAGAATAGTACTACTTAATCCTGATCTTACTTCTCTGTTTACCACCTTTTTTCGAACTCGCCTTGATAAAATAATCAATGATGTGATAATTGAATCAATTTTTAACAGTGGCTACAAGGGTATATATTTTCTTCCAAACAATGATTGTCTCACTAAGGTAGAAACATTACTTCGATTAGTATACGATTTGAATAACCCTTTAAATTCCACATCTCCTTGCATATCGTTTGTTTCTGAAGGTATAACAATCCAGTTACTCAGATGTCTCAAATCAACGCAAATCTCCTTGTTAGAACATATTAGTGACAAACCAAGATCAGATTCTATTTCAGATAGCATACTAAATTCAAAATTAACTACAACTTATAAGAAACAACTAAAAGTATTTCAAAGAACCAATGAACAATATGAATATATTTATCTCAAGATCGTCTTAATAAATCGACTTTTGAATATGGTTGAAGAAATTTGCAATCCTTCTTTCGAAGTATTTGATTATTTCTATGAATTATTACAACACGACATTATAACTGACACCAATGCATTCTGTACTGAATTGATGTTAGTCATGGCTCATTTCAGACAAATTGTTGATGGAGTACAAATAAAAAATGCTATTTTTTACGAAGAATTTATGAATATTAGACATTGCTTGAAGTTAATAATTACAACAATACATGGCAAACAAAACCTTTCATTAGAATCAGATAAAGAATTTTCAAAACTACTTGTCTTGTATATCCAGATATTTCAAAAGAATAAAGTTGCAACAATTGCAAAGGAAACTAGAACTTCTTATAATTCTTCCAAAAAAACTGTACTCAAGTCTTCACAAAAGAATTGTAATGTTGACAATGCAAATTATAAATATCATTTAGCTAAGGGCCCTAAAGAGCCTGAATGGGTAAAAAATTTCTACGATATAAAGGCAAATAACGAGACACAACTTCAGATTACGAAGGAAATTGTATATAAAGAAGTCTCAAGTGAATATAATACCAACAATGACCAAAAAAATATGGTAAAGCAAGGGTTTAGATCTAAAATGAGAAACATTTGGGCCACTTCACTTTTAAGGTATCGTAAAGCAGGTCTGAATGAATGCAAGAAGTGTAAGTTCCTTCCGTTACATTATTTATACCACAAATATGAAAATGAAACTTATATTGAGTAGTGAAATATATTAGTATATATACAAGATGGATTAATGTAAAATTTGAATATTAGTCGAGAGCCTTGCCGAATTATGCTTATAATCATACGACTTCAGGCAAACAAAGAACTTAGTCTCTTGGTCTTATGTATTGCTTTGGCTCTTCGTAGACTGTCTTCACTTCATTGATAACCGATTTTTTAACATGCTGAGATAATTTGTTTGGATTTGGCCATTGCTCTGGTAATAATCCTGCCTTTTTAAATAAGAAATTAACACGATCTGAGACGTCTGCACCAACACCTATCCAATATTTAGATCTATCAAAGTCTAATTCGATATGTTTGTATGGCTTAACTCCTTGGACTTTTTCCTCTGGTGTTAAAGGAACTGAAATTGGATTGTAAGTACCGAGCACTTCAATTGGTAAACTATCACGAGCTGATCTTTTATTGGCAACGACGATATTATATAATGGCTGGTTCTTTCTCCCAAAACGGGCCAACCTGATCTTTATAGGACTTGCTCTCAAAGACATTATAGTATGGTTTTTTGTAGAACCACCTATTGATACTAACAACTACTGAAAAATTTACAGTACGAAAAAATTGTTGATCAGGTGATTAAAAAATTGAAATTGGCACTACAACAAAAAGTTACATTATAGTATATATGCATTCACTATATAAAAGTACACTATCAACAAAACATGATTCAAAGCTTCTTCCTAGCCTTAAATTTCTGCTTTGGCTTTTGAATCTTGGATTTATTCATTAATTTGTTATTGGAAGATTTTTTGAAGGCAGGTTTTTCATCTTCATCTTCAGACCAGTTATCTTCATCCTTATTCTTCTTGAATTTCAATTTATTCTTTTGACCTCTGACTGGTGCCAGTTTAACAGCATCTAAGTATGCGTCAATACCCGAACCCTTAGAGGAAAGAACATCTTCATCTTCACCTTCATTAAACACAAATTTGCCGTTCTTAGTTTTGAAATCAGATTTTGCAGCCAAATCCTTCTTAGTGAATTTCTTAGGTTTGGAAGAAGAAATATGAGCAAGGGTTTGACGATCTAACAAGTTCAATGGTTCATCACCGGTTTCTAAAATGAACTGGTTAGATTTCTTACCATCAGTTTGTTCATCATCATCGGCACCATCAACGTCTTCGTCATCTGAATCGTATAATGCTTCCTCGTATGCAGATACGAATTTCTTGTTTCCAGTAGATTCAGTACCTTCAGCTATTTCTGCGTCTTGCTTTCTCTTCGTTCTATCTCTAGTCTTTCTTATGTTAGCAACCAATTTCTTGTCTTCTTCCGGAATGGCTTGTTCAACCTCTTCTACACCAAATTTTCTTATCAATCTTTCTAAGATGTGCTTTACTTTAGATTTGAAATGACCCTTATGTTCATGTGACCATCTCATTAACTTTGTTAACAATTCTTTCAAATTTGCTCTCACCAAATCTTCTGGCAATGACAAAACTTCAACTTTAACGAAACCAATTGCCGATTTTGCAATTTCTCTTGAATTATGGGTCAAGAATAATTCGACAGTTGATGCAATTTCCAATAATACTTCAGTAGGTAATTCATCTTTGAATTCGAATACTAAGCATGATACTGCAGTGATTGTTGCGGAGATCATATGTGGAGTTTGTGCAGCTAACCCTGCACTCACCATGGTAAAAAATTCGGTTAAAGATGCTTCACTTGATGGAGTATCATCAGCAAATCCTGGAACTTTAGAACCTTCAACTATACCACCCTGGCTCATTCTATGTCCCATCTTAATCAAAATTTGATATGATAAACCACGGGTTTTTTCATTTACATCCTTAGTAGACATTATTATTTCTTGCAAAACTGCTGGAATAAAATGCAAATCACTTTCAGGTAATAAATCCAAAATCAAATGAATTGCTGATAATCTTGAGGCCCTTGCAGATTTATGAGTTATTTCAGCTGTTGCAACCAAAACTTCTTCAATATTACCAATAAACTTCACAATAGAGGCCTTTCCTTCATCGGTTTCAACAAGCTTATTGATAATTCTGTAGGATCTCTTTTGCATAAGAACATTATTCTCTAATGCAACAGTGGTGGAAAAGATACTAAATAATGCATTATGAGATGATTCTGGAACGTATTTAGCCATGGCTACAATTAAGTCCATCATTGTTGAACTTAACTTTGGAGCTTCTGACTTCGATTGATTTGCAGCAGGAGCAGCATTGGCTTCTTCATCCATGCTATTTTTTAATAACCCACATACTTTATTAAAAGTGCTTTCTAAGTCATTCTTTGGAATAACTTGTAAATAAGTATCAATAGTGTCTAAAACAAATCCTCTAGATTCAGGAATTGTTGAAGTGAAAATATTGAATAAAACCGATAAAATGTTGGAAGCCTTAGAGGCTAAATATTCTAAATTCTTTTTAGATTCTGCAATAGGGAATTCTTCTTGCATTAATAAATCATCTGCAAGAGCACCTTCACTATAAGCAATATTTGATTCAACTAGCAATCTTAATGCATGACAAATTGGAATTCTCAATTCCACGTTTGCATACATCAAGTCAGACAAAGCAGCAGCGAAGGAATCGTCAAAACCACTTCTCAAATCCTTAGGTAAATCACAGAAGTGAGGCAAAAGTGACCATACCTGATCAATAATTGTTTGGAATATCTTAATGTGCATTGATTCTTTATTAGTTGCATCTTTAACTTTCTTTTCAAAAAATTCAACTAAAGGTAAAATTTCTTTTCTGTAGAAACCTAAATTAGCAAAACGAACATTATCCCTTAATAATGGTAACAACCATGCTCTTCCAGATCCCTCACCACTTAAGTTTAATTGCAAAACACTTAAAACGACATCTGGTCCCATTGTAGAGATAGACGCCGAAATGACATCTTCTGCCTCTTTATTGTGTGGGAAAGAATCAGTTTCATTAGTACGCCATTCTCCAACAACTTGTAAAATATTTAAAAAATCAGGATTACAGCGGGATCTCAATTTCAAAATTGTAGCAGCGATAAATTCTAAAATTTCCTTGGTAGCATGTTGGTATTTGATAGATAATAATTCTTTTTCAATATGTTCTGCAATAAATGTAACTGTTTCATCCATTAATTCATATATTTCAGCCGAAACGTTATTTTCTTGGGATGGTTGAAGTAAGTAATTATCAGGGATAGTTTCAGTAATTATAGCTATTAAACACTGAGACGCAGAAGTATAAATATCTCTCGAATCTGACGATAAAAATTGAGATACTATAGGAACAACAACTGAAATTCTTTGAAGACAAGTCTCAGGAGATAAAGAAGCAAAACTTTCTAACGCCTTAGCAACGACAGCCAACCAAGAAGCAGCCAAATGTGAATCATTAACTGATGGCTTCAAATCGAAAATGATATCCAAAACCCTTGTAAACTTTTCTACATCAATAATATTAGACATAGATTTGAATAAACCTTCAAATGCGGAAAAAGCAGATGTTACTAAATATTGATCTGAAGTCTTTGAAATATCAAGTAATATATCGCATAATGGTTCGATTTGAGTGGATGGCCACGAGTTTGCAGAAGTGATAGACGTGATCAACTGTAATGTATGAATGATTTGTGAATTTGATTCTTTATTTGAATTCTTCTTATTACTTCTGGATTGGGTTTCAACTAACGAAACTAACTTCTTTAAAGCTAAGTCACCACATAATGGGGCAGCGATATGAATAGGGGAAGGTGATGGTGGGGGATTAACCAAAATCTTGTGCACTGATTCCTGGGCCCTTCTTCTCACTTTTGGCCTTGGGTCAAAAGATAATTCTAACAATCCAATCAAAGCTCTCTTTGGGGAAATGCTACCAGATGAAACCCATTGTTGATGGTCTTGTGCAAGCAATAAACTCTCCAATGCACCAATAGTTGATCTGACTAATGGTGCATCAGATTCTGGACTTGTAAGTGGAGGAGCTAATTTGGTTAAAATTTCACCAAACTTAGCCTTTAATAATGGTTTTGGGGTAAATGGGAAAATAATATCCAAAAAGTAAGCCGTTGTGGTGGCTAATCCACTATCAACAATAGTTTCGCCATTAACAGATTGCTCTAATAACGATAAGAAGGAGACGAAGTATGCAACTGGTGTTTTTTCATTCTTTTGTTCTTCGATGTTTTCTTCAACAGCGGATAAGATAATAGCTAAATTCTTTTGATTGTCTAATTTTGAATTAATTTGAGTTCTTATTTTCGACAATTTATCTTCCATTAAAAAGACATCAGCAGATAATCCACCATCTGGGTTATTATCAGCCATTTTATTATCAAAATGTCCTTTATTAACTATTTAAGCTATATCAACTTCTTCTGCATTAATGTACCAATTAATTTTTTTTCATTTTGAGATGCGAAGAGATCAAAAATCACGTGATAAATACATTAAGCATCTAACTGAACTTCGTCTAATAAGGCATATATCATGTTCTTTTCCCTTTCATAGTTATACAAAGCATTCTTGTAGATTTGAATATCGTCAGCAACAACATGGTGAGGATCGCTTTCCATAAAATGTTCTCCCATCGGCTCAAAATCGATTAAGTCTTCATTGACAGCATATTTTAGAGATATGTAATAACGAATATCATCTATAAGTTCGATAGTATCTATATTTTGTCTTTTTTGAATTCTTGATGCACTCTCCTTGATGAGAGCACAAAATTTAGCCCTTTCTGTTTCATCTTCACAAATATTTTCAAGATTATAAGCAATTAATCTCGAAATATACTGCTCCAACTTATCACACCTAGTTTGCCAAGACACCCTAATAAGATCAAAAGCATTATAACCAACTCTTTCATACAACGCATGGAAATCGTCATATGTTAGGCTTGAAAAATTTGCTGTGATATTTACAGCACACATAGTCTTTAGCCTATCTAAGAATAGTTCATCAGCAGCAAATAACAACTCGATAGTAAGTGTTAAAGGAATTGGTGGAATATCGTCATGATACAAATAGGATAATATAAACTTGGCAACTTCAAAACTAGATGTTGACGTGGATATTTGAATGACAGGAATATGAGGTGCTAAGATAAACGGTCTATCAATAACTGCTTTATTAGATGTTTTCTCATAGTCCTTAAGAATGGGTAAGTCTTCTTGTGAAGACAAAAAAATATCTGACTTAAACATGGTCTCAAAGTATTCGGATCTAGCCATTATTGCCTTATGCGCCGGCAAATACACAATGGATTCAGAATCAGCATCTATGACAGATATAATTATATCCGGAATCGATGACGAGTCCAAAAGTTCAGCCTTTTGATCTTCATCTATATAAAGTTCTGAATTGATTTCTTCGAAGTCTATTTCCTTACTCAAATTGAGTTTGGAAACAACCTTATTTTCGATAACACTGTTCATCAAAAATGAGTCCATATCCTTTCTTGCTTTTTCGACAAACCTAAAAGATGCAGCATTCCTTGCAGTTGCTTTATCTTTTTCATTTTCATTTTCATTTATCATTTCAATATTATATAGTAAATCTTCCAATTTCAATTTAGATGCAAATTTTACCAATTGATCTTGAGTCTTTGGCTGATCAATCGGAAGGCTGCCTGTTCTCAAGTAAATGTAGTCCACAATCATTTTGAAAACAATGGGATCTGTCGAAGAAGGCATATCAATTACTGTTTTGAAATTCCATGCTCCACCTTTTTTCAATTTATCGAAAAAATATGGACTTCTTGCTGCTAATATGAATCTATTTAATCTGAAACTTTGTAAATCTCTGGTCAAAGTACCATTAATATGAGGGAACCTAAACAATATATCGCTGGTGGGAATTTGATTTAACGGGTTCAAAAGTGATGAAATATGTCCGGCAAAGGGTTGGTACATATCAACGCTTTTAGATATATCAAAACTGATCAACAAATCCCGAATAGTGTCATTCAAAGCACCATAAATGCATCTTGCTCCTTGAAATGTATCTCTGTCACAAATGGCGCCTCTTGATAGTAATAATTCAACAATTTTAGTATGTCCACATAATGAGGCTAAAATCAATGGCGAATAGTCCCATTCATCAACCTGATTAATATTGAGTTCTGGAGTCGAAAGTAAAGAGTCCACAGTATCAATATCTCCTGCACGGCAGCTCATGCATAAATCATTAAACACCTTAGCAAGATCTTGTCCGTAATCACTCGCTGTTTGCGGTGGTGTAGCTGATTGATGGTTAGCTGAAGGCATGTGGTCATAGTTCATAGGTAGTGTCACGTAAGCATGGCCCTCTAATGAATCATCTAATTCATCATTTATTGGTGTTGGCTGCCTTACCGTCATAATTACGAGTTTAAGAATAATTCAGATATTTACTGATAATTTGTAGTTCACATTATCTTCGCAATCTTCTCTAAATCGAGAATTCACGATAAGACCTTATCTATGACATATATATATATATAAGATCGGGCCACGCAATGCTAGTGCTTTCATTTAGTTAGAGGATACCAATCTAGATTTAATGAAGGATAAAATGGAATCGTCGTTTCGCTTTGGTCACACATTGATCTAGTCTACAATATAAAACTTCTTATTGCATTGATATTGACAGTAGAATATAACAGTAGCATTTGACCCACTGGATACTTTATGACATCCTAAACGAAAATTCACTCGGTATGGCATAAGTTTCAAATTATATGAAGTGTAGTAATTACTGATAATATTTTTAGACAAATTAAATGGGTGCAAATTTTAACCACAAACTCAGACCTAACTTACTTTGCCAAAAAGTGTTTATTTACAGTGTATGTAAATTTGAAGCCAAATGATTATGATGAATTTTACACTCAAATCTGATAATAAATTAGTGAATTATGAAGGGACATCTTGTAGGAGGCTTTTAAATAGATTAAATAAATGGCCATCAATGCCTTTATTGCAAATCCATAATAAACAAAGTATAGATTCAAAAGGGAGAAGTAATATGGAAAAACTAGATTTATATTCTTCAAATTCAATGGACTTAAATGCTTCTAAGTACGATCTGGTTGGAACCTTAATTGTTGAATCTGAAGCTAAAACCCCCACTGCTAACTGTGATGGTAATGAATATGGACATTTATTCAGCTCAAGAGATAATGAATTTGTTTCTAAAAACAAATTCTTAAGCTCTCAAAAAATCAACACAGAAAAGAGAAAAAGCTTTTCAATATCGTTACAGACATTAGAATGCACTATAGATACATGCAAGATATTTGAAAGTAAGGAATCGGTTTACGAACAATTATCTGATGCTTCGTTTCTGTCATTTGACGAATCAGATGCCAGCAGCTTATTAAATGTGCTCAATACTTTAAAGTTCAATACTGAATCAGATAATAATCAGCATCGTGAAACAAAACTTGATAAAGAAAGAGGTCAACTTGAAAATCAAGATAAAGATATCATTCCTCTTAAGAACAATGAAAATTTATTTTATGTACGAAGGAAAGGAGCAAAGAGACATTTAAGAGATTTCAAGGATGTCTATAAACAACAAGAAAACAATCCAGATTCTGCGGGAAAGGTTGCATCAGCGAACGACAGCTTTTCGATAGAGTATTTGATGCAGTTTAAGGATCGCCTTAAAGAAATAAGAAAAGAAAATATGATTCCCGCGACTAGAAAGCCAATACACAACGGAAATAGATTTAGTAGGGTCTTTAATTATTGTTTCCTGACGAGATGAAACCTACTCTTACTTGAAATGATACACGCGTTTGTTGAAAAATTGCACCCTTATATCACTAATAATAAACATTAATTATTAAACTATATAAATTAAATTATATTTGACATAATAAATAGAACACAATCTTTGACATCGTCAAATTTTAAAACGATCAATTATTGTAAGAATTAACAAAATACTTAAAAAGCTTATGTTTGAACTTGTTACCTTTCTTTGAAGGTTTGGTCTCACTAATAGCATGATCATTGTGGACAACTACTGGTGAACCACTTTCTTCTCGTTGCATATGCTCAAACGAGGATTTTGGATAAGATGTTGATTGCGATTGATCGCGCTGAGTTGCTGCTTCGGTAACATTAAGATTCGCTTCATTAACAATTCCATTATTGGCAACTTCATCATTAATTGGTCTTGCGGCCTGCAAGTCCTGAGACTGATAATTTGTAGTTTCATTATTACTTAAATTCAAATTCTTCTTGTCATTCGCGTATTCCAAAGATTCATTAACAAATGGAGGAGACACATCTACATCTTTATTTGCAGTTGCAAATGCATCACCGGTTATTTCAGAATCAAGTTTTTGAGTAGAGAATTTTCCATACTCAGTATCGCGACCAAATTCTTCCTGACCACCATATGTACTGTTCAATGTTCGATTATTACTATCAGCAACCACAGGATACGTATTTGTTTGATTCCCCAAAGTGGCAGTCTGCTCTTGCGAGTGTTGACCTCGGGTTAGGTTGGATAAGTCAGCATCATTAGTTAACGCATTCGATTCGTTATACCCCTTGACATCGTCTTGGTTAACTAAGACTGCTCCGTCAATTAAGCCATCATTATTTGATTCATTAGTTACAATATCTGACTTAGCTGTCACTTTATTATCGAAAGAATCCTGCAAAGTTTGGCTAGAATTTCCTTTTTTCTCTTCGATACCTTCATCGAATACTTTTCCGGTAGGTTCTGAATAATCAACCACATTGTCCGAATCAAGCAATTCATCTGTTTCAATGTTTTCAGTTGATTCTAATTCCGTACCAATATCTCTGTTTTTATTAGATTGGCTTTCGATACTTGCTGTTTCAGATTTAATTTCGTTTAGAACAGGTACAGTGATCGGATCTAATACCTTACCCTTACGCTTCTCTTCAGGATCATTTGAATAGACAGATGCACGATCGTTTGCAATGTTAGCAGAAGGGTCAAGTGTAGTTTTCAGCTTCAGAGCATTTACGTCATGGCCAAACGAAGGACCTGCTTCAGTGTCATCCTTAACAATTGCATTAAGTATAGATGAATCAACACCTGGCATTGATCCAGGCATATCTTGAAAATCTTCATGCCCAGCATTCGAGCCTTCGGTATTTTGATTTTGGGAAGAGCTCATATTTAAACTGGCATTATCACCAATATTTGGCATATTTGCCAGATTTTCAATATCAGATCTAGCACTATCATTACGAGGAAATCTCATGGAATATGAACCATTACTATCATTATTAAATACTGGCCTCGATGGGGCATTCGTAAAGGAATTGTCATGGTCCCGCGTAGCTCCTAAGGTAGGAGCATTTTCAAGGTTACTGTTGTTGTTAACCTCATCATGAATTTTAGAGCCTAGATTACGATTGTCATCAAAATAACTATTATTTTGGTCCCCATTAGGATTTGAAGTGTCGTTGTTGATTTGACGACGATCCTTTCCCGTGTTAGATATACCCAATAAACGACGCTGCATTTCAGGATTAAAAGTTGCCGCACCTGCTGCACCTTCCCTTCTAAAATTATCTCCGGCTCTTGAGACTTCATCTTGGCCAGAATTATTGTGATTCAGTTTCTGATACCCTTCTAAATCCGTTGCCTTGGTATTATCTTCAGTAAGATTAGTGTCCGAAACAATTGGTTGTGAATTATCATTACTAAACTTATTTGATCCCCTTTCATCTACTAAATTTGAATCATCATTGGAAGTGCTCTTCCTTCTACCAAACAACGAAGCGAGTCTTCCATGCTTCTGAGCTCTTTGTGATTTTTTCTGTTCTTTTGACACAGCTTTTGATGCTTCAGATTCTTCTTTCTCCTGGTTTTTCATTTTCTGTTTCTGTTCCTTCAATTCAGACTTCTGTTGCTTTTTTTCTTCCTTCGCTCTTTCTTTTCTACTTGTTTGTTTGGGTTCTACGTTATCCCTCAATGATAGACCAACAAAATCCTTATGATGGTTTTGATAAACATAGTTATCATTAACACCTTGCTCGTTTAATTCCTGCGTCTTCTTTTCTTTTTTTGAATCTTGTGTAGGAAGTGATTGCGAGTTCAACGACATTGCCCTTTGTCCCCCCAACTTTGGTGATTGGGATTGTGGTTGACTGTCCTTATTACCATATACTCTCTCCATAGCTACTTGCATTGCTATACTATAAAAGTCTTGATCCGAAGGCTTCGTATGCTCAGTCTCTTTGGGTTCACTGTCGTTGTAAAATATTGGAATTGTTTCGTGTTTTTCCAGGAATTTTATAGAATTTGACGCTTCTGATTTATCTGATAACACATCGTCATGTCTTGATATTGGTGAAGACATAAGAGAATGCGTTCTCTTACTACCAGCATTCGTGTTAATTCTGTTCGATTGTTGCGACACATGCATATTAGGCGATTGAGGAACCTTAAATTTAGGAGGCTCGTTGAACTGAGGACTACTCAAACTCTTGTATGGATGCTGAACATCGTCTTGTTTAATGTCTAGTTGTTTATCGGTCTGCAACTCGTCTATTGCATCAGCAAACCCTTCCTCATCTTCTGGTCCCTTATCATTAATATTATTCTTCTTTTTCAAAATCGATTTCAAAGGTTTAGATGACTCGCTGCTAACTGATTTAATACCGGTGCTATGTATAGATTCATTACCACCGCCATACGAATGTAACTCAGGAGACCCAAAATCATCCCCGTAATACGATAAGCCATGATTACCTTGGTTTAATCGTAAGCTTTGCCCTTGAAAATTTTCGTCATGCGCCGGTTCATGTAACACATCATCCACATGTGGATGGCCATGGCCTTTCTGAGTTAAAATATCGTGATCAAGTTCGTAGTTGTAGTCGAAGTCTTGCAAGTCTTCATCGATTTTCGAAAGATTATAGCTTCCACCTGCACCATTCGATAGCATCGAGTTATGCTTGACAGAATTATTACCTTTCAATGCCATTGATTGAGAATTCAACGAATTGGCTCTAGAGTTACTTCTGGAAATATTCTTTGTCGTAGTATTAGTAACTGTTGATCCATCAGCAAATGTCTTTATAGTCTCCACTGTTATCGACAGCACTCTACCTTGCGAATCTACAACCTTGGTTGTTTTAGTTGTAACCGTTATATCACCTTCATCTTCTCCCTCGTTGTCTTGCTCATAGAGCACAGGTGGACTTCTTGACCTCACAAACGAATTCTGAGAACTTAATGAAGCAGCCCGAGCACCAGGCCTATTGTATGATCCAACACTTGATTTACTGTTCAATGAATTAAATCTTCTTGCCCCCTGGTTGGAGCTGCCTAGCGGTTGTCCAACCGTATATGATGGCTTGGGATGGTATGTATAGCTCCTCAACGAATTCGACCTATTTGAAGCTGCTGTCAACGAATTGGCTCTTCTGACCGTCTGTTTAGCGCCTGTTCCCTGGCGTGGAGTTGCTTGGTTCTGCTGTTGATTATGTCTCTGAATTGCTACCATTGCCGCCTGCCCTGCACCCTGTGTCATCGATTGACTTCTAGATATTCCTGTACTAGCCACCCCAGCAACATTGTTACTTTCTTGGTTCAGGTATCTGTTCAATTCGTCAGTATATTTACTAAATCCTTGGTAGGATTCCGGTCTACGCTAATTTTCATTTGTTAGTACTATTCCATCGCATTGATTTGTTACTGATTTATCCGATGCCATAGGGCGTCTCCTAATACTTACTCTGCTTTTAGAGAAAAAATTAACCATAATAAGTCACTTTTATTAGCAAATTTTGATAAAGACTTAAATTAGTTTTAATTTCTACTCAAATAAATATATATCCGTTATACTTCCCTTAAGACGAATTGTTCTGTTTCTACTATTGTTTACTATTGATAATTCCTTATATGTCATGTTTTTGTTAAATTGCGAAATTCATTGTCTTAAATTTCTGTTCGGGAACTTACGTAATCTTGCGACAAATTCGGCTAGATACATCATCTAACCGTTAGTAAGGCCTTTAGTAAAGCTTATAAATGATATTATTCAGATTGTTATATGGTACGATATGATAATTTGTATATAAGGGTGATGAAAAACACGATTATATGAATATTCAAGAGGCTCCATTTAATGAAGTTAGAAATTATCTTAGGATTCATCATTTCTACCATATATATGTCAATTATTAGAAGAATGTCTAGTAAGAGTGTCAGTTCAGTCAGCAATGAGATCAATAATGCAGCTAGCGAAGCAGCGCATGCGGCAATGCAAAAGAACCCACATCCGTTTCCAACTTATTTTGTAAGTCACGGAGGACCTACATTTATGTACGAAGAAGATGCTTTCGGGAATAAGGGTGCATGGAGCCTTATCAAGAAGCTTGGAACACAGATCAAGAAACAGTGGAAACCAGATTATATTATTGTTGTATCGGCGCATTGGCAGTCGAGTGGTCGTAAGCTGGTAGAGGTTAGCATTCCAAAGAAAGGGAAGGAGAATCCGCTTATATACGATTTTTATGGGTTCCCAGATCATATGTACAAGGAAGAGTTCCATACGAACAACAATTTAGGTGTTGCACAAAAAATCAAAGAAGAGCTTGAAAAGGGAGGCTTCCACAGTGATCTTACCGAACGTGGAATTGACCATGGGGTTTGGGTGCCATTGAAGGTTGCATTCCTGGACTATAACACATTGTCAAAGGAACAGCCAGCGGTAAAGGGTTTGGACTTGCCTGAGACATCTCTAATTCAAGTTTCTTTAACCGGAGATGAGAAAGACTTTGACACACATCACAAATTGGGTAAGGTATTGTCAAAGTTCAGAGAGAATTTAATTTGGGATGAAAGTCAACAGAGGTATCTCAAAGGAATGGTTATCTGCTCGGGGATGTCTGTCCACAACTTGAAAGATCTCTCTTCATTTAGAATACCGGGAAAGGTAATGCCATACGCTAAGCTGTTTAATGAGTTATTAACCAAATCGATTACCAACACGGACAATGCCTTTGAGAATTTGAAAGACTTGCAGACTAGCCACTCTAAATTATTATTCCTGGCGCACCCTACATTAGAGCATTTTGTGCCTATTGTGGTTGCTACCGGAATTGTTGATGGGAAAGAAGAACCAATCAAGGAGTTATACAATGATAATGTCGCTAGTTTAGGATGGGGCATTTACCAATTTGGTAATAACTATTCTGCTTAAATATAGATGTACTACATTAATAATTTTTAACTTGAAATATATATTTAATTTGTAATATTAAATAAGTGTAACTTATGCAGTGTATATATATATTGATTGTGCAAATCAGAGTTCGCCATAGTGAAATTAATTCTTCAATAAATCCTTGAAAATACCTTCAATCCCCTTTTCGTCTAATCCTTCGACGTTATTTTTTATTTCTTTACCTTTTTCAAATCTAGCGGTTATACTTGGTGGGATACCATAGGATTCTCTAACTAAAATTGGTAACTTGTAGTTCAGTTGAGTCTTCAATGCTGGATAGTTGGCAGTTAAAAATTTTCTTAATGGTATTGAGGCCTCACCTGTTTGGGATAAGTGAAATCTTAATTCTCTTAAGGTATTTGGTAAGATAAACTTAGACATTATGTATAGTTCTGTACTTCAGTATGTGATTACGATTGATTTATTAATCAATGCCATATTACTACTGTTAATTATTTAATTTTAACTGGTTAAATCAAAGTCGTGTACTAGTGGCTAAATTACACAAATTCACTACTAACATATGGAAACTATTACTGCAAATATCTATTATATCTTCACTTTCCAAATATGATGAAGAAGGTAGTAAAATATACGGCTACATGTAGCTTAATTCTAATCTAGCTGGATGTCGTTATCAGTTTTTTTAAAAATCTCTCGTTTATGCGAAATATGAACATTTAAGATTTTGCAGCTTTTCAGGGAACGTTTGTAATGGAACTATACAATCAATAAAAGTTTTTCAAAGTAACGTTATATGAGAGATTCATTGAATTTTTTTATTACTCTTTGTCATATATATCATTAGGTTAATTAAGTTTTAAAAGGGCAGGATTTCCTTCGTCTAAACCCAAAGAATCATAATTTGGTAAAATATTGTTTACATCTTCCACCAATTCAGGCAAGCCTGACTTTAAAGACCGTATAAGTGCATCAATACAAAGCAAAGCTGACATACCATCGTCTGCAGTGCAGAACGGCTCTTGTTTCTTGTTGATAACATCAACGAAGTGATCTAACTGGAAATCGAATGGCAAAGCAGAATGCAAAGTTTGTTGGCGGTTTGAAATTAAGGGTTCTTTTACTACGGGACTCAACCAACTCTTATCTTCTGGGTTCTTTATGCCCTTCTGATGATACAAATTAAGATCTGGGGCGGAAAGTGTTCCTTCGGACCCGAAAACACGGTAGAAGCCTTCTAATCCTTCATGGAATGGAATAGTCGGATTTTCACCTGTACCAGCCTCAAAATTGAATGGCGACGTAACACTATCAGAACAGATAAATGTACCACAAACCCCGTTTTTGAACCTTAACGTTAGCGCAGCTCCTTCGTCGGCATTTGGGTATTCCAATCTTTCCTTAGGTAAAGGCTCTGCATAAACTCTTGCCACAGGTCCAAATAAGTACTGTAATAAATCGATATCATGCACCATATTTATTAATAATGCACCACCACCAGTATTAATATCTGTTCTCCAAGGTGATACCTTGTAGTATTCATCAGCCTTACGTGTAGCCCAAACACCTTGAACTGCGACAATGTTACCAACTTTTTTCAAGTTCTTCTTAGTTTCTATAATAAAAGGGTTGAACCTTCTATGATGCCCCACCAATAATTTGACATTCTTCATTTTGGTATATTCTTTCAATGCCTTGGATTCTTCTGCGTTTGAAGACAAGGGCTTTTCTACCAACAAGTGGATCCCGTGTGAGGCTAACTCTGCGGCAATACTAATATGCAACGAATTAGGTGTACATACTATAGCTCCGTCTGGATATGGGGTGCTTGTTTCGTTGCAGCTCTCGATCATCTCCTTAATGGATTTAAAGGAACGAGTATTGAATTTTTCGGCTGCATTAGCACCCGCTGGAGTAGGATCAACGAACCCAAAGAGCTGGGTTTGAGGATTTTGATGAACATGCTGAGCATGGCGAGGTCCAATGAGCCCTGCACCAATAACAACTATTTGTAATGAACTGGCTACCATGATAGTTCTTAAATCTAATTAGTTTTTCTTAATGACTACTTGCTCGAAATATATATGTTTCTCAAACTCAAGATATTGTAGATAATAGTGTATGAATAAACAGTCCATTTATATATTTTATAATCTCTAAAATATTAGGTCAAACGAAATATTTAATCCGAATATAAGGCTATATGTATAGAAATTTTTCACTTCCCCCTCCGTTACCCACCCCCAGATTTTGCGGAGTTGGCTCGGACAAATACATTACCGTAGAAAAGATTCTGATAAGCTCTTCCTAATTCTTTATATGGTATACATGAAGAAAAACCACTGATAGGACCGCGATTACTGGAAGCTAATACACCCGACTCCGCTTCTGCTAACGAGAGATAATAGTTTTATTATTTCCTTGATATAGGGATAGTTACACGCCAGACCACAGTTTTGTGTAATTAAGAACTAGGACAGACAAAAGTATCAACACTAAGGTATAGATAGGAGAAGAGGGACAATTAATGATTATATTGTAATGTCATTTGATATCAATTGGTCGGAACTTGTTTCAGATGATTCGTTGAATGAAGCAATCAAAGAATTTCTTGATAATCAGTTTCAGAGTATATCGCTTCCGTCGTTCATTGACAATTTGTCGGTGACTGATTTCAGTCTTGGAAACTCACCACCAGAAGTGACTATTCGTCACATAGGAGACCCATTCGATGAGTTTTATGAAGATGAGGGGGATGACGATGAAAGGGAAAGAAAAAACGTTTATACGCAGCAAGGTGTTCCGGGAGATAGTAATTCCAGTGATGAGGAAGACGATGAATACGACGGAGATAGAAGTAACGATTTGTCAATAATAACAGAAGACCCGAATATACATGCCTTCAGTAATGATTCTGGTCGATCTAGACTTGCAAGTCCTCCGCCAGCTCCACCCACGGACCTCAAGAGATCTCGTACTGCGCTGGATCCGTTCTCGTTGATTATGGGGAATAATAATTTAAACTATATGCATAATTATAATATGAACTATGTTGGGCTTGGGAACCTCAATGCCACTGGAACTCACACAGGCACTGATACCCCAACTAATATACTTAATCAAAACCCGTATGCCACCCTTAAAAGTAATCCCACGTCGTATTACAAGAATAAAGAGCTGTCTAAATTTTCGGGTAGCGATGCCTACAAAAGTGGCTTAAGAATGACATCGAAAGAGCCTTGCTCTTCAAGAAGTGAGAATGATATTCAATTAATTGCCGAAGTTAAATATAATGGTGATATGCATTTGGAGCTTACGGTAAACTTATTAGTTAATTACCCGTCCCCTAACTTCATATCATTACCCATTAAACTACACGTAACAGATCTAGTGATACATTCGATAATAACCATCGCATATTTGAAAAGCTCAGTTTACATATCATTTCTTTGTGATGTCAATGATATAAATTCGGACTACTTCACGTCAAGCAGTCAAAACCCCACAACGCCAGACAATATAAATGGGTCCATCAATGCTGGGGGTAACTTTGTAGACTATATTTCGGGGCCGATAAACAGAGAAAGAATTGATATTATTAAAAAAGTAAAAATCGAATCCGAAATAGGTGAAGCTGAACAGAATGCTTTGCGTAATGTCGGTAAAGTGGAAAGGTTTCTAGTTGAACAATTACGAAATATAATAAGAGATGAATTTGCATGGCCCAGCTGGATCTGTTTCGACTTGAATGACGTTGAAGATGATGAAAGTGATGATCAAGAACAAAGAGATGATCAAGAGGAAACTTAATTTAATACTTGTGTAAATATATATATTCAGTGCGATCTTAAAATGAAAGCATTTTTCACGAATCTTGTAAGGTAGCAATATGAATGCTAATGTTTCTGACCTAGTGAGTCAATTCAACTTCTCTAAGTTATTAAAGACTGATCCCCAAACCAAATCAATTGTATTACTTGGTAAAATCAATTCTGACGATGCTATAATTTCTATTGAAAAGTCTCATTTCATCACCGATGAGTCTGATGTTAAGGTTAACGAGTTGGTAGAGAACTTGCAAATAATAAATCATAACGATGTATATTACTGGTCACTGGCCTTGCTTGCCCAGTCCTTACCTGATTTTCCCTCAGGTAAACTTAACATGATATACCCAGCTACAGAAACCCACATTAAGAAGTACGGCCAACAAAACTTCCATTATGTATTGGAAACACCAGAAACATATCAAAAGTTTGTAAAGCCTTATATAGAATCAATGAAAGGTGATAGAATAAAATGGGTGTATAATATTTTGTTTGAAGGAAAAGAGTCAGAGACATTTATATACCACGATAAGGACCCACAGGAGGGATTCGTACTTTTGCCAGATATGAAATGGGACAAAATAAATATGGACTCCTTATATCTTTGTTGCATAGTCAACAGAACTGATATTTCTTCTGTTAGAGATTTGAATGGTTCACATCTTTCATTTTTGATAAACGTTCAGAATAAAATACGAAAGATTGCTAGCAAAACATTCCCAATTAAACCTGATGAATTGAGAATATTTATCCACTATCAGCCATCATATTATCATTTCCACATTCATATTGTAAACGTCAAGCACCCGGGTTTAGGGGACGGAATTGCAGTGGGCAAAGCGATTTTATTAGACGATATTATTGAAAATATCAAGTTTAGAAATGACTATTACATGCAGCGCAATATTGGTTATTTGATCGGAGAGAACCATGGCTTATGGAATGATGAAGGGTTTAGAGAGTCACATTATGCCCATCTAAGAGATAATGGATTAATTTAAGGTTCACTAATATTATAAAAATGCTTGATATATTAAAAGCCTAGTATACAGAAAACGTAGCTATAAATAACTAATAGTTAAATTCACTACTATTTGAATTAAGAGCCATTTTTGCCATTCTTAACATCTTTTTCCTTGGATCTTCTTTCTTAATTTTTTTACTACTATTTGCTCCATCTTGGAATGCTGTATTGCTTCCTACGGATTTACCGAGCTTCTTAGGGGTTTCTCTTAAACCAAAACTTTTAGCCAAATGACCCAAATGCAATAATTTTACATTAAAGAAACTCCTTTCTGTAGATAAATGAGTAGCATATGCTCTAATATGTGAAGTAAATGCTTGTACCGCCTGGTCGTGAGCAGTGCTATCTTCCAATAACCATCTTTCAACATCCAAGTGCCATGTGGTAGCATGAATATCCCATTTACCGAATTTCTTCTTGGGGTCTACCTTACCAGATGCCTTTTTTTCTTCCTGTTCTTCTTCAGGTTCAGCAAAACCTTCTTTCAAAACATCCTCATAGCTGATGATTCTGAGGTTATCCTCCTTGGGATGAACCACCTTGATTTTACCATCAACATAACCTTCTTCATTCCCAGGTAACAAAAATAAAACAGCACTACCTTCATTACCAACTCTTGCAGATCTTCCAATTCTATGCAAATGATCTTCAACACTGAAAGGTGGATCGTACTCAATAACACTGGAAATGTTTGGTAAATCCAAACCACGAGAGGCGACATCTGTACAGAATAATATAGAATGTTTCGCTGAATCTTTACCTTCAGATTTATCTTTTATAAATGATTGTAATGTAGATGCACGTTGTTGCTGTGATAAAGAACCATGAAGTTTATATACGCAAGTGTTTGATCCTAAAAGAGGTGCCGTTAAGATACTTGGTTTTTCTTCTTCATTTTCATCTTCATTGTCGTATTTCGAATAATATGGAACTTCAACAGTTTCGAATTTATCAGTTTCTCTATTTTTTCTCTTTTTAAACATGTTACCGTTTCTAGTGAATACGTCAAAATGGAAATTAAGAGAATCGGAACACGAAAAAAAGACAATGGTTCTCTTATTGGTCTTGTCATCAAGGATCCTAGTTTCCATAGATAATTTTTTTAACATGGCACTAAGGGCGACAAGCCTTAATTTTGGTGGTACAACCAAGATTTTTGAATCAATTGATCTGGTGCAGACATTCTCTTTCCTTCGGAATTGTTAGAATCAATAGTCTGTTGCTCTTCTTCATCATCAAAATTAAGTGTTCCTTCGATTTGCTTATTTGAATCAACGGATATAGTTTCAGGATTGTTCAAGATAATATTACCTAATTTCTTAACGTTCTCTTGGATTGTGGCAGAACATAAGACATTAACTCTTTCGGTAGGCAATCCTTGATATTTCTGAATTGTCTCAGAAATCTTAGAGCTTTTAGAAATATTATCAGTAATTTTGGTAATAGTTTCTTCAAAACCTAATTCTGTCAATCTGTCACCTTCGTCTAAAATCAACCATCTCAATTGACTAACATCCAAAGATGTAGTATTCTCCATATGATCAGCTAATCTCCCTGGAGTTGCCACTAAGATATTGACACCTTTTCTAAGTCTAGCTTTTTCAGATTTTTTCTTTTCTCCACCAATGACAATACCTGGGACTATATGATGATGGCATCTAACCAAAGTTTCTAAGACGCCATATATTTGAGTACACAATTCTCTGGTTGGAACTAAGATTATTGCAAATAATCCGGATTCACGAGTGATTTTATGCTTTTCTTCAGACATCAACTTGTGAAAAATTGGAAGTAAGAATGATAAGGTTTTACCAGAACCGGTCTGTGCTTTAACAAACAAATCCCTCTGCGTTGCTATCAAGCTTGGAATTACTGCCCTTTGTACCTTAGTTGGGGCTTTGAAACGCAATGATTCTGTTAAGTGTGTGGCCAATTTGTCATTGAGTCCAAGTCCATCAAATGTTGTAGCATCTTTCAATGGTGCATTGGAAGGTAAATACGTAGTAGTTGCAGCTGAAGTATCTGATGGGGTTAAAGTGGAGCTAGCCTCATTGGACGTGAACAATGATGAAACATAAGAGCTGTTCTTACCTCCAAATTCACCAGATGTCTCTTTGAATTTTATTTTCTTGGATGACGGACCTAAATGATCTTGATTCATCGGAACTTTTCTTTTCTCTTGCACCGGTTTTTCTTTCGTAGAATCTGATGGTTCCTTCGTTCTATTCAATCTCGAATTATCAACATCGGTACTGTTGACCCCAGTTGCAACTATTTTCTCTTTTTTCTGATTTCTACCTCTTCCTTGCAAAGATAATTGAAGCTTACGACGATCTTTCCATCTTCCTCCAGTGACTTTATTTCCAGACTTTTTTGCTTTGCTTCCAGTTGATTCGGAAGTGTTTGGAACTGCAAAATTCAACAATAACCCATCATCTTCATCCATTTTTGTAAGATTCCGTTGCAAGTTAAATGATAAGATTTCATACTAAATATAATTTTTCATATATATTAAATATAGTGAGCCGCATGATGCCTCTCACGTGAAATTTATATAGAATATACTTGAAGGATGCATTAAGTCCACCTATTTAAACTAATATACACTATAAAGAAATGCCTATAATACTCTAATATTTCACCATATTAGTATTGAGTCAAAGCGTCGATGTAATCGCTCATGTTTGTTTCAGTAGTCAACTCAATTCCATCTGCACCATGATTTAAATGATCTTTATACTCTTGAGTCTTGTTATTTTCTGCACCAACCCATTGTAAGGATGACCATTCTTCTTCTGTGAACTTCTTAACATGCTTCAATGATTCACCTAAAGTGTGATTAGCAAATCCATCTCCCGAGTTGGCATGGGCATTTGTTTTGGCAGATGTTTGTAAAATCTGGATATTACTTGGCTTTTGGTTTTCTAGAACATCTGCCCTACGCTGAGCCAGTTTAGATGCTTCTAAGTCATCCAAGTATTTGAAAGAAGGCCTTAATTGTGCTGTGCTATCGACCGGTATCAACACAATTTTCCTGTTACCGTCATCATCTTTAAGTAATTGACCAGCATATAACCCTCCATTAGTTTTATTTAACACCCCCTGTAAGCTGTGTTCTGTAACTTCCGCTCCCCATTCTTCAGTTCGTGATTCGTCATAGAACTTCTGGGTATCCAACGGCACCCTAACCTCAAGATAGTTAGATTCCTCCTTCACTGAGACTGTTGGAAATTCGTTGGAGAAGTTGCGGGCCTTGGGTCTGCCCATGTATTGTAATATGTGCAAGGATTGTTTGGATCTGTCTGGTAATTCATTCATTATAAGTGGAATCGATTCAACAATAGGATCGTCATCGTAAGGTTGTTCCTCGTAAGCTTCGTGAAACTGGACTGGTGAGTCAGAATCAGAATCAATATTCATTTGGTCGTCTTCCTCGACGAATAAAGCATTGTTTGACGTAGAAGATGCAGCCATGGTAGTTCCTTAAACACTCAGATCTAAACTATACATTAAACATCCCATCTTAAAATTCTTTATATGATAAATTTAGTCACGTGATTTTCCTTTTGGTGACATCTCAATAAGTCAAGCTTCGAAGGCCATAAGAAAGCAGCAAATGCTACAATACAGTTTGTAAATAGCATAGGAAACCTAAGATGGAAGAAAGCTTTGATATCAAGCAAACTTACCTCAAGTTTTTAGAGGAAGACAAAGAAATGACTATGCCTATTGCGGCTATAGAGTCATTGGTCACTATGTTAAGAATCAAAAAGCCATCTACATCCTCTGAGTTGATTAACTTAGTGAAATCTAATACAGAAATATTGAAATCTTCTATTCCTAATGCTATCTCGCTTTCTGCTGGTTGTGATTTGTTTATGAGATTCGTTTTAAGAAATACAAATTTATATTCGGATTGGGAATCGTGCAAACAGAATTTAGTTGAGAATGGTGAATTATTTGTCCAAAGAGCCAAAGAATCAAGAGCCAAGCTGGCTGCTTTTGGACTTCCATTTATTAAGGATGATGATACTATATTGGTACATGCTTTTTCTCGTGTTGTGTATCAATTGTTGTTAAAAGCTAGATCTGAAAAGTTGCTTCGTTTTAGAGTGATAGTCACGGAATCTCGCCCTACAGGTACAGGGTACCATATGGCTAAGCTTTTAAGAGAAGCAGATATTCCCGTGGAATTAATAGTTGACAATGCTGTCGGTTATGTTATACATAAGGTGGACAAAATCTTAGTAGGAGCTGAAGGTGTAGCTGAAAGTGGTGGTATTATTAACCACATTGGATCTTATCAAATCGGTTGTCTAGCAAAAGCCAATAATAAGCCATTTTATGTTGTAACCGAATCGCATAAGTTTGTGAGATTGTTCCCGTTGGCACCAAATGATTTACCTACTGGTATCACTCAATCGAAACAAGAGAATGGCGACGAGGATGAAGATATATTTAAGGCTCAACTCATTGACTTCACTCCGCATGAATATATTACCGCTTTAATCACTGATTTAGGGGTCTTAACTCCTTCTGCCGTTTCCGAAGAGTTAATTAAAATATGGTATGATTAGATATATATTCTATAAATCATGCACTATTTAATAATGTAAATCATTGTAATTCTAATTATCGTAAGATATTTGCTTTAATTTAGCTTCTAAATCATTCAAGTCATAGTAGTCTTGATGCTCTTCCCGTTTAACCTCTATGCATGAAATGTTCTTCTTCGTTTCCAAATACTCCTGGTCCACTTCTATTTTTGGATCTTTCATGTAAAATAAATGAGTAATATATTTGTTCCATTGGATTTGATTGGTGACTTCTTCGATATTAGATGTAGATTTGATTCTACTTTCGCTTAGTGAGTAAGTAGCCAGGTTAACGATCGCTTTGACAAAATCAGCAGCAGTCATGCCGTAAGTTTCCCTATCATTCATTCCATTTAACAATAATATCCGCTTTTTCTTTCTTCCTTCTTTCTCTTGAAGCATATCATTCGCAATGGCTTTCCCCACCCCTTTCAAAATGACTATAGGTATGATACTCGTCATTAATGAACCGATGGAATAGACTATCACGTCAGCACTTGCTAAACTATTAGTTACTCTACTGTTTGCAGTAGGGCAAATTTCCTCTCCATAGGGAGAAATATAATATATACGTTCAACTGGAGATGGCAAAGGCTCGATATGATCAGATTTATTAAAATGCAATTGAGATTTCTTTAGCGCCGGGTGAGTATATTGTGGAACATGACCAGACTCTTCATCCGATGAGTTATCAGACATATCAGATACAATACTATTTGCATCGTTATAGTTCACATGAGCGGGATCGTTAGTCCCAAGGAAAAAAACTGATTCAGAGTTATTGGTTAATCCTTCTTGCGGAGTTCCAGGATGCGATGCATGGATAGGAGGAGGGTGAATATCTACCTTAGTGTCAGATTCAGATGGGTGGGAAATTTGGGATTGGCCAGTTATAATTGAGCCATTCTCTAACAAGGCGGTAATGTGGTACGTAAAGTTTGTATTAAGACACGGTAAAACCTGAGTATCGGCATCTATGCCAGTTAAACGAGCAAATAACTCTATTGCTGAGTCTAATGAACCGATAAAAAGTCTCCCCCCTGTCAAAAAGAGGTTCCCCACATTAGCTAGCTCGTATCTAAATTGTCTCTTGTTCGTGTGCAATGAGAACAGGTGCTTGGATCTCTTCAAAAGGTCACTGTGAACATGTATGAAAAAAGCTCTAAATATCTCTCTAGTCGAAGGGTCTATATTTGCCCATAATAAATGAGTTCCGTCGACTATCTCATTCCACTGGGTCTTCGCTTCTCGGGGATCTGAAGACAACCTGAAACTAAGCAATTTCCTCAATGGTTCCTGATTCTCGGGAATAAGTCTTGTCAAACGAGATCTTATATCTCCAATAGCCGGCCCTCCCGTTATACGTATCAATTCCGATGTAGAACCACCATTATCCAGAATGGGTAGAATGTATGTGATATTTGCAGAAACAGATTTGAATAACGAGACAAGCTCGTTTGTAGCAGTTCCACCGCTTAGAACAGCAATTCTAATATTATCTTGCGGCATAACAATATTAACACCTATCTAAGTCTAAATGACGATACAATGTACACCTATGTTACAAAGAGCATACTGGATCGGAGTATGTACGTGTTACTCCAGTCACGCGCAGAAATGGGAGATTGTCTGTATGCACGAAATGATCAGAATTGTGGCCTAATGGGTGTAAAAGACGTAAGTTGGGATATAAACATAGATAGTATGAGTAATCCACTTTCGGTCCTTGTAATGGTGATATCAAGAGAAAACAGTACGCTAGTTGCTTGATATATACTGCATCATTTATTTCAACGGGTGTGAACTGGATTATGTGTAAATTCTGACAGACTGTAGACTTATATATAAGCAATGGCGTAGGCCTCATAAATTTTGCATAGCACAGTCTTGAATTGTGCAGTAACGCTTAAGCGTACTTCTAAGCCGCTTCAATAGCTCACTTACCATCACATAACTTTCATATTTTCACGATCAAAAGTCTACAGACACGACTGAAGCATATTCTAAAAACAATATCGTCAACTCACATCAAACATAATAAATATCACAGAAATAAACGTGTTTATTATGCATGTTTATTTCTGTGATATTTCAATTATGAACAAATTTCGTCAATTTCATAAAATTCAGAAGTATCCAAAATATCAGAAATATCCAAAATATCCAAAATATCAGAAATATCAGAAATATATCTCACAATGTTTAATAAATGTAATTAGACTAACAATTTAGTAATCAAAACCCTCCCATCCCTTACGCTCTTGCAAGGCCTATGTACTACTTAAAGTCCTCAAAGTCCTACTTTCCCCTCCTCCATATTTGCAATGGGCTTCATCTTACTCCCCTCCGTATTGCTGCAATCACGCGCTACATCCCGTGACAAAGTCTCGTATTTCTCGGCTAAAAAACAGTCACCTCCAAATGAGTATTTCCGAGCACAGTTGTGTAGTTAACCTCATCACGGCCCAGACAGTGAAAAATTCCAACAATTTATATCCCGGGCATCATAACCCAATAGAATGGCTTTGTGTAACTTCTCGCCAGAAAATTATTCTCTAGTGCTGCATTGGTGAAAAATTTTTGATTAATACTACTTCCATACTAATAAGATCAATAATTAAACAACACAGTATATTATTATAGTAACAATGGCTGATCAAGAAGTTTTAGTTTTAAGAGGTACCTTAGAAGGTCACAACGGATGGGTTACTTCGTTAGCCACCTCCGCTGCTGATCCAGATTTATTATTATCTGGTTCCAGAGATAAGACTTTAATCACCTGGAAATTAACCGGTGATGACAGTCAATACGGTGTCCCAAAGAAGTCTTTCAGAGGTCACTCCCACATTGTCCAAGATGTCACTATCTCTGCTGACGGTGCTTACGCATTATCTGCTTCTTGGGATAGAACCTTGAGATTATGGGACTTAGAATCTGGTGAATGTACCCAAAGATTCGTTGGTCACAACGGTGATGTCTTATCTTGTTCTATTGCCAAGAACTTGAGACAAATTGTTTCTGCTTCCCGTGATAAGACCGTCAAGGTCTGGAACACCATCGGTGAATGTATGCAAACTTTATCCGGTCACAACGATTGGGTTTCTGCCGTTAGATTCTCTCCATCTGAAGACTCTTCCACCGTTATCTCTGCTTCTTGGGATAAGACTGTTAAGGTATGTGCAATTTTTTTTATTTTTCGAATGTTTTCGTGGGCAAACATCATTTGTGGGATCTTTTCTCTATTGGTTATGGCTAGATGATGTATTTCATATTTGCTACTTCAGACGGGGCTCGCCAGCTTCGAATGAGACATATTTTATCACCAAGATCTCTGATATTCCATAACCTCATTTTTTTAGCTTACCCACAGAATTTTGTCCCTCGACATTTCTATCCGATTCGGAATACTAACATAAACTAGTCATGGGACTTAAACGAATACAATGTTAACGCTGACTTCATTGGTCACACCGGTTACATTTCTTGTATCACTATCTCCCCAGATGGATCCTTATGTGCTTCCGCTGGTAAGGATGGTGTTATCATCTTATGGGACTTGAACTCAAACAAGACCTTATACACCTTGAACGCTGCTTCTGAAGTTCACGCTTTAGCTTTCTCTCCAAACAGATACTGGTTAGCTGCTGCCACCGCTTCTGGTATCAAGATCTTCAACTTACAAGAAAGAACTTTATTAGATGAATTGAAGCCAGAATTCGCTATTGGTGCTAAGGCTAAGGACCCAGAAGCTGTCTCTTTAGCTTGGTCTGCTGACGGTCAAAACTTATTTGCTGGTTACACTGATAACGTTATCAGAGTCTGGCAAGTTATGACCTCTTCTGCTTAAATTAATTAATAGTTTTATAGTATTTGAGGTTTCTAGTTTCCAATAAAACAAAATAAATGTACATTATAAAAAATATATGTAAGTGAGTAGCCATCTATTCAAATAAATATAGCTTACCGCTAGCACTTCCTCCCACACACCAATTCTCTATTGGATGCAAGGCTGTGACTGCCGGTACTGCTCCTACCTTCTCAGCATCTGTTAGGTGAGCTAATATTTGTCCTTTTTGATCATATATGTCTAACCCACGATTCATATTTGCAATCACAAACTTTTGTATTCCATCACTAGGAGATGCCTGCCATCTAGACTTAAGTATCGAGACCCATCTACCTGTTTGACAGTTGTGCTTGATTCTGGTATAAGGCTTTAAATTGTTTGGAATTTGTTCGTCTTTGTTTTTTGAACCTGGTTGGTACGTCTTGGACCATTCCGTAACTGGAGGATACTCCAGACTCTCACCACTTAAATCAAAAATATTAATTGTGTCGTCATATCCATTACATACCAATCTGTTTTCATAGTTCCAGTCAACAGATGAAACGGAAAGTCTCGATGAATAGCTACCATAAACGTGAGGAGATATTTGACTTTCATACTCAGACCAACTACCATTTGATTTACTAGTGCTACGTAAATCCCATATTCTGAACGTTCTATCCAATGACGCAGTTGCAATCTGATGCGATAAATTTGGATTAATACAAAATGAACCAATTTTCTTATCGTGCAATCTTAGCAATGAATTTGGTTTGATAGGTTTGAACTGAGTTCTCAAATCATGTTGATAAAAGTGTCCTCCCAAAGTTGTTAGATATAATATATTTGGATTCCCCTCTTGGCATAAATTAATATCTGAGACGGCTAACGGGTAGTCTTGTGACTCATATGGATCATTCAAGTAAATAACTTCAGACGACTCAAGTTTATTCAAATCAAGCTCTCTTACTGAACCATCATAAGCACATGAATAAATTTTTGAAGGATTACTGTGGGGTGTAAGTATCCTGGCAACAGATCTACCATGAGGCTTTAAGATAGTTATAGCTGGATCTTCATCTTCAGTTGAATCAACCGCCCAGATACCCAAATTACCGACTTTGTCACCCGCAGTGATTACTCTATCAGTTTTTGACGGATGGAAGTTTATCGCAGTAATCCTCTGATGAGTGATTTTTATATCCAATGGGTCAAAACGTTCATACAATTTCAATTTATCGAATTCATTTCGTTTTGATTCTAATCCCTTATTATCATAGTCCACGGAGGAATTTCTTATTAAGTCGTAAAAATCACCGGCTGAAAATTTATCCCCAAGTTCCTTTAAGATTTCTAATACCTTATTATCATCTTCAATGTTTATATCCTCATCATGAAGATGATCTTCTTCTTCTTCTTTTATATCTTTAGTATCTTCTTCCTCTTCTTTTATATCTTTAGTATCTTCTTCCTCTTCTTTTATATCTTTAGTATCTTCTTCCTCTTCTTTTATATCCTTAGGCATTTTTAAAACCTTCTTTTCAAATTTCATATCTCCCAGTCTTTTATCAGTAACTAGATCAATTAAATGGAAATTACCAAATAGTCTTGTCAGCTTCAATTTTTCTATCTCTTTCTTCTTTCGTTCTGCTTCTTCCATTTCTTCTTTCATCTTTTGATATTCTTCAGTATTTTCCATTGTGACACCAGCTAGTCTTCGTGAACGCCTAGATGGTTCTTGTGGTTCCTTTTTAATCGACTTTGTTGCATTATTTGTCTTTCTCTTTTTTGCACCATTGGCATGCTTTTGATTAGGAAGTTCTCTAGAAATAGAATCTGTGGCAGAGTCTAAGTTCAATTTACGGAGAAGATCCTTATTTCTCTGAATATTTTCTTGTCTTTGTCTTTCAAAATCAGATAAAGGGGCCATTGTGTCACTGCATGTCCTCTTGACTTCAATTCTTTATAGTATATGTCCTGAAAATTTCGAGCCGTTTTACGCGTATTTGGTGATAAATTCACACCCATTTACAAACGCTGGAACATGCATTAGAAAGCCTATCTTATTTCTATTTAGAGAGAGTATTCACATATCTCAAGATATCAGCACATAAATATAAGCTCCCACATACTACTACATTTCTATTATCACCCGATAATTTAAGTTCATTTACATAATCTAGCACCTTTTCAATACTTTGACCAGAAGTACCTATATTTCTCACATCCTGAACGTAATTTTCTGCCACTTTCTGCACATCTTCTGACGAGTAACTTGAAATCCAAGGCATTTGTTCGGGAACAGAGAAGACTGTAGGTATAACTGTATCATTTTTATGGACAATGTGCTTCAAAAGATTATCAATGGATTTACCTTTTGTTAATGCTATAACGAATATAATACCGCCCTCATCACCTCGGATATTTTCAAGGTACTTAGCAAGCTCTATGGCTGCACTTGCATTATGTGCGCCATCTAAAAGAAGATGTAAACCTGTTTTAGGAATATTTATGGATTGTAATCTACCTGGCCATACAGTTTTTTCAATTCCCAGTTTGATAGCATCTGCAGTTATTTTTGACTCTCCGTTTTCATTACTTAATGAGGAATGATTTTGAAGCTTGACCACATCTAGTATTGTCAATGCTATACTCAAATTTTGCAATTGATAGTCACCCTTAAGAGGAGAATACTTCAAAAGAGATTTAGGGTCGGAATAGCACATTTTGTTTGTAGGACAAGTTTCTGGTTTATTCATGCCATCCACCATGTACAAATCTGACATGGTGTTTTTTGCGACCTCTTTCACCACTTTCAAGGCTTCTTGTTCATTTTTTCTATCAACGATACACGGAACAGACTTTTTCATAATACATGCCTTCTCATATGCAATTTCTGCTAATGTATCACCCAACAATGCTTCGTGGTCTATGCCAATTTTAGTGATTCCGGTAGCTATAACCCCACCTTTAAGATCTGTCTTGGGATCAAAAGGCTCTAAAACATTCGTAGCATCAAGCCTCCCCCCAAGACCAACTTCTATTATTGCTAGATCAACCCTTTCTATTTCAAAAATTTTGAATGCAATAACCGTTAAAAGTTCAAATTCTGTGCAACCCAATCTTAATGACGTATTCTCTTTTTGAACGTAATCACTGATATTCTTGAATTTTGCAAGTGGGTAAACTTCATTATTTATACAAATTGAATCATTATAATATACCATATGTGGTGAAGTGAATCGTCCATTTCTAACCTTGGCTTGAGTTAATATTGAAGATAAATAAGCTACCGTAGACCCTTTACCATTTGTTCCCGCAATATGTATGGATTTATATGCATTAATATGTGGATTTCCAAGATGGTGAAGTAATTTTGTAACCCTAGAGAGTCCTAGGTCAATTGGCATAATTATTGTTGTAAGTATCTCTTCTAAGTCTGACAATGTATATTTGTCGTATCTCAAAATTTTTGATGCGATAAAAATCTGATTTATTCAAATGCTGAGAGCATCAATAATCTCATTATACCCTTTATTAATTAAATGTCTATTGAACAAGAAAATAAGGATAACTTTGTCCAGGAAAGGTTGGATTCGCTTTATGAAATTGATTGTAAGATCGTATCCTTGCTAGACAATATGTCAAGCTTGTTTCAGACATACTCCACACCTAAGTCTAGCGATAACGACTTAAGCGAACAAAAGGAGCAATTGAAGGCCCAAACTAAAACTATATATAATACAATAAGTAATGTTGCAATAGGATTGAGAAAAGAAGTTAAAATAATGGATGAGAACATTGGAGTCTATAACAAAAATAAAGATGGAGTTATGATACTACCAATTAGTGTCGATCAGAAGAATACAACATTGGGGAAAACGAAACTTAAAGACGAAATTAGGGAGTTGAGTACTATAGTAAGCGGAGAAAAAGATAAACTGAATGATGGAAAGCAAGAAGCTATACCAAAAAAGGAAACTAATACGGAAAGTTTGGAAAAGGAGAAGCAAGATAATATAATAGACATCGAAACAAAAAAAGAACCGAATGAAAATGAAGACGAAGATTTTGATATGATTGCATAAGTTTCCTGAATATTATTCTACATTTAGACGTCGAAGTATTCATCTATTGTACATATATATCTTTTGCCGTTTATAATTATATTTCTTCAAGATAACCTTGTTGAATTAGCCTCTCAACATCAGACTTTCTCACATAAAACTGAGAGTCTTTGATTAAGTTAAATACACCATATTCAGTCTGAACTTCACCCCCATTTCTAAGAACTCTGACGTCGGTGAATATATTAGTAGGTGGATCCAAGTCTCCCGACAAGTCTATATCAGCGAAATTTGACTTGTAATCAGTTATTAAGTGCTGATAATTCTTGTAGTATTCCTGCTCTGCATGATTCAAGTTATCTAGATTCAATTGCGTAGTGTAATTGGCTGAATTGCTAACCAAAGCATTGGTCCCGTTCCCTGTGGATCCAAACCTATTTCTATTGGGATCTGTGTTAGCCGATTCTGTTATGGGGTCAATATTTAACCAAGAGAACTCATCAATTTTGTCAGCTCTTAATTTTTGATATGCCAACAAACATCTTTTATTCCTACGCATACACAAATGAGTAACAAATAACTGGCATTGATTAATCTTCATCTTTTCTTCATCAGCATTCTCTGAATCTTCTTCTTGTATTCGTTGTTCTTCACCTAAGTATTCAGCATCTTTATTGAGATCAGCCGTTTCTTTGATTATACTTTTTACTAAATCGCTTTGGTATAATGGTATTTCTGATAAATTAGTAGATCTCTTCGCATCGAGTATCAACTTATTAGCTAGATTGCCGTACATATGGTATATCAGTAGTGAATTAATTTGAATAGTAAATTGATATTGAATTTTTGGCTCGTAAATGTTTGTGTATATACGCGTGAAAATTAAGACGCTTCCTGGCCATAAAACTGAAAAAGAACTGATATCACCTTTAAATTATGAAATACAAACTAAGTCTGGTCAATAGGTATCACACCGTTTCACTCACCCTATTTGAGTTATTATAATTCAAGGATTATGAGAAATAATTTTGTTAAAGGTTACTTAAATCCGTATATCAAACCTTTACATATATTTATTGCAGTTTGTTGAGTTTTCAAATTCTCTCCCCAATTAATCTTATTGATTTAATAATAATTAGAAAGAGGATTCAGCTGTAAATGTAATATTCATAGTGGGTATAAAGAGAAATCCCTTTAATATGTTTTCACTTGACGATATGAAGCATTTTGCTAAAAAAGTTAGCTCGTATGGCGCAGTGGTAGCGCAGCAGATTGCAAATCTGTTGGTCCTTAGTTCGATCCTGAGTGCGAGCTTTCTTTTTTTATTTTTAATTTTGCAACAGTTCTACTCAAGCTATACTTTCACGCATAATTATCAGGTATACTTTATGAAAATCTATTAATATCTTATGAACCTTAAATACAAGCTACATAAGGGTAGTTCTTCCACCTACTTCGTTACTAGGCGTACCATCAGGCATATTACCATCTCTACCGGATACAAATTGGTTATAGATTTTTTGGAGTTTTGTTTTTTCACTAACGGAAATTGATGGTTTGGTTTCCTTTAAGGAATCTAATAAATCTTTCTGCGAGATGAAAACTTTCAGAGATTCAGAATCTGTGGTTTCTGGCTTAGTTTTATTCGAAGAGGAAATAGCTTCTTCATTGAAAAGTTGTTCGATCTGCTGTAAAATCTTAACCCTATCAGCCGGTCTTAATTTAGCATTCTTCAATTTTTCTGAATTGACTTGGAAAAAATCAAAGGATGTCTTATCTTTTGTATTGTGCTTTTCACCTTTAACTGCTTGAAGTTCATCGTTTGAGAGCTTGACGTGAACTGCTTTCAAATAAGCATTATATCCTAAACCTTGCATATCTGCACCACTGAATCCAGCTGTCTTCTCAGCAATTTCCTTTAAATTCACATCCTCCATTAAGTCCATTTTCGTAGTTATACTTTCTAGAATATCCAATCTATCTTCAAAACTTGGCATATCACAAATAACACTCTTATCTAATCTACCAGGTCTTAATAAAGCAGAATCTATTAAATCAGGTCTACTTGTCGCAGCCAAAACATAGACACCATCCAAACCTTCAGCACCATCCATTTGAGTTAACATTTGGTTAACAACTCTATCAGTGACACCGGTAGAATCATGCCCTCTCTTTGGTGCAATAGAATCAAATTCATCGAAAAACAAGATGCAGGGTTTTGCTGATTGAGCTCTTTCGAATAACTCCCTAACAGATTGTTCAGAAGCACCGATATACTTATTCAAAATTTCAGGTCCCTTAATAGAAATGAAATTCAAACCACATTGACCAGCAATAGCACTAGCGAGTAACGTCTTTCCACAACCGGGATAACCATATAGCAATATACCTGATCTTAATCTTAACGGACAATTTGCAAAAATTGGCGCGTATTTGGTTGGCCATTCTAAAGTTTCAAGAAGTATATTCTTAGCCTCTTTTAATCCACCAATATCAGACCAACTGATCGAAGACTTTTGTAACTTGACACCACGCAAATTAGATGGGACATAACCTTTCAAAGCCTTTTCAAAATTTTCTTTGGTTATCTTCAAATCATGTGGGTTATTACTTTGTGCGTGGTGAAATAATGATTCATGATAAATTCTATCACACAAGATCTTTAAATCGTTTGCCAAGTATCCTTCAGTTTCAGAAACCATATCCATGACATCAAATTTTATTTCACAACCTAATTTGTCAGTCATGTAACCATTGATAATATCCAATCTTGTGTTTTTGTCAGGAGGACTTAAATGATAGAAATGTTCGAGCAAGTGGCATTGAAACAAAAGTTTATTTAACGCTTCTTTCGATGTGGCCGAAATTAAAATTGAAAGGTTACTGTTATGTTGTGAATATATTTTTTGTAATCGTGTAATTAAAAATTCAGTTAGTTGGTTTGAAATGGTTGAGTCAACATGCTCCATTTCCGCTGGTAAGATCTTATCTAAATTGTCCAAAACCAATAAAGATGGCTTGTGCCACGAACATTCCTGAATCCATTTCATAACATGGTTATTGGACAACAGATTAAAATTTTCGTTCATTATTTTTTCACAAGAAATATATTTCGTATGATAACCATAATCTGAATTAATCTTGCTAGCAATTAAATCTAACATTAATGTCTTACCACTACCTGAATTTCCATATATTAATGTTCCTGAATTTTTGTTGATTGTTATGGAATCCACAGCCTCTTCAATCATTTTGTCTAAACCTATTGCCTCATCCTTTTCTTGTGATTCAGATTCAATTTCTTGAATGAAAGATTGATTTCTTATCAATTCCTCCCCCATTTCTAATTTAATTTGTTTCTTGTCTTCAGATAATGCAAAAGGTTTAATCCAGGCATTAACATCATCATTCCTTTTAAATTTTAATAAACCACCATTTGGTAATAAATGAGGCACAATGGGAAGTTTTATGTAATTTGTAATTGGAGAATTATTGATTGATGACTGCTCATTATAAAATAAAGTTGTTAATGCCTGCAAAATCTTAGTTTTTGCATCCTTCTTCTCAGTAGAATTTAAATTTATCTGATCAGTCTTTTTAGTTTGGAGAACATAAGGATGTATAACGAAACTTGATGGTTTCTTAGAAATATTCTTGACAGACGGATTCAATACAACTATAGAGCCAACTTGAGATTCTACGTTCAAAGCAATAGCTAATTTCGTAGAGAGACCCACAGTGTTCGAGGGACACCTTGGACAATTAACAAGCTTAGCAATTACTCGCTTATTCTCCTTCAATGGCGAGGAAATTTTCTCCTTTGAATTCTCTTTCGCAACGTTTTGATTTTGATTTTGTTCCTGGCTTTGATTACCACTGCCAACAATGTTGTGTTTAGAATTAGGACCAGGAACAATTGAAACTGCAACGTATTCGGCTTTATTTAAGGAGTGAATTACCTCGTTGAAGTTAACATAAATCTCATACCCATCAGGATTAGAATGTGACGGTAAGTCAGAAAATATATTATGTGGCAATGATATACCTCTTTTCAACACAGATGGTAAATTTGAATAATCTTCAGCTCTACTACTCTTAGAAGACTTTGTAGACTTACCTGAAGTCGATTCTGACTTCTTGACTCTTACCTTAGGAGCAATTGAAACTTCACACATTGGAGATATCTTGGCATAATTACGATCCTTCGTTCCAATATCCGTGACTATTAACTTGGCGGATGTTGTTTGCGAGGGATAGACTACCAATACCTGATTCATTGAAACACAGCGTGATTGCGATAATAACTTATCCTCCAAGATTTGTGCATGTAGTTCAACAAGTTCCCAGTCGGAAGAAGTGACTGGCTCCAAGTTGATTTGAGTAGTTTCAAAGTTGTTCAATTTCAAATTCAATGTAACTTGGTGTTTATCGCTTAAATTCAACGATTGGGCAAATATAGGGTCAATTTCCAAAGTCCTTATTTTGGACGAAGACATACCAGACCATCCAGTATAACGTTTTGCTCCTGATGACAGAACTAACTCTATTATGACATCTTGAATATTTACATTTGCATTGAATAATAAATTACTCAAGTTGGACGGTAAGTTAACCAAATTTGACCTCAAGGGTTTGTAAGATATTTCCACTTTGTGATTATCCATGATGAGATTATACGGATCTTATTAACTATTAAAATGGTAGAGTATTTTTATGCTTATATAGTATGTTCTCCAGATTTTTCGAGATGTGATTCTTACCCACTCAGTGTGTGGGGCCGAGGATATTATCCGAGCATTTCAAAAATCTGTCAACTGACTTTACAATTAGGATATATTATTTATTAATACTACAACATACAACTAGAGAGTCAGCATGTTATGTCAATGCAACTAAATATTCGAAAGTCTATTAAAATGTGAAAAAAGATTATTCTTAGACATATTAATGTTGGTAGATCTTCATAGTATATATGTTTAGACTATGTGTAACATACAATGCATACACAAACTCTGGAAATATGGCATCATTTGTTACGGTCTTGAATATCGTTAAACTTCTTCATCACTTCATCATCGTCCTGTTGCTTTTCTTCCCATTTCTTCTCATTCTTCTTTTGATTTGCTTCTTTTGCTTTTTCCATTGCTTGGAAAGATTTTCTTCTAATAGAATGACACTGCTCCCATCCAACTACGTTACCCAAAAAGAAACCACATACAGCCCAGTTCATAGACTTATTTGGGTTCTTATGGATCAAGAATGTCACTGTACCTAACACACCCATCGCTTGAAACCCCGTTATCATCGCTTCCCTAAAACATGGCATGCTAACAAAGTGAGTCATAGAGAAATCAGATAATTTAAATTGTTTGAGAGCATCTGAGTATGCTGGCGGTCTTTGAACATTTCCATTATCTTCAAATTTTGGTGGTAAGTCCTCTAGGAATTGTTGAGGCTTAGGTTGAGGCTCTTCGACTGTTTCACTGACAGAAGACACCTTCGATGCAGAGTTACTTCCAAACCAACCCATATTAAAGTCTTTTTTCACGTATACAACGCTGTTTTATGTTTAACATAGAGATGTCTACTTCATTTATTCTTCTACCAGGTTTGTCTCAGCTTTTCACGTGATGACCTAATTATGACCACCTCTGGAGAATTCAAGTCCCCCAGTCTTCTGTTTTGTATTCAAAGTATTGGTTTCAATGCCTTAATGGATAAGAATGAATTCTAGGTTATGCCAGGCTCCTAATCAATTAGTATAAGTAATGTGGGTACCTTGTTGGTATAGTTTATAAAAACGAAAAAATAGCGTCGCCCGGTTTCGATCCGGGGACATCAGGGTTATGAGCCCTGCGCGCTTCCACTGCGCCACGACGCTTTGAATATATTTTTAAAAGCAGCCTAAATTAATATGTACAGAGGTGTTACTGCAAATTAACATGAAGATATCCTATTTTCATATTATATTACCAAAACGTTACAGTTACTTAATACTACTACCTTTCTTTAAGGTATGTTAGTATATATATAGAAGTGAGATAGGGTAAAAGAGGGGAAAATTCTGAAGAATACTTGAAGAAGGAATTGTAAGTGTAAGCGATTTACTAGAGATCATCGAATATGCTCTATTAATTGTCTGTATTCAAATAAAATGGATCGCTCATGCTAGGAATCATTCAGACAAAGTAGGAAGCTGTATTATTAACTCTACAATAAAATTTGCAGTAAGACTGGAGCAAAAAAAATCGGTGAACAATTTGAGTGCGAATATGAAAGAGAACGAATGTCAACTGTTTGTTAATAACTATATTCCATAGATACGAATTGCAATGATATCCCCTGATCTTGTTTTAGATCCGCAATTGAAGTATTGGGTTTTGCTACCCATTTCATTTGCTATGGTTTTGGTAGGTTTATTAAGGTCTAATATTACATTATTACTTACGCCAGCCCCGAAATTAACACCCTACAAAACGTCAAGAGAAAAGTATGTATAACAGCAAATAATAGCAGAAAGCTTAAAACTAATTGGATACAATTGGATACAGTATACTAACGACATTCATTTAGACAATTTTTGAATAGGGCTATTTGTTTTAGAAGAAATAATGGGATTTTGACTCCTGGTGACTTTGAATCTAGACAACAATATTATATTGAAAAATTGAATTCATCGGATTTTTATGCTGAGAAACCTGATCTGGATGGCAATCCACCGAACCCATTCACCGATCCTTCTACTAATGACGCAATGATGAGCATGGTGAAAGGAAATTTAATGAATTACATTCCACAAACGTTGATTATGGGATGGGTCAATTACTTCTTCGCAGGGTTCGTAGTTATGAAACTTCCATTCCCTCTTACTGACGGGTTTAAGAGTATGTTACAGAGTGGGGTTGCTACACCTTCTTTGAATGTTCGTTATGTATCGTCCATCTCCTGGTACTTTGTCAATTTGCTTGGGTTGAAACCAGTCTACTCTTTGCTTATGAATGATTCAAAGATTGTCGACCAAATGATGCAACAACAGCAGCAACAGCAAATGCCAAACATAGGTGGGCCTGGTGCTCCAAAAGTAGATAAAGTTTTCAAGGCTGAAGCAGAAAATATTCAAATTTTATCTCACGAATCCATATTTGATGGAATTGTAGATAGAGTTCTAAACCAATCTGATTAATATTACCATTCATTACAAGACTAGTTATATAGCTCCTTAATATAGAGAGTAAGGCATTTAATAAGTCCCTTGATGTAGATCTCTTAACTATGTACAGTCACGTGAATTTTAGATTTATAATCCATCGCTATACACTTAATGATAAAAACTTTTGATATATACCCAGAAAGGCAAATAAAATATAACAACAATGGCACCTTCTACTGTTATATGTATTGGTATGGCCGGTTCCGGTAAGACTACTTTTATGCAAAGGTTGAATTCACATCTTCACGCTAAAAAGTCGCCACCATATGTTATTAATTTGGATCCTGCTGTTCTTAAGGTTCCATTTGGAGCAAATATTGATATTAGGGATTCCGTTAAATACAAGAAAGTAATGGAAGAATATAATTTAGGCCCAAATGGAGCGATTGTTACTTCGTTGAATTTATTTGCTACCAAAATTGATCAAGTCATTAAGTTAGTCGAAAAGAGATCAGATAAGGTGGAGAATGTAATTATCGATACTCCAGGACAAATTGAATGTTTCATTTGGTCTGCTAGTGGTGCTATTATAACAGAAGCATTTGCATCCACATTTCCAACCGTTATTGCTTATATTGTAGATACACCAAGAAATTCATCCCCTACTACATTCATGTCCAACATGTTGTATGCATGTTCAATTTTGTACAAAACAAAATTACCAATGATTATCGTCTTCAACAAGAGTGATGTAAAAAATTCTGACTTTGCTAAGGAATGGATGCAAGATTTCGAAACCTTCCAAAGGGCATTATCTGAGGATCAAGAATTAAATGGTGAAGATGGAACTTCTTCTGGATATATGAGTTCTTTAGTTAACTCCATGTCTTTAATGCTCGAAGAATTTTATTCTCAATTGGATGTTGTTGGTGTAAGTTCTTATACTGGAGAAGGGTTTGACGAGTTTTTAAATGCCGTCGATAATAAAGTTGACGAATACAATGAATTCTATAAAGCAGAGAGAGAAAGAATATTGAAAGAAAAAGAAGAAAAGGAGAATAAGAGACAATCAAGTTCGTTGAATAAGTTAATGAAGGATTTGGATATTAAAGATAAAAAGCCAGAAGGTAAAGATTCTGAAGTATTGTCCGATTATGAATCAGAAGACGACGAATACCAAGGCGAATTACCTAGAGATGAAGATGAGGTCGAAAGGGAATACACCTTCCCTGAAGATAGGAGCTCGGAAGTCAGCACTAAGACAGATGCTGACTTACAAGCACGCTATCAAGCTGCCTTTGACGCCACTGCTAAAAACGCTTCCTCTAAAACTGCGGAATCAATCGCTGAGTATATCAAGCGTTAATTCAATTATCTAATAATAGACTGTATAATAAATCGTGATTAAAATATGTATATATAGGAGAGAGCATAGTATTTGTAGTCTCATAAAATTTAATCAACCAACGATGCCAAAGCATTAGTAACATCATATGCTTTGTTTGAAAATTCTTTTTTAAATATTAAATGTGGTTTATGCTTGGCTAAATACAAAATCGTCTTACCAAACTCAGAATTGCACCATGCAAACCAGGACCTAGTGAAATCTTTACCTGTCTTAGAATTGACATGAACGCTTTCGTGCATTAATCCTAATTCAGCAGTATTGTCCATTATAAGTTGTAAGCTCTTCAATATTTCTGTGTCATCATCCGTTGTTCTAATCCTTACTAACAAAGACATCGGCCAAGCATTATGAATACCAATATGAGGGCCTCCAATACCTTCGAATTGAGTTCCTGTTAAGTAGTATGGATTTCCAACTTTAGATAAGATCATTTTTCTAGTATTCTGATAAACTTCATCGTTCACATCAACAAAGCCCATGTCTGGTAAGGATAACAATGAGGGAATATTGGCATCATCCATGTGAATGGATCCTCCGTATCCATCAACTTCGTATGCATAAACCTTACCCCACACGGGGTGTTCTACAATACCATATTTCTCAATACCTTCAGATATGTTTTCTATGAAAGTATCTGTATGACTAATTAAAGGCAACATATCTCTGTCTGGCTTGTTCTCCATTGCTAAGAAATTTTGTCTAACCTTTTTTAACTCAGTTAACATATGAGAATTTGCAGGGATAAAAAATTGCAAGATGCAAGCATCATCAGAAGGACGGAATGCAGATCTGACCAAACCAGTATTATAGTTGACAGGATTTCCTACACCTCCTAATGGAAGCGTTTCAGAACCAATTTGGGTTTGTCTTTGGAAGGAATAGTAGAAATTTAGAGCTTGTCCCGAGTCCTTATCAAATGATGGCTGCGATTCTCTTTTTAATACAATAAGTACTTTTTCGTAAGCTTTTAACCAACGGTCATTGAGGAAAGACAAATCTCCTCCTGAATGTTCATAATATTCGTTTGTTAATGTCAAGAATGAGGCTAACGAATCCAATTCGTATTTACACTCAAATACTTGTCTCCAATCGGGTCTTGGAAATACTTGATCCACTGCAGTACTACCTCTTTTAACACCCGATCCTGGAGGAGGATGAAATGCATTGCAATATGGAGAATTGATTATATAAAATGCTTGTGTATTGATTGCACCTTTTATTAATTCTTTCAATCGCTTATCGTACTTTATGAACGGTTGGTATACCGATAATTGTCTAGCTGCATCACGTAGCCACTCGGCATGAATATCTCCAGTAACAACGAATGAGTGTGGTTCTTGAACTTGCTTAGAATCTAATGAGGATATGTGCCATAGTATTGTTGTATCTAACGTATTGGGCAAACAATTTTCGATTAAGCGAGCAAGATCACTGCTTTCAACCTTTTCTTTCAAATCATTTATCACCTGTTCAACTGCTTCTGATCTAAATGTCCGACATTTAGGAGCTGGCCTCATGTAGGGGTATTTATACTTGCCATTGGAAAAGGGTGGATGTTTGAACTGTGAATATTCAACGTAGTCTGGGCATTTATGAGTCTTTCTGTCCATTTTTTTCAAGAATTCTTCAGTTATATCTCCAACATCCTTCGTCTCAATGTCACTTTCAGAATGCTTCAACTCTTCTGTGAGCTGGCTTTTATCTTTGGTAAATTGAACAAAATCACCGATATCTGTAACCTCTGAACTAACATGACTAGATGTGTTGGAAGGTAGATTTTTTACAATATATAAACCAAATAATACACCTAAGATAAGTAAAACCAATCGACCTGGTCTGATCCGTTTATCTGAAATGTAAATTGCCATATTATCGTAATAGGTATTTCAAACAATATAATCCCTAAAAAGTCGATTTTGGTATAAGAAATGCAACCCGCGAGAACTCACGATCTACCGATTTAAAATATAATTATGTCTATTAATACTGAACGCTATTGCTTATGAAATAAATATATACAGTTTTCGGTGAATCCTTCTTCTACTCGAACTAAGCCAGACTCTCCCAATCTTTTCATTAATGCATCTATGCTGGATGCTTCATTCTCATGTCCAATATTATCGTGGTTCGATTTTGCAATTTGTAATAGTTCGTCGTAAGATTTTGACGAACTTACCGAATCGCTAGCATGGACCTTGTGAGAGAAAAAATCATTTATAATTTGATTATTTAACCCTAGTCGAACAGAAATAATTTCAAATGAATCTTTATGAGCATCTAGAATGTTGAGAAGGTCAGAATGATCTTCTTGAATTATAGGACTTTCAATGGTAAGCAAATGATAGTCATGATATTTCACGTCATATGGAAATACTTCTCTCACACTTGCGTATTCAAGTTCCTTCAAAACCTTACGCAACGGATACTGACTTATAATTTCATGCGGGGATACGTTCACTGCATTAAAAGATTTATCAGTCAATTCTACTGTTTTATTAGCTAATAATGCTTCACTAAGTTTATCATGCACATTATTCTGAGTTTTCCAATCTGTTGTTTCAAATAGCTTATCAAAGTCTTTGTCGGATTGAAAATAACGCTGCGATTTATTGGCCAAAGAAAATATATCAACAGTGGATAAGTCTGTGAAATGGTAATTCCGAATACTCTTATCACTCCCGTCGGGGAAACTGTTCTGCAACAGAGAAATGGCTTTTCTGAAATCATTTAATGGCTTGTTCACTTGAGAAAGAGACGCCTCGGAGAAAAGTCGATTAGTTTGCCTTAACACAAAAAATATGGGCGTATTATTAAGTAGTCTCTGATACCATTGAAAAGAGTTTTTGATCAGCTTGACATTCGGCACTGAATGATATGGATTAAAATACGCCGCAAAAGAGCCTGCTATCTGTGCCTGGTAATCCGTGAAATTCTTCGTCGTTCTGCTAGCTGTACTTATTATAGGAGTGAATTCTGATATGTTATCATTTGTTTCTTTAGTATCTTTTTTAGTCTGATCTTGTTTGAAGATATCTTCAGTCCGCATATTTTCCAATCCTCCCAATTCAAGTGGGCCCTCGAAAATAGGCTTAATTAACGTACTTATTATAGGAGGAAAGTCATTAGGATTGAATTTACCATTCTCGGAACTGTTTGTTAGCAACTTGTTTCTTTGGAAATTGTAATATTCTGGTGTTGTTCTCTGCAAATAGTTTTTAATTCTGACATTTTTATATGGTAAAAGGTTATTCGATGCCCTTTCATATATTTTGAAGATATGCAAGATATGATCTGGAAGCCGTGATAGAGTATAGTTCGACATAATAGAGGCACATTACACAAGCATATATGCTTTATTTATCATTATCATCTACTAGACTAGTTATTCCCAATATCTACGATGCCATCACGTGACTCATTATACCCACTATCAAGTAGTAGAAATATTTATTCATGTTCAGTTTTCTTTCATAAATATTGCAATATAGTCGTCAAGATGTCTGATGATGAGCTTATAGAGACGGGATTGTTTGCGGAGCCAGAAGGGTTCACTCCTCCCCCACCAGCTCCACATTTTGCCAAGTATCAAAGAAAGAATAAAACCGATCCAGCAGAACTCGAATTAAGGCTTGTTGGTAAGTCACCATTATGGGGCCATTTATTATGGAATGCCGGTATCTTTACAGCTGATTATCTTGATGAGCACGCTGATGAGTTGGTGAAGGGAAAAGATATTTTGGAATTGGGAGCAGCTGCTGGGCTACCTTCGTTGATTTGCGGTATTAACAAATGTAAGAGAGTAGTCTGTACTGATTACCCAGATCCTGATTTAATTTCAAACATCCAGCATAATTTTGATCACTGTCAGGGACTTGATTTGTCGAAGACTTTGGTTAAAGGTTTTATATGGGGAGCGGATGCTAAACCATTAATGAAAGACACAGAAAAGGAAATAGAAGAGAATGACAAGTTCGATTTGGTTATTTTGTCAGACTTGGTTTTTAACCACACCGAACACTTGAAATTGTTGCAAACATGTAGAGATACAGTCAAGAAGGATGGGAAATGTTTAGTGGTGTTTTCTCCTCACAGACCATGGTTATTGGAGAAGGATTTGGAATTTTTCAAGACATGTGAAGACTTCGAGTTCAAGGCCGAAAAAATTGACTTGGTGACCTGGAAGCCTATGTTTGAAGAAGATGAGGAGACCATTGACATTAGAGCTAGGGTATATTCGTTCTTCTTGGTGCCACAGTGGTAGTTTTCATCGTACATAGCATGCATCTAAAACATAATACACGATTCTCTAATATACCCAGTTCTACGGTACTACGGTGCTTTATACATAATGACATAGTATTAACCTATGAACAATAAGAATATGATTCTAGATTCAAAGAATAAAAACCCATATTATAAACTAATAAACATAATTATTGTATTAATAAAATCATAATTGCAAACCAACAATAAACACAATAAACTGCACGCTTATTGAGAAGCTGGGGATGGATTCATCTTTCTCTTACCGTTAGTTAAAGTAACGTTAACGAATCTTCTAGTGTATAATAAACGCTTGTAAGCTCTACCCTTTGGCTTCTTTGGCTTTTCTTGAGCGTCAACTTTTGGAGTTTGAGACTTAACTTTACCAGCACGAGCTAAAGAACCGTGAACTTTACCCTATATGATGTTAGTATTATGTTCGTCAACTTTTAATATTGCTGCTGATTTGACGGTTACGTTCGTATCATTCTCATACTATTCCTCCTATAATTCGTTCTCCACATGCCTTCTTTCGGTACTACAGTATTCCAATATCATATTATCGGAATTTCCTTTCAATTTCATCCATTTCGTGATTTATTAAGAATTTTCATCTCTCTTGTGATTTATTGCCGCCCATGTCTTGTATTCATTCTCTTCGATTTAAATGTCCCTCTATCACTTTTATTTCAAATATATCCGTCTCAAATCATTCAGCATTCGTCTATCTACTCTACTGAGCTCATTCCACATACCATTTTGTATTAATTTATTTATGTATTAGGTGTTATACTAAAGAATCAACTTTTATTAATAATATAGAAATTTGCTCCTAGTTCGCCATAGTGATGGAGAGATTTTTTCGTGAAAAAATGACAAATCGGTAAATACACACAAAACTTTTTCGAGGGACATAAATCATGTGCGCTATTTAGTACCATAGGTAAGTAACCCTTGTAACGAGAATGGTACCAAGGCCTGGCAATTTGGTGTTCTAGTGGTGAAAAGATGGGAGCGTGGAAACGTGTAGTGCATAAATGTGCAGATTAAAATAGCTATAAATGATCTATAATGATATGAAATGAATTGAACCAGACCATGCGATGGGTACTAAATATCGCATGCTATACAAACGATTTTATAACCATAACAAAAGTCGATATTACCACTATTAGGAGAAGTGATATTAATATTAGGACAGATAATCTTGTAGCCGGGTAGTAGTTCTTCACTAGCATGTGCTGTACCTTGAAATAACGAACTACTCCGAATAGTAATGTTAGTATGCCCAAAACTATGAAAATACACCCTAAAGGCCTGCCGTATTCGGTGATTGCATGGCTGGTGTTGTCTAACTCTACAACAAAACGGTTAATCAGAACTGTGGAGGGTTTGTCCTCCAATCTGAATAATTGGGTGATGCCAATGCCGATGGTGATGAACGAGAGCGAGGTTCGGAGCCAGGCTAAGAAGGTTCTTTCGTTGGCCATCTGACTTGTTAGTACTAAATTCTGGTCACTGGACGCCTGGATATACATACATGGTCTCTGGCGACCGATCCCTTGTTCTCGAGGGATATTGAGGCGAACTGGATCGAGTTGATTCTATCCATAAATGTAGATCTCTTGTGCGCATTACCAGACCCATTGGCATCGGATCCAGCGGTGCTCTGATACCCTTGGCGAAGAAGGGGGGAACGGGAGCTGTCCGCTTGTTGTCTTGAAGTCATTGGTGGATTCTATCTATAAAGAGCTGTTCTTTCCAGCGAGCAGTTCATTCAACATATATGCCACAGTTTACTATCAGCTTCAATTGATATGTATGCACGTGATTTGCATTTCTGATGATGTTGCTTAGAGGGATTGTTTGTGGTCATATATGGACTTGTGGAGCTGTGGTTCTGTCATGCCATGCTTAGGGGAAATTTGAGGTCATATAGTTCCATAGAAAGATCAAAATTCGCCAAAGGCCGGTAAATACTGGTTCATATACTATAAACGAATGAATATTAAGAAAATATATTGATGCGAAAAGTCTATAACAAAATGTAGATGATGTAAACGTATATAGATGATGTAAACGTATGTAAATGTAGTTTGAGTATATACAACAAATGTACTATACCATGATAATAAGATTAACCGGAAGAAACAAAATTAATGGCACGACGAGCAAATCAAAGAATGCATAAATGAACGAATGGCGCAATTAGAATGCAAACATGAGGAATAAACCAAACCCAGAAAGCAATCCTATCAATACTGAGCTTTGGAACCCCATTCCTCTATCCGAGGCAGACAATGTGGATTTAAACGAAAATGCCCCTGAATCTGTGATAGTGGTTCTGGTATAAGATCTAACCTTACCAACTGTACCACTGAGCGAGCCTAAACCTATAGTACCAGCTGCAACGGATTCAGTATCATCATTTCCATAGGTAGACATAAATGATGGAGTGAAAATGGCTTGGGTAGTAACTGTGACCCCTTCCGAATTAGTACCTGTACGCCAAACGGTTGTTTGAGCTGTTGTTGTGGATGTAGTTTTAGCAGCTATGACTGTAATAAGTGCTAGGATGAAAAAAAAGAACCTCATTGTATCTGTGTTGAAGAGCCGTATGAATAGTATGTGTAATAGAAAATATTTTCAGGGTTGATGAATGAAGCCACTAAATAGAAAGTCAAGTAGTGTATGCGACCACGGTATAGATATATGTACTACTGATGGAAAATAAATGTAAATGAAACCAAAATAAGTATATGCTAATACCAGCTTAGTTAAAATGAACAAAATCAGGGAAATGTAATTTATAAGTATTACTACACCAGCAGATAAGGAATTGAAAATTTATTAAAATTTCTACGGAAAATATGTCAAGGCCAACTTCACCTCGCATATTAAACAATAAACCAGCCTACGGTAAACAAGTGGTGCTTCCCAAATGCAAAACTGCCTTGCATAATTTTGGAATGCTCTGCGCTTTTGGGATCATCGACCTAACTTCCGTACGTAGTCGCATTTCCGCTATACGTGATATCGAGGGAGCCACTGCATTCAAAAAATTTTACAATTGAGCGTCCGCCACCTGTTTTCAATTGTTCTCGTGGCATCGCATAATCCTACACAAACAAGTTCATACTAAAGAATTATCGTAAACACCAATCATTATTATTTCTTCGATTGGCCAGCTTAAGAATAAACATGATATCAAAAATATGAATAGTACATTATTAAGGAAACTCTCTTGTCAACACTCCTTACATCTACTTAAGCCAATTCTTTTTTTAGTATGCTCATCAATATTGTAAATATATAGATTATAAATATGTAGTTTATAAATAGCTATTGTCACTCGTATTTACTATCATTAATAATTTCTCAAGGCTTATTCTCAGTATGATTTCATCTCTTGGCTAATGATGCAAAAACTTTTTTCCGCGTATAATGCTCGAAGGCCGAAATGACTTTATCAATTTTGTGCCCGAGGCTATGGTGCATCCGCTTAAATTCAGGGTGAAGAGACCGGTCCGAACAATAATATCGGTGATTAGAATTGCACAGTTACAAACAAAGCATAATACTAGACGCGATTGTGACACGAGGCTGATCATTTAGGGATACTTTCCTTCCAAAAACGATTGATAGAATTCAATCAATGAGATAATGCCGCTTTAATGTTCTTTTGAGGACATCTGATTTATACATAATTCACCCTCGAGTGATTTTCAGACCTCGACACAACAGAGCTCATATCCGGAACCTAGAAGTCATTATATGAAGTAGTCCACTGGTGGTTTCTTAGATGGGATAGCAGTTACATCCTGAGATGCAGCCTTGAACACTTTGTAATTACGATTTAGGTTGTCGTCTATAGTTAGAACCAGGGCAATATTGCCACATCTATAACAGTAATTAGGCGCAGACCATACAGTGACCAAGCCTTGGTTGAACATTTCCTTGTATCCTTCCATTACCAATTGGTGGGCTCTTGCAATGAGTGAGATATCATTCACCTGCAAAAACTTGTTAACCTCGTTCTCACCAAAAAGGAAACCTGCTCCTCGTGGTGATATAGCCCAGCCAGGAACATATTCGGGGTCCGACCACAATAAATCACACATGCCCCCTTCATGTGGTACCTCTTGTTTTCTATCGAGTACCCTTATCTGGTCAATTGTATCTATATCGGGACTCAACCCACCATGAATGCTGAACACGCCTCCCTTTCCACCAACAATTGCTCCTAGCGAGAGGTAATCAAACACTTCGCAACAATATCGCCATACGTTCACAGAACCATACTTACGAACGCATTCATCATAAAATCCATAAACGGTGGTTATCTGTCTCGACTCATGGTTCCCTCGAATTAACGTTATCTTATCAGGATACCTCACTTTTAATGCTAATAACAATAAAAAGCTCTCTAACGAATAGAACCCTCTATCTACAAAATCACCTAAGAACAAGTACTGCGTTTGCGGACATTCTCCACCTGTCTTGAACAACGTTATTAAGTCATGCAATTGACCATGTATATCTCCGCATATAGTTACTGGTGTGTCAACATGCTGAATATTAGCCTCTTCGATTAATAATTCAATAGCTTTGGAGCAAATTTCCTCAACATCGGATTCTGGTATATGTTTGCATAATTTGATCGCCTCGATAGTTCTTTTTCGTGTTAGTCCTCGTGTTAACTTACTAATTCATCATTCAATATACTTACTCATCTAGGTTCAACATTACTTCAGCATAAACCTCTATATTGATGTTATTACTCTTTTAATTAAATGAGCTTTGATATCTGTCGTACGCGTATAGAAAATATACACGTTATATACAGTATGAAAATAACATATATTAATATAACCTTTAACACTAAATAATACACTGATAGAATAATATAGATTAACTTCTTCTGGTTGGTAAGGTATACTTCATAAACGATTTCTGTAATTGTCTACGAACGGTAATCTTTTGAGTTCCAACAAAACTATCGATACTGACTTTAATTGCCCTGTTTAAGTCACTTTGACTCACGAAATCAGACAACCTCATCTTAGCAAAAGATTCAGCAATACGTAATATACTTTCCAAGTGACGAACAGTGATTGGAAATGAACCAGTTGAAATAGACTCTCTTCTTAAATCTGCATAGACTCTGGATACTTTATCCATGTCCATTTGATGCAATTTAGGATGGATCTTGATACGAGCGTAGTTCAAGTACTTTACTAAAAGGTCCTGGGAAATAGGGGAGATTTCGCTTTCTCTTTCTTTGTTCAATTGATTGATCTTTTGTTTTCTGGTTTGTTTTTTATTATTTGATCGCGTGGGTGTGTTTTCTGGTTGGTCGTCATCCATAGCTTCGTCATCATCAGCATTGTTTAAATCATCTTCATCATCTTCTAGGTCTTCTGTTTGTGATGGATGAGATCTCATATGCGAATCAACAACGAAATTTGCTAACCTCTCATCCAGTTCAGGGTTGACTAAATCTCGTACGACACATAATATATCAAATCTCGATAAGATAGGTTCCGTTAAATCCACGTTTTGTGAAAGAGGCAAAGTAGAATTGTATCTACCACCGTTTGGATTGGCGGCAGCAATAATTGCACATCTGGCTTGTAATGTAGTGACAATACCTGCCTTAGATATAGAAATAGATTGCTGTTCCATAGCTTCGTGAATAGATGTTCTGTCTTGATCGTTCATCTTATCAAATTCATCAATAAGACAAGTACCTTTATCTGCAAGAACCAAAGCACCACCTTCCAAAGTCCATTCTCTGGTAATTGGATCCTTACGAACCGATGCAGTCAAACCAACCGCAGATGCACCTTGACCAGTTGCAAACACAGCTCTATTTGCAGTTTTTTCTGCATATTTCAAGATTTGCGATTTGGCAGTACCAGGATCACCTAGTAATAAGACGTTTATATCACCTCTAATAGAATGCTTCCCATTTACGTCCTTTGGAACACCTCCAAATAACGAACATGCTAAAGCCGTTTTAATGTCTTTATGCCCATATATAGATGGAGCCATAGACGCTATTAATTTATCAATAATACCACGCTCTTGAGATAACTTTCTGAATTCTCTCTCATCCTCTTCGGTCCACGAATTTATAACTCCATCGCCAGATACACTGCTTTCTTTTCTTCTGATCGAGTTAGCCTCTATCACAGTAGCAAACACAGGGAAACCATTTTTAGCATTTAATTGCCCATCATAATTATTTTTATAAATACCTGTTACTTCTATATCTTCACCTGGTTTAGCAGCATCGACAAGATCCCATAACAAAACAATTTCTCTGTGTCTTGGTAATCTACCAGCTGGAACAGTACCAGGAGCTTCCTGCAAAGTAATTCTCTGGTAATTACGGTATAAAGTTTTTCAGAATTAATTCTGAACGGCCCTTTAACATGACAATTAGTACAGAATGATATCTTGACTTCCGTGTTGGAGTCTTGAATGAATGGTCCCAACACGACACCACATTTAAGACAATCAAATTTAACATATTTCAATTGTGGAAAGACGCCTGTTCTTCTAGTTACAACACCACTTATTTTCACCAAATTATTAAGGTTAGTTTCTCTAAGATCTCTCAAGTTTAAGTGGTTAGGAAAGTTGGAAATTCTAACGTGAATCTCCTGATGAATTTGTGAATAGTTAGGATAATGCAATTCAGTAGCCTCCATCGCAACTATATCAAAAATCTTTAACATCTCGGTTGGTGATGTAGCCAAAAACAATGCCAATATAGCTTTCGAGTCTGCCAAATGATCGTAAGAGACCTCCAATGACTCGGCATTGATCTCACCTAGAGTACGAATTCTGGCACCATAGACAGATCTACCTTTGTCATCAGTGTATTCCAACAAAAATGACTTCAATTCTCTCGCAATAGATCTCGAAACTGCAGGCTGCACGATCCATTCAGTTATGCTTGGGGCTTTTATATCAGTCAAACTCTCAAGCGACAACTCTTCGTTGAACGGATCAATCTCCACATCTCCCATGAATTCGTCTGCATCTTCGTCATATTGTCTTCTTCTTCTTCTTTGAATCGGTAATCCATACTCATCGATATCGTCTATATTGTCCTCATCGCCTTCATCTTCCAAAAATGCCTGGCGCCTCGATCTATTACCCATCGCATCTCCCAATAAAGCATCACGTTTATTCAATTGACTGTCAATTCTTCTTCTTGTGGCTGCATCCATCTCTTCGTATTCTTCATCATCAATATTTCCATCTCCTAAATCGTACGTATCCTGTTTTTCATTCCTTTTATAATCATTTTCCATATTATCCATCAAGTCTTCTCCATCCTCTTCGTCTGATGGATTCAAATCTTCAACATCATTATGAATTTCGTCCTCTTCGTCCCCCTCTTCGAATGGAATCGCTGGCGACGATGGCGGTAATTGTGGACTTTGTCCTATTGGAGGCGAAGATGGATGTGACATCGCATCATCTTCATCTGCCTGTCTCTTTCTTGAGTTACCTGTGGGACTAGACATTTTTGCTTGTATATAAACCTATTAATCAACAATTGGTTAGAAAGAAAAGACTTGAAGTAAATTTGCCAGGTTATGTTTAGAGAACTTTTTTTGACGCGTTTAATTAAATCCATTTTTGCCTATTCGGGATAATTGTTGGTGTAAATATTTAGCTGATGTCTGGATGTATAATTCTGATTTTCTGAGAGCACAAAGACAAGAGATCTCGCTGCAACAGAAGTATTGGTGGGGAAAGATATTTACAGGACAGATGATATGAAATACGGATTCGATCTATGAGTACGTGATATACTAGTGTTTCGTTTTGTTCAACTGAGGACTTAATAGTAGAACTTTACTGGTTTTGTAGTCATGTTGTAAGTCTTAAATAGTGACCAGTTTTCTGTATAAACATTCACTGCTAACGATGGTTTAAATGGAAGGCATCTACATGTGATGTTTCCCTTTAGATTTTTATGTACAATTAAGTAAAAGTTTCTAAAGGAGTTAATTTATATCTGCGTATGGTAAGATTTTCATATTTTTATCGAATTTCTTGAAAAATACACACCTACCAAAATTACTTTATATTAACACTAGTTCAAGCTATAATCTGTCACGAAGCCTCCCGACCAATAAATCCCGTAAGGATGTGCTTGTTATGACGGGAAACGGAATATTGGGTGCAAAATCACCATAATGGAAGATACATCACGTGATCGTATTGAGCCTATTTAGAAGTCGATTAAGACGTGAATCAACATGGATGATAAGAAAGATTGGATATAACCAGCAGGCAAAATGAATTCCAAAAGAGAAGACGAGGAGCCAGATTCATTGACGGCGGTTGATTACATCAAATCGCGTGATAAATTGGAGAAAGAGGCGAGAGAATTAATGCCTTTCGACCCCAGCGAGTGCACGTATGAAAAGGGTGAACTAAGACAGCCAATTTTTGCTTGCATTACGTGTTCTAATGAAAATAACGAGAAAATTGGAGTCTGTTATTCGTGTTCTATTCAATGTCATTCGTCACACGAGCTTGTAGAGTTATTTACGAAACGAAATTTCGTCTGCGACTGTGGTACAACCAAGATGTCAAAAACGATTGATGGCGGATGCAAATTGAGATTAAAAAGAGAAGAGAACGAGCGCAGACCATCAATACCAAGGACGGGATATTCGACTAGTGGCCCATCTAAGAGTCATGATATAAGAATGCCAGCGGAGGATATACCATCACTGTCAAATATATATAACCAGAATTTTCAGGGATTATTCTGCTCGTGTGAGAAGCCATACAATCCTCTTGAAGAAACAGGGAATATGATTCAATGCTATTTTGGCTTTACGTGTGGTGAAGATTGGTTTCACGATGAATGTATCTTAGGATACAAACCGGGTACTATTCGCAAGCACAATGAGACCAAACGACATGAACAAGGGAAGAACTGTTTACATAAATTATCTCCTCCAGGAGAGGATGCGAGAGCAGATATAGAAGTTAAGCAAACACCCCCAAAGACATATTCGGTTCCTTACTTTCCAGATCTAGAAGAATTTGACCTGTTCATTTGCTGGAAATGTGTTAAAGAGTTTAGACATATTTTCAAAGAGATCGAAAATGATAAGAAAGTCACTCTTACGAAATTACCTCATTTTAATGGAGTTGAATCAACGTCAGATTGGAAAGAGCAATATGAAAAAGTGATCGACAAAGATTATGATGCCCCTAAATCGAAGAAAATTAAAATTGATCCAGATCATGAAGTTTCATATTCCATATTCTTACAGCCTGATTTTAGAGACCGCTTACTAGAGATCAAGAATACCATTTCACATGATTCGAAGCTTCATGAATTTTTATGTAACAATGAATATTTATATCTTGATGATCCAATTTATGAATGCCCTGAAGATAATGAGGGTGAAAATTCCACAACTGGATCATTATATGACCTAGGTACAGATGCCCTTCTGTCAATGCCTAGAGATCAGGCTATTGAAGGGCTCCAAGCATATGAAAAGATCAGCTCTAAGTTGAAAGAATTTTTTAAGCCATTTGCTGAACAGGGGAAAGTGGTTACTGAAGAAGAAGTAAGAGATTTTTTTAGTGAGATACAGAAGAAAAAAGATAAGTAATACCCATTTTACATTACTTGGAATTTTCAATATTATTATGAAATAACGTAAATTGGATTAAATAAAATATGTACAAATATACACCAATAATTACAGATCATCACTTCAACAAATAATGCTTTAAACCTTAATCATTTCTTCTTATTTTTTTTTTTCAGGTCCAATTTGGCAAATTCTTCCTTCCATACTTCATTACATTTTTGAGCGGTACTTTTAGGGAAAATCTTATCAAAGACTTCTTGATACCATTCGACTGGAATAAATGTGACGCCTTCTTTGACTTCGTCTGGGATTTCTTCAAGTTCATTTTCAATATCTTTAGGGAAGATTATAGTATCACAACCGTATCTCTTAGCACCTAATATTTTTTCCCTCAAACCACCTACTGGTAATACTCTTCCAGTGACAGTTATTTCACCTGTCATGGCTACAGTTGGAGGCAAGGATTCATTAATTGCTAATGAAATCAACGAAGATGTAAAAGAAATACCAGCAGATGGACCATCTTTTGGAATTGCACCATCTGGACAATGAATATGAATGTCGGCTGCTTCAAAAAATCTGTTATCTGGATAATTCTTAGCCATAAACAGTTTAGCAAACGAATATGCGATAGACGCAGACTCCTTCATAACATCCTTCAAACTACCAGTGACATGCATGCCTGGAACTCCAGATCCAGATCCAATTGAATGTGTTAAGATCGATTCGATGTAAAGAGCATCACCATTACCTGAAGTGCTGTAAGAAAGACCAGTTGCAACACCAGGCGGTGGAATATCATATACACGGTCTCTAGTGTAAATTTCTGGACCAACATAATCTTTCAAGTTTTCAGGCGTGATTTCTAATTTAATATCCTCAGGAATAACAAATTTTGCTTCTGGCTTTTCATCATTTTCAGATTGTTTATTTTCTTTATTAGCTTCATTCTTTTCTTTCGTTCCGGCTGTTTCAAGTGTGGATTTAGATTTGGCTTGAACATCTGCCACATTTTCATCAGCATTCTCTGAGTGAGGAGTGCTCGAATGAGTAGCTTCTTTATTATCGTTCACCTCGGCAGAACCTGCTGTAACAGTATCTTTTTCTTTAGGGGCATTAAGAGCTTCTTTGGTTTCAATTTCTTCCACAATCTTGAGAGATGCTTTACTGAAAATTCTAGTGATTAACTTCTTAATGTTTCTGAGACCACTTTCACGACAGTATTTTTCAATCAATCTAGAAATAGTTTCGTTGGTGATAAGAACATGATTGGTTTCTAAGCCCGCCTTCTTACTAGCTTCAGGAATCAAGTGTCTTTTAGCAATTTCAATTTTTTCATTATTGGTATACCCAGAGACGTCAATAATCTCCATACGATCTCTCAAAGGAGCTGGGATATTTCCTAAGTAGTTTGCTGTACAAACAAATAAAACCTTTGATAAATCAACTTTAACATCAATGTAGTTATCTACGAATGCATTGTTTTGTTCCGGATCTAAGATCTCTAAGAATGCTGAAGCAGCACCACCACCACGGCTCAAATCTAGCTTATCGATTTCATCGATTAACATTAAAGGATTTGATGTTTTAGCTTGTTTTAAAGCAGATATAATACGACCTGGAATAGAACCGACATAAGTCCTTCTATGCCCTTTAACTTCATGAACATCTTGTATACCACCCATAGCAATTCTCACATATTTACGATTCAATGATTCAGCAATAGATTTGGCAATAGATGTTTTACCGGTACCTGGAGGACCTGCCAAACATAAAATCTTACCATCAACTTTACCAGAAACCTTACCTAAAGAAATGAATTCCAAAATACGGTCCTTAACATCCTTCAAACCATAATGATCACGCTCTAAAACTTCTCTTGCTTGCTTAATATTGAAATGGTCTTTTGAGTAAACTCCCCATGGAATAGACGTCAACCAATCTAAATACCTTTCGCTAACACCTAATTCACTAGAATGTTCGTTCTGGTTTTCCATCTTAGCCTTTTCAGCATTGTATGCTTCCATAGCTTCATCTGTAAGTTTCAAATGTTTAAGCCTTTCATCAAATTTGGAAGTCTTCTTATCATCCGATTCAGAAATACCTGCACGCTTTTGCAATTCCTTAATGAATTCCTTAATGAAAAGACGGGTCTGATATTCATCTGCTTTAGTACTCAAATTATGTATAGTACTTTCTTTAATTAAACTAGCCTTAAGTTCCACTTTCAATAATTCTAGTGCCCTTGATAACCTTGTCTCAATATTCAAAGTTTCTAATATTTCTTGAATCTTTTTTGGATCTCCATGTATGGTGGAACCAACAAAATCGGCAAATTTAGATGGATCACTAATCAAGTCAGTTCCTTCTTTAATCTGAAGCTTTTCAAGTGGGTTCTTACCACCCATTTTACTTAACAATGTTTTCAATGATTCAACCAATGAACGAATTTCTGCAGATGATTTATCATAAGGCTCATCTTCGACTGGTTTAACTGTTGCATATGAAACATTGAGGCCCTTCAAATAAGACGTTGGGAAGTTTTCTCCATCATCCTTTACAGGCGCATCAGATTTAGCCTCCTTTTGACTACTTGGGGTGGTTAATTCCTCTAATTTACATCTTTCAAGAGGGTAACCTAAAACATTAAATACCCCAGGTCTAGGGGTGGTATGTCTAATAATTTGACAATGGACCCCTATATCATACACCGAGTCTTTCTTATTTATAACATCAGTATCTGGTTCATTAGAATCTTTTACATGAAACAATACAAAGTATGGTTCTCTTTTATCAATGATGGTGTATATGGACCTAATCACCTCAGGGTCTGTGACATTAATTGCGAATGGACGACCCGGAAGTGGAGGACGGTCCTTCATAGGAATAGCCAATAACGGTGGATACAACCCAGTAACAGGATCAACTGGAAGCAGAGGGTTCGAATCATCTGGATCATCTCCATTATTGTTACCGCTAGGTGGGGCTGCCGCTCCACCTGTATTCGATGAGGCCGTTGGCACGGTTTCATTAGATTCAGACGATACTTTATTATCATTCTCAATATCTTTCTCATTTTCTTGTTCTTTATCATTTTCCAGCTCCTTGTCTTTCTCTGGCGTCTCCGGATCTTGATTAGATTCCTTGTCGGTTTCAGACGGATTATTTTCATTTTCAGACCTCTGTGAGGGTTCATCATCACTAACACTTTTATTTCTATGTATAATATCCTGATAGGCTCTAAATGCAGACTGTGAATGTGAAATATCAAAATTCATTTGAAGTGGCAATGTTTTAGGACTAGATACACTCGTAGCCAATCTTAGCCCTAATTGTGATGTTCTTGGACATCTCCAAGCCAACTTACGTACGTAAGTTCTTGGTCTAAGCATAATAAATCTCTATAACGACCTATCTGTGAATTATATCTTCTATATGTATGATAGATCTCTTGTGGAAATTACTAATTATCGTGAGCTTCAACGACCTTCGGTGATCGCTCGAGGTCGGTTTCTCATTATTGTAGTTTAAGTCACATGACTATATATATTTATGACTACATACTTAAAGGTGGAAGGTATGGAGATATAGATTGGGGAGAAGCCGTATATATGCTGGGGGATTTAAGCCCATCAGTTGATTAAAATATGCAAGTTAAGATAAAAAGATACAAAACGATGAATTTTAGGCCTAAAAAAATTACAAGAAATTCTTCGTAATAAGAAGTAACATTTCTAGATTCTACTAAACCTTGCATCATTCAATGCTATAACAGACGGAACCAGCTTTAAATAGATATGCTTTATGCCTCTTTGCAAAAGAATTTGTGATATTAACTGTTGTGTGCTCCTTGAAGACTAAGCTTGCTAATGACTAAAAGTTTGACCCATAGCTTTTTGCTATAATTCATAACCGGGGAAGGTCTTGATATCCCCGATGCCTAATTATAGTCAGCATTATGAGCTTAATATAGTATCCTTTCTTCCACGTGAGCATAGTTGTCTTAAGTTCATAACAGCTGATCTTCGGATGAGTCTGTTTCCTGGGGTAAAATGTCAGCTGTTTCATTAAACATTACAGAGACCAGATAGGGTAATGCGCATAACTAGAAAGTTTGATGCTAATCAATTTTGAAAACATTCTTCTTTTTTTTCTTAAAGGTGAGTGGAGTTGTTTCACTTTCATCATTTTTCCTTTTCCTGGACATCTTCGGAGTGTCGTTGTTGTCATTAAGGAAGTTTTCGTCCTGATAATAGTTCAAAGTATTCAAACCTTCATCCTCGAGATGTAAACCTTTATTTCTATTTTTCGAGGTTTTGTCATTTGGAGAAGATATCGATACCTTAGATACTTCGGATTTCCAAAGTCGTAATTTTTTCTTCTTTTTGTCCTTTTTCTCCGATGATTTTGCTAGCGATGAATTGGCACTAGCAAACGTTTCGTCTTCAGACATATGGGTCCCTCTGCCTGTTGTCCTAGAAGAAATACTCTCTATAGTCGTTGAGTTAGCATCCGGAGCATCATTTTCAGCTTCACTGGCATTTGCACTAGTAAAAGACTTATTGATGACATCATCCAATGATCTCATCTTATCGTCAAAGAGCTCGCCGTTATTTGGAAGTCTACTGGGGGTGAGATCGGCAGTTTGTACGGATGGTGATGAACGATTCGTGTTGTTGGATGAATGTCGGGTAGGTGTTGTAACAGGGGAAGACGATTTTTTCGAGGCAGCTCTAGTTATTCGCTTATTAGGCGTCTCAGGCTCGACAGTGCTTTCTTTCTGTGGTAAGTTTCCGTTTTGCTCAAATTGTTTCTTCATGGAGTTATAATTAGTATATTCCCGTTTTGCTTTTGTAGGAACTAATACTTTCCTTTTATGCTGTATAGGTGATAGAATACTTGACTTGGAGTCTGAAGCAAAAATCGACTTATTTATGGAGTTAACAGTTGGTGATAAGTAGTTTTTTGCGAGTCCCCCAGACCCTTGATTGAACATTATTTTGTTGACATAGGGCGAAGTAGAAAATGCACTAGATGGACGTGATGAACTTGGTTCCAAGGTCGGCTGAAATTGGCTTAATGTCGGCACTTGTAATTTGTTACGTGTTTGATCTTTAAGCTGTTGTTTTAACTTCCCGATTTCGTCTCTCAACGATTCTAGTTTAGATTCTTGTAATTTCTCTTTAGTTGTATGCAGCTGTTTCAATTTGTTTATAGTCAACTCATAATCGTGGTTCTTCTTTGTTAGCTCTGCAATTCGTGATGCACTTGCAGAATTAGAGTTATCAATCGTATGTGATGGGGCCTTGTTGTTCGATTTCGATTGATAAAATATTTTTAAAATCGATAATTTGATGAGGTTTTTTCGTTGCTCATCATTCTGTTCGAGTTGCTGGATCTCCCTTTGCAATAGGAAAGGATCCTGAAGTGATGCTGCCATACTATGTACTAGGAAGAACTTGATTTTAAAAAAATCGCTTGAGAGCCTTAATTTGTAAACATTGAAATATTTAGACCCCTCGCTGCAAACCGTTACAAAAAGATTTTATACTAGTCTAAATCAACCGGCTAGTAATATATGCCATTAGTATCGAATATTATTAACTATGAATGCAACGAAAGGAGACTCCATAACTGCTACAATATACCAGGCTTGTAACGATGAATTTCGAAAAGGAGTTGTCATAGATCAAAGTAAACTTAAAAACTCATCTCATTCAGTCTCTATCAAAGACAATCAGCTTGATTTAGTCATAGACAAGGACGCAAGTGATATTGACGAAATATTCAAGAATCATGGAACAGCAATACCGGCGGATGAAATTCTTCAATCATTAAACACAACACGGGTCAAGATACCCATAAAATATCGAGAAGAATTCCCATCAGACATTAACCTTCCAGACCCAGAATTGCTTAATGTGCTACATTATTATACTAGCAAGAAGATAGCTAAAAGTGATTCATATAAAAAAGTGGAAAGAAGTTTAGACGAAACATCGTTGTTAGCATTTGGCATGATGGTGGAATCATGGGCAGATGAATTAATAGATGAATCTGCAGCACAAATGTTCCTTGAACAGGATGATATGGTATATGACGTGATAGGAGATGGCGAAGATTCGTCGCTGGAATCACTGGAATCAGGTTCTAGTTCTAGTAGTACAGACTCAAGCATAGATACAGATACAGATCTGGATTAGATTCGAAATTCATAGCTATGATTATAATATTTACGATGTAATATACAATTAAACATTAGTTTTGGTAGTAGACTCAGATTCAGACTCCGCTGGAGGGGCACTTGAGTCGAGCTCACTGGTGGCACCGGATTCTGGCTCAGCAGAATCACGGACTTTTCTAACAGCTTCAAGGTTCTTTTGGTAAATGGCTTCTTTTCCGGCATCCTTAGCAGTGGTTTCGATACCGAAAACTCTATAAAGTAATTCATGGGTATCTTTCTTATTGACCATTAAGTTGACATTAGTTTTACCCTTCCATAATGGTAAGAATAAATCTTCTAAATCATCGCCTTCTCTCTTAACAGTTAAGAAAACACATCCTTCTTCCATTGCATCCAATCTAGATGAAAATTCAGTATCTATAGCTGAATCTTTGATAGCCTGAATCTTTGGGAAAGCTTCTTGAAACAATAATTCTAATAATTTCAAATTGCAGCTCAAATGTCTTTTATCCCCCAAGAATGACTTAATAGTGTGCAAAGATTCGTTTTGCACTCTCCAAGGACAATTTCCAGTATCGTTTCTTTGGGAGACAAATAACTTGATACCAGCATGAATGACCTTTAATTTCTGTTCTTCAATTGTTAAAATTTCTTTCAATATAGACGAAACATAGTAAATAGTTCTCAATGGCTCACCAGTTGCATTTCTAACTAATGTGGAGTCACGAGGGAAGCTCTCCTTGAAATCGTAGAATGGCCAACATTTAGCTAATTGAGGATGTTCAGGATCTAAGAAGATAAATGGTTCTTCATTAGCATCTCTTGGTAACTTTTCCTTTCTTTGTGGCTGTGGTTTATCAATAGTTTCCACGGCATTTGATTGCTCATCAGTCTTTTGCTTTTTAGAACTTTCTTCTTTGTCATCTTCAGCTATTCTCTTTGCACCTTCTGGATCAGTCTTTTCAAGTACAGCAATGAAAAACCCACCAGTATTTTGTAAATGTGGGTAAACCCTAATACAATTTTCTAAACCAAATGTGTTTCCTTCTTCTTCAGTTGGAGGGAAAACGGTATCAGCAACATCTTCAGCTCCTTTTTCTCTAATTTGCATATCCTTACCGAAAACCTTCCAGTCTCTCACACCATTACGTCTGACTAAACCAGGTAATTCATTATCACAGTTGACTAATTTAACTTGGTTTCCCCATTTTCTTAAGGCAGCAGCAACCACAGCTTCGTTTTCAACTGGAGATAAAGAACAGGTTGAGTACACTAATCTACCACCTTTCTTCAACAATTGTAATCCTCTGTTTAAAATATTTATTTGCAATGAATGCAATCCCAATGCGTTACCAACGGTGAAATCCTTCCATACATTGACATTCTTTCTCATGGTACCATCACCGGAACATGGAACGTCACACAAGATTCTGTCAAATTTCAAAAATTCGCTAGCGCCATTTAATCTGATTCTTGGGAATAATTGTGCATCGTGGTTAACAACCATAAAGTTAGGAGAATTCAAACGTTTCACTTGATGGACCAACATATGCGATCTCTTATAATCGGAGTCATTGGCTAAGACAAATCCTGTTGCTAACTTATTATCATCATCAGAATGTAAAGCTTCAACCAATTGTGCAGTCTTAGACCCTGGTGCAGCACACATGTCAAAAACGGCGTGGTGTGGCTTAATATCCATCAACAAAGGTGGAATCATCGAAACAGCTTCTTGTCTGGAAATGTTTCCAACTTCAGTTTCGATAACCAAGAAACGCTGTGTCTTTGCAAATTCCTCGTTCTTTCTGATAACCGCCTTGGAAACGTCTATTTGCCATCCAAGCTCATTTGGGTAGTACGATAAGTTTCTTGGGGTCAACTTGACCCCTTCAAACTCAGCATCTTGCAACTTGGAAACGTGATTCTTGATGAAGTTTTCCTTGATCTCGTTAGCATGTGCTCTCGACCCGGTGATTCTAAATGTCAATGGCAAATTTTCTTGACAATGCTTCTTGAAAGTATCCCATTCTTCCTCTGGAATAATGTTCATAGCCTTGTAATAAGTTTCCCATTTCTCACTCTCCCTCACGGCTTCAGTCCACGATTTTTCTCTATCATGAACTTCGGATCGTTTCCCAAAGTTCTTTTTATTATTTCCTCCTTTATTTTTTCTGAAATTCCGTTTACCCATTCCTAATAAATTGTTGATTAGTGTCTTCAAATAGGCCATTCAATACTAGTCCTAATGGTTCTATCAAAATTTTTCAGATGTTTTTAGTCTAAGGCTACAAACCAGAGCGATGGATTTTTAAAATGATATCACGTGATAAATACAACCACATCTGTCATCTTGTGATTATAGCGGTGAAATTGATACAATGGTCTTCTTCTTCTAGGTTTATTCTAATACTATATATATTGAAGCTGGGTTAATGACTATACCCTCTAATAAGAGACTTGGATATAGTGCCGTAAGTGAATTTTTTTTGAAAAGAAATTGGGTTAGGGGTTTTGGGACAGGACATATAGAATACTAACAGATATGAAGGTGGGAGCTTGTCTAGGTGTCTCGATTTATAAGAAATTTGACTTCAGGGCGCCGAATGGATACATAAGACCAATAGGATTAGATTTGAATCCATATTATGCAGTTAATAGCTATTATAATACGCTAGCGTCATCAATAACATCGATTCTGTCGTTTAATTTTAAACTAGTTAATCTTTGTTTGATTGGAATATTTTTATTGACGAATTTCGTGATATGGGTTGTGTTTGGGAGATTGACGAGTAATGAGATACGAAACTTGAAGGACAAGATCAGTTATACTGCATGGGAATTTTGTTTTGGATTTTTGATATTTTACTATAGCACCATCAGGAACGATGATAAAGCCACCAACGATTTACTGGTGAGACACGAGCTATTAAAGTATGGCGGATTGTTCTTGTGTGTTTTCTTGTTGAAATGCTTTCATTATTTGAGTATTGGCCGTGTTTATATGACCGCCAGTGACGTGCATGATGCATCAACATTGAAATTCCAATACTTAAGGTTCTCTATCGGATTAGCAGTATTGAATTTGGTTGATGTCATGTTAATAAACAAATACTTCCAGGAAGTGATATCGAGTTATTCTGGAAATTCGAAAGTATCCTTTAAGGATAATATATTAATTACAATTTTTGGGTTTGAAATCTTGCACATATTCCCTTTAATCATATTGACAACGATCAAATATGGATTAAACTGTTTCGAGCTTTTCAAATTTGGATCATTGGATAGTTCCAACTTTGAGTCATCAAACACAGAATCCATTAAATGGAATGATACAAAGTTGAAAGTTATATACACCTGCGAGTTTCTAGTAAATTTGATAAGATTTGGAATTGGTTGCATTTTCTCGATACTATTTATGTATTTCTATACATTTCCATTTCACATCTTACCGTCATCTTACTTGAGTTTAAGGCTTTTGGTCTTGAAAGCACGGTGCTTGCTCAATTTCAAAATGAAGAACTTTCAAATGCAAAAATTAGGTACGCCCCACAAAATGGGAAGTTACGAGAAGTGTATAATATGCTTTGATGATTTATCAAATGATTTTCTTGATGAAGTGAGGATACTTAAAAACTGTTCTCATCAATTTCACTATAGTTGTTTGAAGAAGTGGGTTGACTATTCGGACTCATGCCCCATATGTCGTGGGAAGTTATAAGTACATACTCACATTTCTGTTTATGATTTATTTATTTATTTATTTGGTGTTGGTTTGGTTATACTGGATTTTATATTATTTTTTTTTAATTCTACTCCACATTTGGAAGGTGTCTGTTATTATCGAAAGTTATATTTATATATAGGTGGCGATATAATTGAATATTTACTATATTTTTAAAAAACTGTTTGTATAACACATAATTGAGAACTGAAAGGTAGTTGTTGCTTTCCTAAAATACATCTATTTGCATAGTCTATTCTCGTACTTGTCTTTTTACAATGTTGCTAGTTGCATTGAGTAACTAAAAATAGGCATTATTGGAATTGCCATTTGTGATTCCAGCAGTTAAAGTATCAATATCTGGTTCATCATTCGTGAGCTTTGCCAACTCGTCGATATGCTGGTGGTTTCCTATTTGTTCTTCATTAGGATCACTGATAAAATCATCGTATCCATATCCTTCTTCTTTATGATTTGGGTCGTTATGCCTTTCCTCATGTTTTATTTGTTTGTCGTGCCCGTTTAAAGCACCATTGCCCGCTTCATTTCCTTGTCCATTAGATTCATAATGGTTGAAAAACGATTCGGGCGATCCTATAGAGCTATCAGATGAAGGATTCGAACCTAATAGTCCATTATTGTTTGTATCATGCCCAGTGATCTGGCGTGAGTTTGACCCTTGTGTTCCCATGTATTGATGGCTTTCGATATCTTCCTGTTTGTGTTCATGGAACTGCTCCCGCAATGGAGAATCAGTCGAGGAGTGCTCATCTTGGGTATTGGAAGCGGTATGTGATATAGAATCTGCTGCGGATGCAACTTTCCGCTGTCTCTTCGATGGCTTGGTTTCGTTTCTTTCTTGCTTTAAGGCCTGTTGTTCTCTATACTTTGCCAAGTAAATCTTCAACACTTCGGCATAATTCTCAAATCCCAAATCGTGCATCGAATACAATATATCTTCTCCATTAATAGTTTTACGTTTTTCCTTGAGGCACTTATCACTCGCTTCACTAGTAACAAACGAAATAAATTCTGATACACACTCTTGCATGCATTCTTTAGCATCCTTTGAAACCTTGGCTGTCTGGGGAAGGGTATTTTTCATGAGACGAGCTACGTTGGCGATCGGCAACCAACGATCTTGCTCCCTTAATTCGACTTCGTGTGGATTTATATTGTTTGGATCCATATTGATATTCTCAATACAGGAGTATTGTTTAAAATGTTTTAGACTATTTAAGAAACTGATACTAAACTTAGCACTTATATTCAGTCTCAGCTCAAATTTGTTGGTGTATTAATGTTGATGACTATTATCTTAACGATTAATGGCTAAATATTAAACGACTTATTGAACTATAAGTCCAGCGTAAAAAATGAGCTAAAATCCTTATAACGGAAGTTCGATAGCTACGCACTTTAATGTGTAAATTAAATCACGATATGTATAGTACAATCGTAGTTTAGAAGACGTAGAAATATTTCAAGCTATATAGGAAAGATAGAATAATATTACCATGGGATCTGTACGTAATGGGGTAGGACATGGTAGCAATGGTGCTGATATTTTGAACAAATCTACTGCTGGTGCTTCTTTCCTCATGTTGACACAATTGTTCACAAAGATGTTAACATTTCTATTGAACCAGTTATTGATTCGATTGATCTCTCCCAGGGTGTTTGGAATATCGGCGTATTTAGAGTTTATCGTCTCAATGGTGTTGTTCTTTAGCAGGGAGGGAGAAAGACTTTCAATTCAAAGAACTAGGGATATTAGTTCGGGAAATACAAGTGACTCGAAACATAGAACGGGTAAATACGTCGAAAGGACCCCAGAGGGGACTTTACAAAGCATTATTAATTTTGGTTATATCCCATTGGTAGTTGGTGGGCCCCTATCGATTGTTATTCTTGCATGGCAGTACAATTCGCAAAATTTTCAGGAGTCCTTATTAATGTTGCCATATTATAGGATTACAATAGTACTCGTGTGGCTGCTGATGATGCTAGAACTTGCCGCAGAGCCGTTATATGCTATCAATCAATTCCAATTGAATTTTGGGAAAAGGTCGAAATACGAAAGTATTGGTGTCTTTGGAAGGTGTATTGTTACATTCGCAGTAATTGCTGTAGTGCTGAGGACATCGAGGGTATCAAGTTTAGAATATGATGCTCTTGCAGTTATGGCGTTTGCTTTGGGTCAATTTGGATATTCTTTGTTAATTTTTCTACAATACCATTTAAACTTTGCTAAGGAAAATCGTACAAAGCTTCCAAAAGAGCAGAATTCTCTAGTACTTAGTAAAATTTATACCCCATCGGAAGCTGGTGACTATTATTTTGACCCAAAGATTTTGGCTATTTGGAGAAGCTTATTTATACTGATGATATTCAAACATTTTTTGACGGAGGGAGACAAATTGTTGATCAATTATTTGTGTACAGTAGAGCAACAAGGTACATATGCGGTTGTTTGCAATTACGGATCCATAATTGCAAGGTTGGTGTTTCAGCCAATTGAAGAATCATTACGATTACTATTTACCAAGATGCTTTCAGTCAAATCAGAAGAAAATATAAGAAAATCGTACAATGTTATGCGATACTTGGGAATATTTTATTTAAATTTGTCTTTGTTGATCGGTATTGCTGGGTATACTAATGCAGCATATTTCCTACTGATATTATTAGGCGGTAGAGCTTCTAAATGGGCTAATACAGGGATTTTTGATATATTTCCCCAATACATTGTATACATACCATTTTTGGCTTTTAATGGTATATTAGAGGCTTTTTTCAATAGTGTCGCTGATGGTAATGAGATAAGGAGATTCTCCATTTTCATGTCCTTCCTGACTCTCATTGTTTTGTGTTCACTGTATGTATTTATCACTCATTTTAAATTCGGTTTGAGTGGACTTATTTTAGCAAATGCCTTAAACATGACATTAAGAATAGGTTACTGTTCTATTTTTATTAAATCATTTTACTTTCGGAATGGGATTACCATTAATTATAGGGGTATTTTGAAGAGAATTAGTGGTTCACTTGCAACGTTTATAATAGTTGCATATTGTCAATATCTCGCTTTAAATAATAGAGTCAAAAGTACTTCTATAACAGATGTCATCAAAAGTGCTTTACTATGTTTGGTCTATCTAGTTTACATGATCTACGCAGACAGGACCATATTGAAGGACCCATTGATGGATTTCAAAAACAGACTTCTAGACAGAAAAAAATCGTCCAAGCAAGATTAAAATTTATAGAACTGTAAATAGCTGCAAAACATAAAACAATCAAAATTATCAAACTTTTATCTGCATTAATTATGTTCAAGGTTTACTACAAGCTGAATTAGTAAAAAAATTGGAGTCGACACACAAGATACTTATAACTCCTTACCAAAGCCAGCCAAGTGCCATCCGCTTCGCCTCTCTACGGGTAGCGTGCTGTGCTGAATTGCTTCCCTCCAGCGATATTGCCACTCATTGCTGAAACTTGAAGAATTGACTACTCAAATTATCAAGTTTGCGACCGCAGAGATCGAACCGGACACTTAAACTGTAATAAAGAACCAAAAGTACACGATCGGTGCGCTTCTGCCAAACGCCATCACAGCGTTAAAATTTGAAAAAATGTGCACTATGTTTGATTTCAACTCTTTATATGCAAGAATCTGGAGATAATTAGATGAGCTTGGAGGATTTAACTAATCCTTTTAAGACCTAAGAAAATTCAATAAAGCATATGTCGATAGTGGAATTACTGAAAAGTGTAGATACGCTTGCAAAGATAATAAACCAGAAGAACCTTGAGTTGGAGGAGTTGAAAAAAGGGTATGATTCTAAACTTCATGAAATTAACAAGTACATCAGAATATTACAAGAACAAGAGGGTATTGAATCAGAAAAAGATATACCTGAAGATGTATTCAGAGAGAAGATAAGTAGTACAATCAAGTGTAACAAATGCAATCATGAAGTATGGAATATCAATAGTGATAGTGATTTCATAATTATACCCAAGCGGAAATTGAAATACCTTCTTGGTCATGAGAGTGATCGAAGATTACTGAATGAATTGAAAGAGCTAAAAATACAAAATGACTCGACCGTATATAATAACTCAGATATACGACCAAGTCCTCATGAATATCCAGGTCCTAAAGGCTATAAGAAGCAGTATAATACCAAATCAAAGAAGACATGTTCATACTGCTCCAAACCTGGTCACTCAAGAGCACATTGCTTGGTTAGGTTGGCAACGCCTACTAAATAGCTACAATGTAGTATTTTCATTAATTAATTTGGAACGGTATATTTATAAACTATATTACATTACATAACCAACGTAAATTAACTTAACTTATTTTGCTGATTGAACCATAGCCTCTATAATTAAAGGATTGTTAGTATATTTGACAAGAATATAGATAAAATAAAACGCTTATACGTACCTCTTCTAGATGCATCTTGTAATAATGTGCAATCAACAGAATTAGAATTCATATGGACATAACGAACAGTAGATCCTCTTATGAACAAATTCTTGACAGATTGTAAGTGTGGGTATTTGGATTCATTGACACATGAGATATTGTCTAACTTCAAATTTAAATATTGGTCTACTGACTTCAAAATGCCCTTAATCTCTATATCATTTTTTAATTCGACGGTGACTTCTTGATCAACAAGAGTTTTGAAAAAACTGAAGAATAACATTTACTTCTGCAATTTATATATATTAGATACAATATATCCTTTACTTTTAATATTGTATAGGTGTATTGTGAAGGTCAAGCTGGTGGTGTAGATTTTCAAAAACTGCATTTTGAGGAAATATCAAAAGGTTCAAATATTACGTAAGCCAATGCAAAATAGGCATTTGTATTACCATGGCTTTAAAGTAGGCCTACATATATCTATATAGATAAGTTGCATGTAATGATGTATAAAATTATGTTACGAGACCTAACAATGTATGATCATTGGAATAATCACCTTTTAATTCTTTTTGAAGAAGAGATAGTTCCTTTTGGAACTCAACAAAACTATCTTCCTCTACTTGATTGAAGCTTGAGTTGTCTGTACCTTGGGATCTGCATGCGGAAGTAGGTATTCCTATTCGATACTCTTCAATTCCCTTCTCGTGAGATTTTGATTTCTTAGATTTTGATTTTTTGTGCTTCTTAGGCGTTAAGGGTGATTCAAGGTTTAAATTGAATTCGGTCTGGTATGGGAACAGATCAAACATTGAGTCAAATGTTTCCTGTTTAGCCTGAATTATTGGAGGAAATAGATCATCATCGATAAATTCGTCTTCTAAGTTATATAATTCTCTTTTTATGCCTTGGTTTTGATATGTTCTTAATGCATGTAGTTTTTCAACATTATCTGTTTTGAGTTTCTCTTTTTTCTTTCTTCCTCTTTTAGCCGGTTTTTGCAAGTCCAAAAGGTTGTATTTGGTTTTGATCAGTGGTATTTCTTTATTATATTTATTTTTGGATTTGTCGTCTAGTTGGAATTCGTCTGCATTGGATGATGAGCTTGAACCTGAACCACTAGCTTGCTCTTTTTGATTGTTGAAATTTAATGCCTTTAAGTTTCTTCTTGCCATTTGGTAATTTGACGGAGAACGACCTCTAACTACTAGCGGTTGAGTCTCCGTACTGGCTAAAACTGCATATTTACCGTCGTCTAGTAGCCCCAATAATTCGACTTTTAAAATGAAGTGTCTATTAACCATGGTCGATTTCCGATAGTTTATTGATGTGGAGAATTGAATACGTTCATATCTTGCAACCGTGGCTATTCTTCCCTCTGGGTATGTACTTAGAATTGATGCATCCATGCACTTTTGTAAAGTAGCGGTGTCAAGGTAGAACATTCGGTTGTATTGATCAATTTTGTCTCCATTACGAATATTAGATGCTTGTTTGATAATTGAATGAGATGGTAGATATCCTGAAATGGCTGGGAAAACTGGCGGCAGGTACTGTGGACCTCTATCTCGCTTAGCTGTGTGTTGAATGAGATTCACAACGGATTCATCCTCTGAACATCTGGATACCAATCTTAGCGCAAAACAACTGATATTTTCAAGTTCACCAACATCATTCAAGATATGAAACTTCTCAGTGAAAAATGTTTCAGGGCTAACCCCGTCAAATTCAAAGCAGCTAACTAATGTGAAATAATTGCGTTTATACCCAATCCACTCCCCACCATGATTCTCAAACCCTCTATCGATTCTGGCGTTAACAAAGGGGAAAACATTTTCGTTAGTGGAAGTTATAAATATCGGTCTATATAATGTCGTGTTCTCAAAAGACGGTCCAACTTTGAACTGTAAACCCGATCTTGGGGCAACCTTTCTCTTCTTTACTACAACTCCATGTGTCCCATTATTTGACCTAAAGCTCTCAGGAAATACATTATATTGTTCATTATTATCACCACTATAATTTTCAAGCCCCTTATCACTTGGTTTTGCCTTTAATTGTTGCTTATCAGGCTTTTTGGAAGACCACGATGAAGTCTTAGTTTTGACTTTATTCTTCGAATTTTTTGGTCTTCCCATGTTTCAAATTATTTTTATGTTGATAACCTATATGAATATGAAGTAGGATATTCTACGATTCTTGGTTCCTAATCTATAGGCTTCTTTTCAATTCTTGTATAAATTGCAGCTGAAACTTTTACCCGCTGAATATACAAATTTGATTTTGGGGCATAAATCGGATTTTGCAATCCACAAATGCAACATTTTATGGAACACCCATTATCACTCGTAAATTTAACTCAATTGTAAAATTTGAAACTACATTATAATACCACACTCCAAGAAGCACTTAAAAACATCATTTTATACCCTTGAAGATACCTTAAATACACTTTTATAGCATGTATCGGTGTTTATGCCTAGTTAATAGTGATATCATTTATACGAGTCGGTATTCACACGACTCATCTAATGAGATTTTTTTTCAGACTGGGACATAAATACTATTATGGATAAAGATCTTAAGTAGAATAAACTAGAGAATATTCAAGATGGTAAAGAAGGCTATTGATGCACGTATTCCATCGCTCATCCGTAACGGTGTGCAAGAAAAGGAGAGAAGTTTTTTCTTCATTGTGGGTGATAAAGCTCGTAATCAGTTGCCTAATTTGCATTATTTAATGATGTCAGCCGATTTGAAGATGAACAAGTCAGTTTTATGGGCATATAAAAAGAAATTATTGGGCTTCACATCACACAGACAAAAGAGAGAGGCCAAAATAAAGAAAGATATTAAAAGGGGTGTAAGAGAAGTAAACGACCAAGACCCATTTGAGGCCTTCATTTCCAATCAGCATATTAGATATGTGTACTATAAGGAAACCGAAAAAATTTTGGGTAATACCTATGGTATGTGTATATTGCAAGATTTTGAAGCTATCACACCTAACTTGTTAGCTAGAACTATAGAAACTGTTGAAGGTGGTGGATTAGTTGTCATATTGTTGAAATCTATGTCTTCATTGAAACAGTTATATACCATGACAATGGACATCCATTCACGTTATAGAACTGAGGCCCACGATGATGTCGTTGCCAGATTTAATGAAAGATTTTTATTATCATTAGGTTCATGTGCAAATTGTTTAGTTGTTGACGATGAACTTAACGTCTTGCCTATATCTGGTGGTAAGCATGTTAAACCATTACCAGCTAAAGACGATGATGATTTGTCTCCTAATGCAAAAGAGTTGAAGGAATTGAAGGAAAGCTTGGCAGATGTCCAGCCAGCTGGTGCATTAGTTGGGTTATCAAAAACTGTAAATCAAGCTCAGTCTATATTGACATTCATTGATGTTATTTCAGAAAAGACATTAAGAAGTACGGTTGCATTAACAGCTGGTAGAGGTCGTGGTAAATCAGCAGCCTTAGGTATTGCTATTGCAGCTGCAGTTTCTCATGGTTATTCTAATATTTTCGTCACATCACCTTCTCCAGAAAACTTGAAGACATTATTCGAGTTTGTTTTCAAAGGATTCGATGCCTTAGGTTATACTGAGCATATGGATTATGATATTATACAATCAACTAACCCATCATTTAACAAGGCTATCGTTAGAGTGGATATTAAACGTGGTCATCGTCAAACTATTCAATATATTTCACCAAATGATAACCATGTATTAGGTCAGGCCGAATTAGTTATTATAGATGAAGCTGCTGCTATCCCATTACCTGTCGTGAAAAACTTAATGGGACCTTATTTGATTTTCATGGCTTCTACTATTAATGGTTACGAAGGTACAGGTAGATCTTTATCGTTGAAGTTAATTCAACAATTACGTACTGAATCCAATAGCAACAGAAGAAATGATGACACAACAGTTGTATCTAGAGACAACAAGTCTAATTTCGATTCCGCTTCGTCAGGTAGAGATTTGCGTGAAGTTGTCTTGGATGAACCAATTAGATATGCACCAGGAGATCCAGTTGAAAAGTGGTTGAATAAATTATTATGCTTAGATGTTTCATTATCCAGAAATTCCAAGTTTGCTACTAAAGGTTGTCCACATCCTTCTCAATGTAACTTATTTTATGTGAACAGAGATACCTTGTTTTCATATCACCCTGTCTCTGAAGCTTTCTTGCAAAAAATGATGGCTTTATATGTTGCATCGCATTACAAAAATTCTCCTAATGATTTACAATTGATGAGTGATGCTCCTGCTCATCAATTATTTGTCTTGTTACCACCAATTGAAGAAGGTGGTAATAGAATTCCAGACCCCTTATGTGTTATCCAACTTGCCTTAGAAGGTGAAATTTCAAAAGAAAGTGTTCGTAAATCATTATCTCGTGGCCAGAGAGCTGGAGGTGATTTAATTCCATGGTTAATTTCTCAACAGTTCCAAGATGAAGAGTTTGCATCATTATCTGGTGCTAGAGTTGTAAGAATCGCTACAAACCCAGAATATGCTGGAATGGGTTATGGTTCAAGAGCTTTAGAGTTATTGCAAGATTATTACGAGGGAAAATTCACAGATATCAGTGAATCCTCAGAAATTAACGACCATACGATAACCAGAGTTACAGATAAAGAATTAGCGAACGCTTCTTTGAAGGATGAAATTAAGTTGAGAGATGCTAAATCATTGCCACCATTATTATTGAAGTTATCTGAAAAGCCACCTTACTTTTTACATTACTTAGGTGTATCTTTCGGATTGACTCCACAATTGCAAAAATTCTGGAAGAGATCTGGATTCGTTCCTGTTTATTTAAGACAGACAGCTAATGAGTTGACTGGAGAACATACCTCTGTCATGATAAACGTATTACAAAACCGCGAGAAGACATGGTTACAAGAATTTTCGAAGGATTTCCACAAGCGTTTCTTACAGTTATTGTCATATGAATTTAAAAAATTTCCAGCTGTTCAAGCATTAAATATTATTGAAGCAACAGAGGCTGGTGAAAATCACGAAAGTAAGACCAAGAAATTAACCAGAAATGATTTAGATAACATCTTATCTCCATTCGACTTGAAGAGATTAGATTCATATGCCAATAATTTGTTAGATTACCATGTTATTGTTGATATGTTACCATTGATTTCCCAGTTATATTTTTCAAAGAAAACTGGCACTGATGTCAGTTTGTCATCTGTACAAGCTGCTATTTTATTAGCAATTGGTTTGCAACACAAAGACTTGGACCATATTTCAAAAGAATTAAACTTGCCATCGAATCAATCCATGGCAATGTTTGCTAAAATCGTTCGTAAGTTTTCAACTTATTTCAGAAGTATTTTAAGTAAGTCTATTGAAGATTCTATGCCTCAATATGAAGATGAGGCTGTTAAGGCAATGGAAGGACTGCCAGAACACATAGATTACGATAAGATAGAGCAGGATATGCAAGATGATTTAGAAGAGGCTGGTGATGAAGCTATGCAAGAATTGAAGGCAAAACAAAAGGAATTTATTAATGCTATTAACTTAGATAAATACGCAATTGCAGACGATGCAGACTGGGAAGCTGCTGGTAAATCTGTTACCAAGGCTGTCAATGGAAAAGGAGTAGTCAGTGTCAAGAATAAAAATTCTAAGAGACAAAAGGGTGAGAGTGCTGCTGATATTTATGATTCAGAAATGAAAAGTGCTAACAAGAAACCAAAGAAATCAAAGAAATAGTTTGTATAATAGGAAATATATATATATATCAACTTTATAGGTTAAAAATAATCTAAATCATTTATTCCAACCTATCTAATATTATTATTAGGGACAAGTTTATCAAATCATGTAATGATAAATCTTCATTTTGAATTTCGTTAAGTTTTAACTTGTCCTTGGCATGAGAGTTCAATTGTAAGTTCACATCTTCATTTTCAAAGAGATGCTTGTGACTCTTCATATACTCGGGCCATACTAATCTACTAAAGTACCCGGGTGGGTCTACCCAAAACCCACCTTCTGTATTATAGCCTGCCCTTGATTCTCTCCTTGATTTTAATGTCTCATATTTCGCATGAAAGAACAAGCTGATATCAAATAAGCTAGATATTCTATCATCATGAAATAACATAAACCCATCAACCAATACGATAATTTTATCTTTTAGTTTATGACTATATGAATTAATTACATGTGTGAAATGGTTGATTTCGTCATCCGTTAATTGTAGATCAGCTTCAGGTTCTAATGAGTCTATTTGTGTTGTTAATTTGTTGTCGAGCTTAAGTCCCCTAATATAGTCAGTAAATTTTTCAAAATCAATTGCATCAGAACAATCCCAATTTTGTTCATTTGTCGTGGGATCAACAGGTATTTTATCATCGGGGAAATAAAAATCATCTAAATGTACAACCTTAGATCCTTCGAATAGTTTGTGGAGTGCCTTGGCAGTAGTACTTTTCCCAGAAGATGACGGTCCACTTAAAGCAACTAAGACAATTTGCTGATTGTCTGTATGTGGCATGTTAGGACCCAAATTTCCATTGTCGGTCATAGTTTTGTGATTTCTTTTGGCCTACAAGACAGAAATGGGTAACTCCAAAACGAATATTGTTTTTAATCCCCGACTTTATTCGTGTATATCGCACCGAATTGCTTACATAGAGTACTATATACCCTGGAAATAACTTGTCAAGCAATTTACTACTATACTACAGGATTTTTATCATTTCTTAATATGAATACAGTTATAATGAATGCTCATAGTTTCATTTCCAGAACCGCTTTTGTCATAAGCATGAAATGTACCTGCAAAAGCTTTAAATAATTGAACTTGAAATTTGGAATAACTAGCCTTGGTATGTTTTCCTCTCAAAGAATAGCCTCGTATTTTCTCTAACATAATTGTCACTATCCAAAATTTTATTAAGGACACATAATCTTATTATATATTACTAGAGACCCATGAGTTCGCCTGCGTCAATCTAGACTACAGATAGCTACGAAGCCTTAAATCTCAAAATTTGCACCCTATATATTTTTTTGATTTCCTATTATAGCATTCTTCTTTGATCCAGATTCATTTGACATGGCAATATATAGTAGCCGTAAAATATCCCTCTTATGCTATAAGAGGTAACAAGTGTGCTAATAAACTAATGACAATGCCATCATCTGTAAGAAGATGTTTCCTGAAGTACGCAGTCAGCCTTGATACCCATATCCAGTATATTTTAATGTAAGGAGCTATTGTGTTGTAGGTGCTTATCCCGTAAATCTACTTACTTCAACCCAATTAATTACCTAATTCTTATACCTAATATGGTGAAAAAGCATATCTTCGAACGATGCACACCTGCAATATACGGTTGAGAATTAATAACATTTCCTAATTAGGAAATTGTTGAATTTTTCAGATAGTTTGATAATGGATCTGACTAAAAAGTACCATTTTCAGTCTACTATAAGTAATTTTTGAAATTATATTTGCTAAATATATATATTATGGATAGAAGGGAAAATGAATTTTGAAAAAAATAGGGAAGAAGCTAAAATTTAAGTATTTTGGTACTCTTAAAGTTTATACCAACAAAGAAAAGCATAAGCTCTGAGTATTAAGCTAAGTACCAATAGATTGCAAACTAGTCCCTATAAAATTATAGACATTAATCCAGTAATATATCTACTTAAGTACTTGGAGATTTAGTTGTATTCAGGTATTATTTCAACTGCATCTTAGATATCCAACTACACGTTTACGATTAACATCTTCGCTTGTTACATGAATAAAGAAAACAGCCAAATTGTTATCTCTAATTAACCTAATGAGTACACCACTGGCCGATGAGAGACTTGTGTCCCATGCTGGTTCACCAAGTCGGTCACGTAATTTCAAGGAGCTTCAGCTTTCAACCGACTCGACTCTATCGCCAAGTGGAACCAACAATAGTTCAAACCAAGAGACAGAATCTGATGGTGAAAATAGGAAGGAAACCAACTGTGACTCGGAGAAGAGTTCCCCCACAGACCAAAAGATTTTGTCAAATTTGAAGGACTTCAACATTGACCGTTCTGCTTACAAGCATTATGGCCATCAATCTCTGCTTCATGGAGAAGCCCTTGACAAAATCATTACTGAAGCTAAAGTTTCTACTAGAAGAAAGAGCATGGATGAAGGCTCTAACTCCTCTGGGTCAAACATAAAAGAGAAAAGAAATGGCAATTCCATACGTTGGGACTCTAGTAACAGAATTCTTATCGATCAAAAAATTTCACAAATTTTAGGGATACCTGCGCAGGCAGTTGATGAAGAATCAATATGGCCCTACAGTGCCGAAACTTTAAATGAAATATTAAGATATAAAAGTGAACAGGAGAAGACAAAACAAGAAACTATTAAGAATGATTTTGGTGTTACAGCTATCGAATTATTGAAGTTAGCCAAATCATTAAATATTAGTGGTGACCTAATTCCTTTTCTTTTTGTTAGTAATACAACAATAGAAGAATTGAAATCTAAAATTAATGAATTGAAATCCGATCCAAATGACGTGATTAACAAAATCAACAAGCTTGTCAACACTCCAGAATATTACAGTAGTTACCAAAATACTCCATCCACCATTAATGGAAAAAGAAGATATTCAGAAAGTCGAGCTTTGCCATCATTTTCTGAAACCGCAGAGAGTATAAAGTCTGCTAATAGCGTTGATATTTCTCCCGCAAGATCTCCTAATAAGCTGCCTTCTAGTGCTAAATTTTCGCTTGGTGAAAGTAATGATAAAGAAAAAGGATCGCCTTCAAGTCAGAACGATAAACCAGTTATGTTGCCAATACCTACAACTGCGTACCTGCCACATCAACAATCTCAACCTCAAAATGGTATGTACACCATGTATTATACCCATGGGCCCCAAAGTTCGTCGGCGCCTCCACCACAACAATCCCTGAATGAACAATCTCATGAAAACACCTCCTCCACAGCTACAACTGTGTTAGGCTCACCCTATTCACTGAAATATCCACCCGTCATGTATCAACAACACCAGAATTACCATGCTGTTTCTGGCCCTAGTTACATACCTCAACAACATCCATATCCTTATTATATGGCCTCATCCCCTTCCAATGGGCCACCATCTCACCAATACATGATGCATCCATCTGGTGCTCCACCACCTGGCTTAATGCAGCCAATGCATCCAACTCAAATTGCACACCACTCCCCCGACATAGAATCTAGACGAAGCCACAGTGCAAAGCATCTGCAGAAAGATGAAGAAGAATTTGCAGCTTCCCAACATCACAACAAAAGACATAAGGTTTCTTCAACCGCAAAAACGTCTAGCATTAATTTCATGATCACAACTCCAAAGAATCCTCCTGCTAAGAAATATAATAATACCCAAAAAGATTCTATTAAGGACGGTAAATAATATTGCACTCATTTTGATTTGTGTATATTGCTTCATTTAATATTGATACCCTATATATACATATTCCGTAAATATAATACACATATGAATAAATTAAATTAAATTAATCAAGGTACACGTAAGATAAGATGCAGCCATCTCGAGCCTGGGTCCATATTTGAGTGGTAAAATTATTAGCGCCGTTTAGTACCGACGTCATAAAGTTTAGTTTCTTCTTCGAGAATTCTCTTGCATGCACGAAAAATTTCACACTTCGGGTTCTCAACACGGCCCGAATCATGTATTACTCATACTGTTAAACCGATGAGATATACAGAGTAGAAAAGTTATTACATAGATAGGAAACATAGAGGTTACCAAGATTGTGAAATGTCCCAATAAATATGAATGGGGATGTAGAAAAGCAAATCCTTTCGAATACGGAATCTGAGACATCAGTCCGAAACATACAAGAGAATAAACTGAAAAAAGAAGAATATTTAGAGATAGGAAAAGGTAGGGAGGTACCATACTCCGTTTTAACCAAGGTAGAGAAATATGCGATGTCATTTTTATTAAGTTCAAATGGAATATGGTCTAGTGTATCACTGTCAATATTTTTCCCAGCCTTGCCTTCTTTGACAAAAGAGTTTAATATCACTCTAGACGTTGCGAACTTATCGATTGTGGGATACTTGTTACTTCAAGGTATCTCCCCTGCTATTCTTGCATTTTTTTCCGATAATTATGGTAGAAGGCCATGTATATTGTTTTGCGTGATAGGGTACACTGCAGTATGTATAGCTCTTTCTCAAACAAATGTATTCTGGTTAATGGCGGTGCTAAGATGCATTCAGGCTGCAGCAATTGCACCTATGGTTGCAATAACTACAGGTTCGGTAGGTGACTTTAGCAGAGTATCTGAAAGAGGCACATTCGTGGGGTTCGTGCAAGGAATTCAATTAATAGGACAGGGTTTTGGAGCAGTAATAGGAGCTGCTCTTGTCCACAGCTATAGTTGGAGAGGAATATTTGTATTTTTGGCAATTGGTAGCGGAAGTGTTGCCATTATTAGCCTTTTTTTATTACCAGAAACCAACAGGGCTATAGTAGGAAATATGAGCGTTCCAGCTACAAGAATAATTAATAAGCTGCCTATTGCATCACTTCCCTGTTTCAAAGCCAGATTATCTAATGATGTCGACACATTACTTGCAGGTAACTCGTCATTTGGTAGAATACTTGCTCCATTCAAAATAATGATGAGAAAAGACGTTTTAGTGGCCTTGATTCCTGCTGGATTTCAGTATACAGTGTGGACGATGACCCTTACCTCTCTTTCTACAACCCTCGAACTAAAATACAAATATTCAATGATACACATTGGAATCTGTTATATTCCTTCCGGCATCGCAACCGTATTAGGATCTTTAGTTGCAGGAAGGGTATTAGATTGGAATTATAAAAGAAGAAAAGTTGCACACGATGCTAAGTACGTTAATTTAGACGAGCATGAAAGACCTGGATTTAATATTAGAAAGGTTAGATTGGAATTATGCATCTTTACTACCGTATCTTTGATTACCTTTTCAATTGTATTTGGATGGTGTTTGCAATATAGAGTTAACATTGCACCAATATTGATAGCAGCGTTTGTAATTTCATTTTGCAGTGTCGCACAATTGTCTGCAATAACAACATTACTTGTTGATATGTACCCTGGACAGGGTTCAGCTCTGACGAGCTGTGTTAACTTCGTTAGATGTATTCTAGCTGCAATTGGTATTGGTGTTTTACAGAATATGGTAAATGCCATGGGCGAGGGAGGAACATATACATTAATGGCAGGCTTCTGTTTGATAGCTGAAGCTGTCCTTTATTTAACTGCATATCATGGGAGGAAAAAGCTGAGAGACTAACATAAATTAAAGCATTTTTGAGATAAATTTTAGCATACAATTAATGATAAATCGAAATTAATAACCATAGACAAGGATAACTATATATAACTTTATAATTATAGGCATCAAATAATAACAATAATATATAACAGTAATAAATTATGAACTAACAACACGCCTATTGAGATGCACATTGGACACCTGGGCCGGCACCACCTTCTTCTTCATCAGAATCATAAGCATCACGTCTTCCAGCAGATTGATGCTTACGTGGATCAACATCGACCAAGTCACATTCATCAACTTCGGCACCCTTTGGAATGGTAACCTTAGCTTTAGCAGGTAAGATAGCTTCTAATTCCTTCAATTTCTCTTCAGTAGCGAAGTTGTTCTTTGGGAACTTAACCGTGAACTTAACAAACAAATGACCATGGCTACCGTGTCTGTAGATTGGCATACCTTGGTTTTCAATGACCTTGGTAACACCTGGAGCAATGACTTCACCTGGAGTGATTGGGATCTTGATGTAGTCGCCAGAAACGTGCTTGAAGGCAAGCTCACCACCAGTCAAGGCAGTAGATAAGTCAACTTCAGCTTCGTAGTACAAGTCATTGGCCTTTCTAGTGAACTTTTCGTGTTGCTTTTCGTCAACAACGAACACAACATCACCCGGAGTGACACCTGGTTCTTGGTCACCTTCACCGCTGAAAACGATTCTTTGACCATCCTTCATACCAGGATCAATGTGGACTTGTAATATCTTACGTTCAGTTTGGGTCTTTTTACCCTTACATGCGGTACAACGGTCCTTGGCGTCACAGATGTCACCAGAACCCTGACAGACATCACATACAGTTTGGAATCTTTGTATCATAGGACCCATTTGTCTTGTAACAAACTTCATACCTTGACCGTGACAAGAAGAACATTGCTTGATCTTGCCTTCTTTACCACCACGACCTTCACAGGTCTTACATAATATAGTCTTGTTCAATGCCAATTTCGCAGTTCTACCTTTGTACAACTCTTCCAAGGTGCAGCTGATAGAGTGCTTGATGTCCTTACCTCTGGTTGGTCCACGGGAAGCTCCACCTCCCATACCGCCAAATCCTCCTCCGAAGAATTGCGAAAAGATGTCTTCTGCTCCCATACCGCCACCCATACCACCGGCTCCTGATAATCCTTCTTCACCATAACTATCGTACACTTCTCTCTTCTGGTCATCCGAAAGGATCTCGTAAGCATGTGAGAGCTCCTTGAACTTTTCAGCGGCTTCTGGTGATGGATTCTTATCTGGGTGATATTTCAATGCTGCCTTTCTATAAGCTTTCTTTAATTCTGTTTCTCCTGCTGAAGGCGACACGCCTAAAAGATCGTAAAACTTTGTATCTTTAACCATTTTCTATACCCGATTTTTCTATTAAACAATCTTATTAATACAACTACTTGAAAAGATGAATATTTTCCAAACCTAAATTATTAATCAAAATTTTCGTCTATACTTAAGTTAAATAGAACTGTTGGCAAAAGCGAGTATTTGAATTTTTTTTTTTTGTCCTGGAAAATTCTTTAACGTTCCATTTTGTGTAAAATCGATGAAGTTGATTTCTTTTGATTTTTGTGTTAACCTTCCAATGCATATGAAGACTACAATATATTGTCAATACTAGTTAATCGTATATAGGATAAACACGGCGTTGTGGAGATTGGATATATGGTGTTAGTTGTGTAGGAAAAGCAAGGATGGTAGAATGTGGTTAACCATACATCAAAATGATCGTAGTGTAGGCCGAGGTAAAAGATAAAGTCTAACCTGCGTGTTCGACGACTTCACTGATTAACTTTCCGTTTCTAATGGAGTGTTTGAATTGTTCAGGGATGGCGAGCTCTTCGAAGTCATCGTTTTTCAACACGTTGACGTTCAAGGAAGTTGCACAACTGGTGTAGATCTGGACATCAGCATCGATGCTCTGTTGCGACAAGTAGATGCTGCCTTCGTCGGATTTGTCGACACTGATCATGGCGACGGTACCGGTGACCTGCAAGCCGAATTTGAAGGATTTGATGAAGTCGATTCCTGAGATCAACGAGTCCACAACGACACCGGTGTTGCGCGTTTCGGAGATGGAGATAGCGTTGGCCTTGCCTTTGACCTGGACGGTGATTCCACTGCAATTACCAATGAAAACCGACTGTTGCATTTCTGCGTCGATTACGAGTGGTTGGTGAGATGGGACATCGGCCTCGGTGAAGTTTTCGATGATCCACTTGGTACCGTCGACCAACTCCATCTTTGCAGGCTTTTTCTTTGGCTCGGCGAGGTTCAGGCTCGACGATAAGCTCGACGGCTTCTTTGGTGGTGTTGGCTTCTTGGACACTGGTGGGGCAGCTTGTCTCAAAGATGGGTTCTTGTGGGTCATCTCGGACTTGTCAACCTTCTTAAGACCAGACGTGATATTTTCACCCTTGTTCAAGTCCGCGAAAACAGCATTCATACCACCTGCTGGGACTGACGAGGAGGTGCTTTGGGCACTGTCAGAGTCAAAGATGGCCGCAGGTGGTGGAGGTGGTGGTGGCGGTGGAGCTGAACCTCCACTTGGGCCACCAACACTCTTAGAACCAGCTAAAACTTCACTTAAAGGTTGGCCATTAGCATTGTTCCATGATGGACCCGTTGTGTGGAATTCCTTCACGTAAGCCTTCAATGCTTCGAAAATGTGTAGGAATTGGCTTACCCATGTAACGTGCCTTTGGTCCTTATCCTTATATTCCTTCATGACCCTATTGGACCAGAATTGCGAACTATCCTTGAACTCTGGGATTAAAGATACAGGAGTGTCACCCACAACCCAGCCTAATACCGGTGCCCCTTCGCTGATGGTATTTAAATGGTTGTAAAATTGCGACTCCCTATTAGCATCCTTAAGCTTGTTGATCTGCTCGATCTTCTCGTTAATTGGCTTCAACACCTCCATAAATGCCGGATCTGACATTTCAGGTTTCTTACTCTTGGCCACAATGCTTAAAAATTGCAATTGAGCCTGGAATGCCTGCTCAAATATCTCTGCTGCCTCTCCTACCAAGCCATCGATCGCTTGCGAGCTCTTCACTAATGGAATAAGGCTTTTCTCGATAAAATTCTTGAATTCAGTAACTGATTTAGGAACTGCTTCATTTTGCTGATTAGCTTCGACCGCCTTAGCTTCCTTATCTTGCTGTGATTGACCTGCGCCTATGCCTTGACCCTGACCAACCGATCTAATAGACTGTCCGTCTGATCTACCATTCTCGGATTGAAAGATACTGATATCTTCTAACCTAGACGTAGCTGCCTCCAACCTCTTGAGCATTGTAACAATGTTGTATCCTTGAACATTGAATTGATTTTCTTCTGACGACATTGTATTTTATTGATTTTTTATTGCTATAACCACTATATGTTTATAATTTGCTAAATGCTTCCCTATATATCGTGTCATTTTAACGACCGCGCACGACGGCTCTTGGGAAATTCGATTCTGTAGAAGATTTGACAGTACCATAGAATATCAGTAACAAAGCTATTGCTTAATATTAGTTCAAAGATCTGGTTTGCGATGAGTTCAAATAGTTCTGCTAACAAACCACGGGAAGAGGAATATCCACCGCAAAAAATATACCCTTTAAAAGATTTTGAAGCACCTGCTGAGCCAGAACCTTTTTACCATAATTATCAGCAAGGAGTACCAATTGCATTGGATATTGGTACGTCTTCATTCAAGATTGGATTAACAAATGCCAGTGCACCAAATAACGTATTTCCAGCGATCATTGCTCGTTACAGAGATCGTAAGGCGTTGAAGACGTTGACGATTGTTGGAAACGATGTGTATAGAGATCAGTCGCTTAGGTCGTCGCTGAGAACCCCATATGATGGTCCTCTTGTGACAAACTGGGATTATGTGGAGTTCATGCTTGATTATTCCTTTGAGCACTTAGGGGTACATAGTGACAACGGAAGATTGAATAATCCGGTTATCATGACTGAGCCAGTTGCCTGTCCAATGAGCCAGAGAAAAAATATGTACGAATTGCTTTTCGAAGCGTATCAGGCACCAAAAGTGACTTTTGGAATTGATTCTTTGTTCTCGTACTATGCTAATTCAGATACTAATACGGCCAATGGGGTTGTCATCGGCACAGGGCACGAGCTGACCCATGTAATTCCTGTTTCTCAAGGTAAGGGAATATTACTGCAGACGAAAAGAATAGACTGGGGTGGAGATCAGTCCCAGCAATTTATTCAAAGGTTGTTGTCCTTAAAATACCCTTACTTCCCCACAAAATTGACATCACAAAATACCACCAACATATTATACGATCATTGTTACGTCCTGAAGGACTATCAAGAAGAATTATCAAACTATCTTAATATGGACTACTTAAATGATCATGACGTTGTTCTTCAGGCGCCAGTAGACGTATCGACATCAACAGACAAAAAGAAATCTGCAGAGGAATTAGCAAAACAAACCCTAAAGAGAAAAGAACAAGGTAAAAGATTACAGGAACAAGCTCAGCAGAAAAGGCTTGAAAAGCTTGTGCAAAAAGAACAAGAGTTTGAATATTATACAAACTTGAAGAAGGAATTTGAAGGTATATCGCCCAAGGAAGTTCAACAGAGATTGGAAGCAGAGGGTTTCGAGGATTTGAATGATTTCAACAAGTATGTGACCAACTTGGAAAAGACATTGAAGAGAACGCGTAATCAAGATATTGGTGATCACGAGGATGATGAGACCACTAATTCTTGGCCTCTAGTTGATATTCCTGATGATCAATTGTCGGAAGATCAAATAAAGGAAAAAAGAAAGCAAAGGCTCATGAAAGCTAATTTTGATGCTCGTGAACGTGCAAAAGAGCTTAAAAGACAAGAAGAAGAGTCATTAGCCAAATTTGAGAAGGAACAAGAAGAATGGCGTGAAAGAGATTTGGAGGACTGGTGTTCAGTCAAAAGACAAGAGTTGGGACAAATATATGGTAGAATGAAAGAGAGGACTAAACTTTTAAATTCCATGAAAGATAGGAAGTCAATGGCTGCCCAGCAACGTATGAAAAACATTGCGGATTTAGCAAATGATGAAACTGGTTCAACCTCAAGTGCATCAAGAAAAAGACGTCGTAATGCAAATGCGACCATCGATAATGATCCAAATGATACATTCGGAGCCAATGATGATGACTGGAGTGTTTATAGGGATATTAGTAATGCCACATTAGAAGAAGAACAAGAAGAAGACAATACAGCATTGCTTAAATTAGAAGAGCAGCTATTGCAGTATGATCCTAATTTCCATCATGAGGATACGCTTGCTGCCTCACAAACTTTTGATTGGAAGAATCTGACGTTACATAAATTCATTCATGGCCCTCGTCAAAATATTACTATATCTATGCAAGCTGAAATCTCTGACCCAGATGAATTAGCTAACCACCCAGAAATAATCAAAAAGAACCACCAATTGCATTTTAATATCGAAAGAATACGAGTTCCTGAAATTTTATTCCAGCCAAGCATTGCAGGTCTTGATCAAGCTGGTATTGCTGAGTTACTGAGCGATTTACTTTACAGAAGATTAGACGGTAACTTCTCGTCTAGTGGTCAATCTCATAGCATGATTCAAGATGTCTTTATTACTGGTGGCCTTGCGAAGTTGCCAAATTTTGTGGAAAGAACTACTAAAGAATTTACTTCATTCTTACCTGTAGGGGCTCCATTGAAAGTTCGTAGAGCGAAGGATCCAATATTGGATGCTTGGAAGGGTATGCAAAAATGGAGTCAAAGCGAAGAGTGTGAAAACAGCTATGTTTCTAAGGAAGAGTATGAAGAACTTGGGCCAGAATACATAAAGGAACATGGTTTAGGTAATGCTTGCTTAATGTAATAAAAGTCTCGATTTTTAAAAAAGTATGTATAATTAAAGTTTTATATATAGGTAGTATACAAGAATAGAACAAATAAACTTCACTTATGCAAATAGATCCCGATCATATATTAAAGACTTATTTCCTGGTATTTGGATTGATACCCTTTCTCTTTAAGCTTCTCTTAATTGTTTGATCAATAATCTCTTTATCTGCGTCATCATCGAATTCAGCAAAGTCTCCGTGAATAATACCTTCTTCTTCTGCTTCAGATCTAGCTAAAGATTCTTTTTCTTTAGCACCGGCCTTAGAAACATCATGTGGCGAAGGAGCAATTTTCTTGAATTTGGCAACATAGAAACCATCAACGTTATAGGTGTGTGGATAATAACGTCTAGTCAATGAAATACTTGGGTTGAAATGTTTTCCACGATAAGATGTGAATCCCTCTTTACCAATTTGTAAACCAGCATCAACTAACTTGACGTTTGGTCTCTTTCTTAAAGCATAATCGACAACTGCTTCATTTTCTTCAACAGCAACGGAACATGTGGAGTATACTATAACACCACCAGTTGCAGAGTTGGCATCAACTGAATCAATTGCTGATAACAACAATTGCTTTTGTAAATGAGGAATTTGCATGAAGTCCTTTTCAGTACGGCTTACTTTGACAGATTCATCCTTAGCAATAACACCTGTACCTGAACATGGTGCATCTAATAAGATTCTATCAAACCCACCGATGACTTTTGGAAATTCCCTCGCATCATAATTACAAACAATAGTATTTTTACATCCTAATCTGTGAATATTGGCAATCAAAGACTTAGTACGTGCCTTGTTAGCATCATTGGCAAAGACACAACCCGTATTCTTCATCATTGCAGAAATGTAAGTAGTCTTACCACCTGGAGCAGCGGCCATATCCAAGATACGTTCGTTCTCTTGTGGGTCTAATGCCATGACTGGTAAAAATGAAGATGCAGCTTGTAAAATGTATTGACCCGCTAAGTATTCCGGGGTTGCACCAATTGGAACTTGAGAATCAAAAATTTGTAAACCAACCTTGGTCCAAGAACCAATTGGTTGTAAATTAACACCACGGTTGACCAAAGTTTGTGCCAAGTCACGACGTCTGGTCTTCAAGGTATTAGTTCTGATGGTAATTGGTCTGGCGATTTCATTGGCCTCAAAAAATTCCATTGCTTCAGCTGGAGAAAACAAGTTGAATAATTTATCGGCTAAGAACTCAGAATAGCCGAAATATTCACAAATATCCTTGAGCAATCTATCAACATATTCTGCTCTTGATTTACCTTCCTCTGCCATTTCTTTGAAATTTTCCAAAACCTTCACGATTTCAATCATTCTGGTTCTAGTCATTGTGACGTCTTGTGGACCACTAGCCATCTCTTCTTCTTCTTCGGCAGTAGGCAAAACCTTAGCTCTAGGCTGGTCTACTTGACCCTCTAATAATTCCCTTTCTGCTTCTTCTGCCTCTTCAGCTTCTTCTTCATCTAACTTTCTCGATAATGCTTCCATATTAGCAGCATTCAACCCTTCTATATCTTCTTCGTCGTCAGAGAACATTGGCTTTTCGCGGCCTTCTTCATCAGAATCTTCGAAGTCTTCACCATCTTCATTGTCTATGTCAAATTCATCGTCTTCTATTTCTTCTTCAAGCTCATCAAGGCCTTCTTCGTCCGAATCATCAAACAATGATTTCTTTGCGTGTGCTATTTCTTCGTTGTCAAGTTCTGGTTCCTCTTTTTGAACTGGTTTAGCCTTAGCGGACACCTTAGTCTTAGAAATTTCAGGTTTCTTCGCATCTTTAGTCTTCTTCACAGACTGGCTTGGTTCAGATGTAGAATTAGATCTCTTTCTCTTTGAATCCTTCTTTTGTTGCTTTGCTTGGAAATCATCAAAGCTAGGTGGAACACCCTGTTTATTCTTAGCTCTTCTACCCATTTTACCTATTATTTTATAGCAAACAATCCGTTGAATGAATTTATCTATCTTTATTTTAGTACTGATTTCCTGCGATGAGGTACAAAAAAAGTTCCAAATTTTTCATAATGGATACGCCACGACCTCATTATTTTAGTATACTTGATTACACTCTTAGGAGATTGGAACTAATATTACACATTCAGTAGGCTGTTAACAGATCTAGCAGGATGGCATCAGTAATTGAAGATAATATGAGTTTGGATAAAGAGCCAGAAGTTGAGAGCTTACCGCAAAGAGCAAAGAGTACTACTATAATATCTCCAAATCAGCATGCATTGATTCGTTTACCTTCAGAAGGTTTAAAAATTGTTGACTTGAAACCAGGTGGAATAATCAGTTTGGGAAAATTTGGAACCTTTGCTGTGGATGAAATACTTGGGTATCCATTTGGACAGACGTTTGAGATTCTTGAAGAATTAAAGGTGAAACCAATTAAAAGTATGACTATACAAGCAGACGAAACGCTGGTTGATAACGAAAATGAAGAATTAACAAAGGACGAACTCACCAAAATGTTCTCAAATAGTTCAGAAAATAATCAAAATATTATCAACATTGGATCCAAAATCCAGAAGTTAACGTCTGAAGATGTAGACAAGTTAAAACAATCAGGTGCTACTTCAGATATTGGACAAAAAATCATTGAACAGATGATTGCCGGTCATGAAGGATTTGATAAGAAAACTTTGTTCTCTCAGCAAAAATATTTGAAGAGAAAGCAGCAGAAGTTCTTAAGAAGATTTACTGTTGAGTATCTTGGCTCTTCGCAATTATTGCAATATTATATTGAGAAAGACACTCAACGTGTCCTAGATATGAGTGAAGAAACATTGGGCTTGCTATTAAATTATGCAAATGTCAGACCAGGTGGTAAGTATTTGTTGATTGATGAAACAGGTGGTATTGTGTTGTATGCAATGATGGAAAGAATGAACGGACAAGGTACCATCGTAAGTGCCCATGACAATGAACATCCAAATCACATTGCATTGAGATATTCCGATTATCCTGAAGAATTACAAAACAGAATGGTTAAAAGCATAAATTGGCTTCAATTTTTAGAGCCTGAGAACGAAAAAGTAAACTTTGAAGTTGCAACTGAAGAGGAAATAGAAGAAATGAAAAGTGCTAAAAAAGCTCAGTATTATCGTCGTGAACAAAGAGCTAAGAATATTAACTCTGTTATTGACATGGTAGTGGAAGGTAATTTTGACGGTTTTATTTCTGTGAGTACTTTAAACATGCCAACGTTATTACCAGAAATTATTCCAACTATCGGTGGGTCAAGACCTGTCGTTATTTACAGTCAATTTAAGGAAGTTTTATTAGAGACTCAGCACCATATGTCTACTGATAAGAGAATCTTAGCCCCATCAATTATGGAGACCAGAGTCAGACCACATCAAACTATTCCGGGTAGAATGCATCCTGTCATGTGTATGCGTGGATTCGGAGGTTATGTGTTATGGGGTACAAGAGTTTTCCCTAAGGAAAGTGGTATAACAGCTGTAGGAAAAGGTTTAGGAAGATCAAAGAAAGAAAAGCCAGAACAAACCCCAGAGGCAAGTTCTGAACAAGCATCTGTATAGAATAGTTAATGTATATTACCGCATAATATTAATATCTGTAAATTCTAGTATATTATTTCACATAATTCTTGCAAGTAGTTCATTTTAGAATTTTTTAACCAACCAACGACACATCTAACATTTCCTGAACTATCTTTCATCATGCCACACTGCCAATTGATATTCTCTTGAAGCATATTAGCTACAAATTCTACTTGCTCAGTGTACCCTACCTCAAAAACGAAGCTTTCTAGATGCAGCTTAAGTATGATATTCTTTATTAAAGCTTCGTAAAACTCGTTTTCTCCAAGTAATGCAATTGACGGTTCATATTGTCTTACTGATTTTTCTATGCCATTTATATGTACAGGGGAATTGAAATCATGGAGTGGAATATATGGAGGATTAGAAGTAACCAAATTTAACTCCTTATTCGATAGGATATTCTTTAAAATATCTTCATCAAATACATCCCCCTTACTAAATTCAACATTCTTAGAACTCAGCGGATATTTCTCTCCATACTTTTTCAAGTTCTCTATAGATAGACCAACAGCATATTTTGATATATCACAAGCATGTATATTAAGAGGAATATTTTGAACTTCAGATAATTCATAATTTAATAATAAGGGTATGCAGCCTGATCCAGTACAGACATCTAGAATATTTAGCTGTTTGTCTGACCGTATATGATGCTTTCGTATTAAAGCAGATATTTTCAATACCCACTCTTCAGTTTCCCACCTTGGAATTAACACATTTCGTCGACATAGTATATCCAATGCACCAAACGGTTGTGATCCAAGAATATATTGTAATGGTTCCAATTTTGATCTTCTGCGAATGGCATCAAGCCATTGACTTCTTGGTAGTTCGCTTTTAATCCATCTTAATTCCAATTTTGCTTGTTCCAAATTCGGATTTGCTCGAAGTAGTGGAATTAGTAATGGAGAATCTCTGAGGGCTTGCTTAACAAGTTTTGGCGAGATCCTAGGCATCTATTTTCAAGTCTGCTGTTAGCTTAGATTTTAACCAAATACTTTGCGAACGAGAATAAAATACAAGTGGTGTATAAAATTATTCAATTATATTTTATTTGACAAAAATATACATGTATATATACAAGATTAAACTTTTGTAATTACAGTAAAGTATTACTTAATGTGGATAGAGATTTAGCTTACAATCCCTTTCTGGCGTAAAAC